CTGTTTTTTCCCCCCCCCACACGCACCCCCCCCCCCCAAACACACATCAGTTCGGAAGAGAATATCGTACCTTGCTGCTGTGATTCCCCTCTTCCTGCTGCATGCTGTGCCTGCAACATCACCACAACAAATTTCACTAGTGATCCACACTGCTGGGAGGGACATTTGGTTGGCAACAATACTACTTACTGCACACTGTCTGAATGAGACTTCATCAGAATCAAATCAGGTAGTAACTGAGAAAGGAGATAATGCAAGGGTGCATCATTCTGGAATGTGACACGGTGTAATCTGGTAGATGCTCAATGATACTTCAGACAGCATACTGCATCCATCTTCATGCACAACCAGTAAGCCAAGCACATAGCAAGCAGCTTGCTTGGGTTACCCTGAGACTACACTGTAACATTTAGCAGAGCCTCACAGTTTGTCGAATTAACAGCTACATTTTGACATCATAGGATTCATAGGACTTGTTTACTTACTCCGTGCTTCTGGAGTCGTGCCTGACTGGATGCAGCCAGTTTGCCAGCAATAGCAGCAGCCTGCTCTGCACTCTTGTAGCGTTCGCGCTGTTCTATCTTAAGTGTCAGGTACAGCGTTCGAATTGGGAAATACACAGCCTGGGGGAACATGCGTCCCACCTGCAACAGAAATGTGTTGTACTGTAATGGCAGAAATAATCAGTTTTGATACTATACAGTTTCCACATGTCTACATGTGTCCCTGTAGATTTTCATGACACTTGTATGAAGGTCAGGCAATTGTAGACTGTCCCATTTCTAGGACTACAATCCTTTGGTACATACATGATGCTATGTCATCTTGTGCATAGGTACCAACATCAGAGGAATCTGCAGCCCTCACCTTCAGGGTAGATGAAAATCTGAAATGTTGGTATCTATCACCGGACCTCACATCTCTTTCACGAGACTGTAATCTTAATATTCACTGCAGCGGTAACCTCAAGTATCAAACCCCTTTTCTGTAACATTTAGTTCCTTATCACCAATGTCACTAACATGGCAGTGATACCGGTGCCTCCTTATGTAGGGGCTGGAAATTTTATGTGCTAATAAGAGAGGATGGGGACGAGGAAGAAAGGCAACTTTTGAGAAATTCTTCTGTTTCACAGAACATGGAACAACATGATGTTATCTTCATGACAGTGACAGCTAAAACTCTGTGTGGCTTGGTGCATGAAAACAGAACATATATATTTATAATCCATTTCACACCTCACTTAGCTTCATTTTGGGCTTGTTTCCTCTCACAACAATGAACCTCTCTGTAGTATTCTTAAATTAAGAATTATGAACACAGTTCCAGAATTACTGGGTTTTTGAACATTGTCCATTGACCAGTATTCTAAAAACCAGAGAACACAGCGTTTTGGAAACTAGATCGGTTTCATCCTCAGGTGAGGAGATGCCTACCTTGTTGGGTCCCTGAGAATGAGCTAACCTCAATCAATGGTCTCCTTCACCTGAAGATGGAAAACAGATCCAGTTTCTGCAATGCTGTGGCCTCTAGTTTTTAGAATACTAGATGATGGACCATGTCCAAAAACCCAGTAATTCTGAGTGTTATACACCATCATTAGAACCCTTTAGAATCTACATGAACACAGTTACCATGCAAAACTTTCAATGTTATTTGCATATCTGCCAAAAGACTGAATTTTGCTGATGGGACAGGGAAACCATTAGAAAACTTGACCACAAGACACAGACAGATTCTGAGTCTTCCTGAAATGTGAGGCAGGGGATCAAATTACAGAACCATAATATCTTGCAAGTCATTCTGGCCATTTAACACTAGCGTTAATACTTTCACTCTGAGCAGCTCCACATTAATATTCAAGAGGTGATCTGTTAGAATCCTTCTAAATCCTTTGCAATTCATCTTTCATCAACAAACCATCCCAACGTTCAACACTATACAGTCTAGATGCTGACAGCTGGCTTACCTCTGGGCCCCACTACTTTTACAGTGCCCTACCAGATCCCAGTATTTCATGGCAAATGAATAAATAACAAATGATGTATGCACATGGGGCAGCTACAAGCACCATCTAGTGGCAGAGGAATTAACAACATACCAAATACACCATGAAAGAGAAGTGTCTTGTCTTGACATAGAGTGATACAGCAATGTGTGGAAAGAGCACCAGTAAACAACCACTACACTGCATTCCTTCATCTTGAGACAGTCTCATGCTCTACCAACGGAACAAACCTTGTGACTGTTCTAAGTGGCTGGACTCTCTTCAATGGTCTCACCTGGCTCAACAGATTGAGAATGAGAGTCCCCTCATTGCGCACCATACATGTGAGCAGTTGAGGTATCCATGGCAACCACTGGATTGGAGGCACACCCACTGAGTACTTGTCCACTGCTTCAGTTAGAGTGGATTGGTCGTCATCATATGTCAGCAGCCAGAGGACCTACACAGCACACAGGAAAGTGTTCACTGTGATGATAGCAACAGGGGCTTTACAGAACCCAATGGCTCAGTACCGCATCCACCACTGGGTGGAACCCTAAGGCAGACTGACCTATGTCCTTAAGCTCATCATAATATTATACTTCCATCTACGCCTAGCTCTCCCAAATGGCCCCTTCCCTTCAAGTTTTCCAGCTGAAAAGCTGTACACACTTCTTATCTCTCCCAGATGTTATTATTAGTGCAAACAAATGAGGATCAGACAGACACAGCATGTAGCAGATATGGAAAATATGGAAAATGTATAAAATCTGTTAGCTTGGAAGACATACGAGCAGAAGGGACAGATAATATTAAAATGAGATGTAAGGAAACGGTGTGAGAAGGTGGATTGCATTCATCTGGCTCAGGGTAAGGTCCAGTGGTGGGGTTTGTGTATACGGTAATGAGCCTAAGGGTCTAATAAAAGGCAAGAATTTTCTTGACCAGCTAAGCAACTACTAGTTTCTCAAGACGGATTTTGGTCTGTACAGTCAGTTCTGTTTCTTATCTTGTGCAGAACAGTCTCTGTTGTAGCCCTCAGTATTTATGAAATGGATGACAGCATGAGGCCTGATGATGAGAACATGAAGAACACAAGGGACATCCACACAAGATGGTTCACATGTAGAAACAGACGTACCTTGGCCAAGTATTTCCTGGACTTTGATTCATTCTGGTGGCGACACGCATGCAGGAAGCATGTAATGGCTTGGGTGCCAAGAGAAATCTGTCGGGCATCTCGCGTGAACAGCTGCTCAAGGTAATCGCCCCACAGCGCCCACGCCTTCACCAATGTGTCGTGCATCTGAACGGCTGCTGAGAACACCTTGTTTGCATCATCTGAACGGCCAATCTGTGCCAACAGCATGCCTTTCAGGGCATAGATCTCGGATGTCATCTCACGTGTCAACAGTTTCACGTTCGTCAGCTCAATCACATCCAAACCCTGCAACCACATCACACGATGACACCTCAGGTTCCCACAGTGGTGAACATTAAGATTATGGTCTTCTGGTTCATGTCACCATGCAAGCTGCTAGATAGGAATCTGTCTTTACAGTAGAAGAAAACACTGAAGATGGGGGCAGAAAATTGCTCTGACATGTTGGTACCCACCTATCAAATTACACAGCTTCACATCTCAGAAGACTGTAATCTTTGCATCATGGAATATAAACCCTCACTAATCCAGAATAACTGGGGAAAGAGGCCATCTGGATTAGTGAAGCAAAAGGTACTCCTTTCCGTAATCTGGAATTTTACTGTGAACATAATCAGTGTCACTTTCAGCTAATACAAATAATACAAATAATCTGATGCCCCACTTCGTTTGTTTCTTTGGATTATAAATTTTGAAAATTATTTTGTACTTGAACACAACTGTTGATTCATTTATTGCAAGGTTTTTACCTGGCTCAAAATTTTTCTGAAACTGTTTCCCTATACAATGGGGTACCCAAAAGAAACCGAACTAATTTTTTTGTGGGCAGAGCTTTTGTAGAACCGCGTTTTGCCGCTATGAGCGCATAGAGCTAACATTCCTGAGTCGATAAGCCGACTACCGTTGCTTCAGAAGGTAAGGACTAGTTTCGGCAGTGTTTATAGTGACAACTGTTTTGTGTGATCGTCATTTTTGCAATGGCTGATTTTCGTAAACAGCGTGCGGCAGTGAAATTCTGATTTTTGCTCGGGAAAAGTGGAACAGAAACTCTTGAAATGTTAAAAACGGTGTACAAGGACGATGCTATGGGGAAAACTCAAGTGTTTGAGTGGTTTTCCCGTTTCAAAAATGGTGAAATGTCAATTGATGACAAACCTCGTTCTGGTCGTCCTTCCACGGCCCGAACACATGAAAATGTTGAAAAAATTCGTGAAATCATCAAGGAAGATCGACGACGGACCATTGAAGAAATTGTGGAGCTGTCGGGAGTTACTTGGAGCTCAGCGGCCAGATTTGTGGCAGTCGGGTGACTGGTTTTTCCATCATGACAATGCCCCTGCTCACACAGCCCTGTCTGTATGACAATTCTTGACCAAAAATGGTATGACCCCTGTTCCTCACCCTCTATACTCACCCGACCTTGCCCCGTGCGACTTTTTTTTGTTTCCTTGAATGAAAAGAGACATGAAAGGAAAAAACGACGGAGGCACTGTCAAGCATCTCAGAAGATGAATTTAGACAATGTTTTGAAAAATGGAATAAAAGACTAGACAAGTGCATTAGTGTAAGTGGAGAGTACTTTGAAGGGGATTGAAGGGTTGTGCTTAAAATTTGAATAAATAAGTTAAAAAAAAAATAAGTTCGGTTTCTTTTGGGTACCCCCTCGTATGGTCTATCACCCCATGTACTTTCTCTGTCCTTTTGATGGCCCAATTGCTTTCTTCAGTGCTATCATTTCCCCACATGCATCATCCAAAATATCTGTACAAAGCGATCTCTGGATATTATGTCACCAAAAAATTGTATCTGTTTTGCTCTCACTAGATCAGTAGTCTTTTTAAGTTGGGTAATGTGATTAGACCCATATTTATAGTTAGACCTAAAAACAAGAACAGACACATCAGACCACCTACTCCAAATGGATCACTGGCTTAGCCAAATTCAGCAATTTTGTGTCCTGTGTACCTGTCTGTCTCTGTAACAATGTTATTCAAAAGCTCATTATTAAAAAATAATCCATGGATTCTGCATCTGGCAGAAGGTTAAATTGTGGCCCTGCATTTTTAGTAAATTTGTATGCTTTGGGTTTCTTGTTGCCCACTGTCACATCTTCCCACCCATCAACACACAACACTTGTTCCACCCTCTCTCTCACTTTCCAACATTTCCTTGCTCGATTCTCCACTCGCAGTTTCTCCTTCAATTTCCAAAGTGAACTCATCATCACAGTCAATATCTAGTTATCTAGTTCTGTGTTTAACATATCACTACTACATTCTTCATCTGCATCACGCAAGGGATTATATCTGTTTCTTGAGTCCAGAGAGCTGTGGTTCAGCCGAATGTAAAAGCATGTTACGAACACGTGACATTTGTTCCTCAAGAAGTTCAAATAATGACTTCCATATGGCAGAAGAAGGCAGACAAAACATTCACGAATGCATTGCCACAGGAAACGGTGGCCAGAAGTGACATGTGACCATAGAAAAGTGAAAGAAACTCTGTTGATCATTTATCACCATTCGCCTGTGGAACCACTTTCACCATGTCGATTATATATCAACATACAACCGGAAAGAGTTAAGGCACTATCCTAATATTCACCTAAAGTTACTGAGAAGAACTATAAAGTGGTTCGTATTCTGACTATATTAAAACTGGATATCTGTAAAACAAAGTGTCTAGCCTTGCCACTACAGTGGCAACCTGCTCAGTATCAGAAGCGGAAATGTTCATTAACACAGATAAGCAAAAGGGTCTTCTGTCGATGCTTTGCAAGTCTTTGGGCAACATAACAACTCACCTTCTGCAGCTCATTCTTATCACCTACTGTTGCCATCTGCAGGTAGCATTTCACCTGCTGGCGAACTTTCTGGAAGCAGTCCACTATGGGCAGGCTTGGAATCGTATATATCCGGCACAGTGAGTCGAGACACACCCCCGGCAGGTTGTGCTTACGGGCGATCTTTCCAAAGTGGATGATAGCCTGTGAGACAATGAATTGGCTATGCAACATAAATAATGTTGTCACTGTTGTCAATATGAACACTATTCAGATAATGTAACACAAACACATGGCCAACAGAGGGCAGCAAAGTGGACATTCAGAGGAAGCTCTTCGAACTGGTAGGCAGTCTTATTTCCTTTGGTTCCCCCTGTGACTGGGCACTCGCCTTAGTTGCACCCCATTATCATGTAGGATGCTAATGCATCATGACACAACAAAACATCTCTTCCAGAATGTAGTTCTTTCTTCTGTCAGTAGATCCCTTGGATGCATGTAGACTGCTGGCTATTCATTTCTGTACCATGAAATGCAAAGGTAAGCCAACTGAACTGACTAGGACCTGAACTAGGTACCAGCTGACCCACCTGAGCAGAAGCATGTACACCAAGTGTGCTGTTGACAGTCTGGTCATGCTGTGCATTGAAGTGAGAGGCTATGAAGGTATAGTGGTGTTGTCGCCAGGTGAAGATGTCACTCCAGTGACTCAGGTCGTCTGCGATCACAGGGAGGCGGTTGCGCCAGGTCTTTATGGTGGCCTTCATGTCATGGAGTGAATTGCTGCGACCATGCTGCAGTGCCTGATGGATCTGTGCCGCCTCCTGCAGCTCCATGATCTGCAGCACATCAAAACATGGAAGTAATTACAGAACAGCTGGGAGTGACCAACATGCCGAGAGATCCAGGTATCACCCTGCTGCAGACATGAAACGGTAAAAGGTAAAATGTAAGGCTATCCCTGTAACAGGCCATGGAGGCCCATAGGGTTGTGAGATGTCTAGGCTCCCACATTTTCTAGACAATCAGCTCACAGGTGATAGCAAGGTTGTCAGCCTTACGTGCCAGTCACCAACCTTTACCCCCAGGAAGATTCCTGGTATTCATTTCTGTTGGAGGCAGAGTCAACCCTGGGGCCATAGTGCAGCTGGAAGGATTAGGTAAATTGAAAACTCAAATGGTCTCATCAGGAGTTGAACCTGCAATCTTCCAGCTTGTAGCATAGCGCCGCAAGTGTCAAAGGGACAGATGGCAGCAGAGATAAGTCAGGGGAACAGAAGAGGGAGAGTAAAGTGGAGAAGAAGATCACAGAAAATGAAGTAGGGGGAAAAAGAAGCAACAGAAGGAAAAGAAGAAGAGGAAAAAGGTAAAAATAAGGGTAAAGTGATGCTGGAACTATCTGTTGGACCGCATGGCATCACACCACAGAAGGCGGTAATCTTCAAGGGTAAAGCTGTCCCTGTTCGTAATTATGCACATCACTGTGAAGATGTGTGGGGAAGTACAGGTACAGTTCCACGCATTCTCAGCACTCGACGGAGGTAAGCAGTCAGCTCTGTCCTGGTTACTTGACTTGCAAAGACTATACGGTAATCACTGTATATGAGGATGGATGGGCAGCTGGTCTGGATGCCATGAAGAACAGAAAAATCTCTGCTCTCATTGGGAAAGAAACACCAATTCTCCCGCTGTCAAGCATGTACACCGACTGAGATATATCGGGTCTTGCCAAGCAAGGCACTGTGGCATAAATCTGCTAACAGAGGACAGATATTAGGTGAACAGAAAGATGGAGGAAGGACACGACCTGTTCACACACTGCCTCAGAAATATGCCCAGAAGCCAGCCTATCATTTGATCAGCTTCTGTCTCATGTAGCCCAGGTACAGGAGACTTACCTGCTGTGCAGCCTGCAGCAGGGGCAGGTGGATGTGGGAAACAATGTGGGGCAGTCTGCGCCACTCCCTCATGCACAGCCCACTGGCCTGCTCCACGTAGCGCTCCACCACAGACAAGTGCGGGTCCTCCGGGTGGCAGATTGCGAGGAAGCCTCTGTACAAATGCACCTGTATGCAACATAAGCAGCATTTCACATACGACACATGGCAGGTGACTGGACTGCAACTAAAGGCTGCCACACACTCACACTAGACACACCTGCACTGCTTGTTCCTAACTGTACTTGCACATGAAGGTGTATGGGGGAGTAGAGGTAGAGCTCCATGCACTGTTAACTTGGACACCAGGTGGTCAGCTTCATTCACCGGCTGCTTTACACCCAAGGAAAGAACAACAGTCCCCAAGAAATAGGAGGCTACTTAGCTTTCGTCTCACAGAAGTTCCATCAAGGCTCAACTTCTGTTCCTCAGAAATCCCACAACTGAATACTACATCACCTCTTCACCTTCTGTCACCGAAATTCCACAACTGATATATCACCTGCTCAACTTCTGTTTCGTAAGAATCAGCCAGTGAACAGTACACCTGCTCACCTTCCACATCATTTCCTTGGGACAGCTGGTCTCCACCTGACTCAGTGCTTCTTTCATGAGGTTCCAGTCAGGAACTCTCCAAGCAATCTCCAGTATCAGGAATGGGTTCTGTACACTCTTGTCACGCGCATAGTCCAGTAGCAGGTCCCACTGGTTGAGCTCTTTTGAACATCTGCAGGCAGTCAGACAAATTAATGGCATTATACATCTTCCATCCTCACCGGTCTACAGTTGTCAGTAATATCTAGAACGGCTGTTACCACATGCACAGATGCCTTCCAGGGGATGCTATCCTAAATCAGTTCACCAGACCTCTTTCAATACTGTCTTCCTATTTATGCCTGTTTTAAAGCAAAATATTTTGTAAGGATATATCTTCTTTAACCCGTGTGCTATACGTCCTAACAATATTGAGCAAACAGCACAAATTATGAACCTCCTCATAATTCCCCCAGTCCTCTGTCACTTTATCTCCCTTGCCTCCAAGTATTCTTCTCGCCAGTTCAGCATGGAGTTCAAGGGTGCATTCAGAGGGCACACATCATGACATGAAGCTGAAGCGAGTGCTGTTCTCAGTTGTAACGCTGTTCACAGACAGCCCAGTATTTTGGGGGGGACATACTGCCTCTGCCTTCAGAGTGAACGAGTAAGACAAGCAAACATGTAGCAAGAAGCAGGCAGAAAGCAGAGCACCACATCCAGTAAGTACAGTGATCCCTTGCTAACCCAAATCAAAATATGAGAATGCTGTTCACACTTGAGTACACACTTTAAAACACACGTGGCATTTAGGAAGGTAGACAAGTCACTTGTCTATTCAGACGAAACTTGACACTTTCTTTAAACCTGCATTATTACGTTCAGAAACAAGTACAACTTCTGAGGCTTCTTGTCCACATTTACATCCCCTAGACACCTCCACACCTGTCAGGTCACATTTTCCTAACAGGTTACTCTTACCTTGCCCTGTCCTCACTCTAGTCAATTCTGGTGAATGGTATACCCAAAGAAAGATAAGTCATTAGACACCCAAAATTATGTGCAGGGATAAAACGGACCTGATGATGATTGAGGTAACATGCAGTCCAACTTCACAGTTCAGCAGAATATGAGACCACTCACCTGACCCAGTGCTCCTCCCATAGCCTGAGTTCACTACGTACACTTCCTGGTGCAGGACTCGAACTGTAGTCGCTGTGGACTTTGCTCATGGCCACCTCATATGCCCCTTGAGCCTGCTCAAAGAAGCCCTGTTGCTCGTAAGCAATAGCAACATTTGTCTCTACATAGCGCGCGTGTTTCTGCCACAGTCCACTCCACATATCCTCCTCGCACAGCAAGGAGTACATGTCAGACAGCGAGTCCAGAATCTCCTACAACAGGGTTTCACTGCCCATCAGTTTCCAGCATATCAACATAATTACAGTTGTGCTGTTCTGATGTAAAACAGTTTAACAGAGAAGAGGGGATAGATGAATGTATGCACTGGGAGACGGATAGAGTAGATCATGGACTTAAATCAGTGCAACAGGACGCTAAAATATAACATCAGTTTAACAGATCTAACTATGTGCACAAATGTTGATGTGTGAATATGGCAAATATTCTGTTGAGCCATTACAGCGAGAATGAGCAGTTCCTCTTTGACTCACCTGTTGGGGGGACACTATGGGCTCAAACTCGTAGCAGTCTGTGACATCACGCTTTGATTTCAGCTGACTGTTGTTCCCGTGTTCGAATGCAAGCTGTTCAAGGTTTAACGTCATACGATGCCAAAGATTGTGTGACTTCCCCAGGTATTTCATCAGGACTCTGCAAACAAGAGGACTAACATACTGTATCTGAGGTTCTCAAAGCAGTGACTATGAAAAGTACTAACTTCTGGGATGTGACACCGTGTAGTGTGGTAAGGGTTCACGGACATTTCAGAGGACGGTACTGCCACTGTCTTCAGGGTCAAAGAGTAAGCAAAGCAATAATTTTACCGCTTGTTTCTTGCTGATTCCTTGGTTTACTCTTTGACCCTGAAGATGAATGCAGCATATGTCCCCAAAACACGTGTGAAATTCCACCAGACTACAAAGTGTCACATGTCAGAAGGTGGTACTGCTTACAGCCATTGCTCCAACATTTCCATGTGCATAACACATAAACAGGGGGATGTAGCAGCATAGTTGGTTGAAGCAAAATGCTACAAACCAGAAGGCCATGGGTTTCATTCCTGAAGAGATCACTGGATTTTTCAATTGGGCTAATCCTTCCAGCTGCACTGTGGCCGTGGGGTCACTTCGGCCTCCAACATGAACAAATGCCACAAATCTTTCTGGGGGTAAAGGGTGACCAGTGCATAAAGCTGACAACCTCACCGCCATCTGTCTAAAAAATGTGGAAGCCTCAACGTGTCAAAACCTCATGGGCCTCTGCAGCCTCTTACAAGGATATACGAGTAGCTTTACCTTAGCAGTGTTATACTGACAAGTTCCACATGAAGGAAGCAGATCACAAGCAGTAAAGCTGCAATTTCTATTGAGTATTAAGCTCTATTAGTGGCCCACTGCATTACTCCAGCAATGCATGCCTCTGTTCCGGATAACCAAGAGCCGTTTCTTTCAGCACTGAAACTCCAGCTGCTGGCACCATAGAGCCGGGAGGAATTCATGTCCCCTATTCCCAGGCAAAATCATCATCATCAGTAATCTGTCAGACGACAGGTCCACAGTATCTTCCAAAACAGTTTCTCCACTTAATGCGATCTTCTGTTTTTGGAAAGAGACTATCCAGAAAAAGTGATAATGTGGTAGTTTTTCCATTTGCTTTCCACATCGCAGTACAACAGCCGTTCAAACCACTCTGGTCACGCCTGTTGCTATACGAACTTGAACCATCTCGAGCATCATTTGCTCTGTGCTTCAAGTCGCTGCTGATGACGCTGCTTCCGGCATCAGTTTTTGGTTTTTGGTGTCTCTCTTCGTCTGATGCCTACCCTTTGATCTGTCCAGCAAGGGAGGCCCTGCCAGTAGCTACGCTACCGCTGGTATAGCTCTCAGGGTCCTTGGCATACTCAAACCCCCTCACCACGATAAGGAGGCCAGGCAAAATAACACAAGACAAAACATGAAATCAGTGACTGGCTACTTCTTTTCCTGAGCCTTCCGTAGCCTTCTCCAATTCATGAGTCACCAATCTGCAACCACTTCACTTGATACACTGTGAGACACACACTGCATCATTAAATTAGCCACAAATCCACTAACACAGCTTAGTCAGTATACTGACTAGGCTGCAGGTTGCATGATCAGAGAATCCGCATTCAATTCCCATCAGGAGCCGCAATTTTTCTCTTCTCCACTGTATCAAGCTGAACTCCGGGGCTTACCCACTGGGTACCAGGGTTCGTTTCCTGTGAGTACAGCACCTGGGGTGTAAAGCTGACCACTCACCCCTCTCCCTTAAATTGTCGTGATGTGGTGCTTAACACCGCTTCCACTTACAGTGTCAGGTGAGTCTGATCACTGAATGTGCATGCAGATGCATCTCCTCTACTTACGGTTTGATGACGATGGGCGGGTTGCAGTGGGACATGGCCTCAATGAAAGTGTTCAGGGCACTGGGATGGCAGTCCTTCTGAATAACGTGTGCTCCACTGCATACAAATGGGACCATTTCTGCTAGAAGGGTCTGAAAATACAATTTCATTCTCATCAGAAAAGTCCTGTCAAGGTTCCGGCAATGTTTATCTTTGTGAGTACTGTGACATGACGCCTAAAAGCCGGAATAGTGGAGCCACAGAGACGTGCATTGCTAACCAACAGCTCAGTAAACATGTTCCCATGGCAAAGAATACGCAAGCAACAACTGAGATATTGTTGGGCTATAACAAGAGAAAAGGTGTTTTCTGTTGAGTCTGTCATGAGACTATATAACGAGGATCCCAAGCCAACTGGGAATTACTTGAGAATCAGCAGTCAAAGATAATTGAGAAGAGATGGCAGTTGCAGCAGATACTTAGATCGAGAGAGATTGAGGAAACATTGCCCTTTCTATAGTCACAACCAAATGCTTGCATCGAAGCTGAGATACAGAAAGCATTCAGTTTTCTGTGGGCTCATAGTGAATTCAAATATCATAGTTTATTTCATGATACAATGGCAATGAAACGTCATCTGGAAGATGATGAAATTGAAAGAACTGTCCATTCTCGGGTGCTTCGAGCAGTTCCATACCAAGGCACGATTCAGTTAGATAATGGAGGGGGGGGGGAGGGGAAGCCTATATATACATCCAGAAGATAACAAATAAAGTACGTACATTGAATTTTACTATAAGTAAAAAGTAAAGTAAAGCTATCCCTGTACCAGGTCGTGAAGGCCCATAGGGTTTTGAGATGTTGAGGGTCCCACATTATCTAGACAATCGGCTCAAAGATGGAGGTAAGGTTGTCAGCCTTACGCACCGGCCGCACTTTACTCCCCAGGAAAATTATTTAATTAATTCCTGGTACTCATTTCTGTTAGAGGCTGAGTAAACTTGAGGCTGGAAGGATTAGGTCAACTGAAAAAAATCCAATGACCTCATCGGGATTTGAATCCGCGACCTTCCGGCTTGTAGCGTAGCATCTCAACCACTACGCTATTTAAAAATAATTATTTATAACTGTGCGTGCACTTCTACTAGCAGTGTTTAAATAGACGAATATGTGTACTTTGACCATGATGACTGTACCTTTCAATGTACCGATATGTGCACTTTGGATGTTGAAGGTTAAAGAGAAGGTTCCAGGAAACAAATATTTCTCTCGTGAATTACACTGTGACACTGTCAGTAGCTCCACTACATAGTGCTGAATGGTAGAATTATCAAGGTACTATCCTGGCATTAGCATGGAGGGACTGAGGAAAACAACAAAGAACCTCTCCGAACAGCCAGTGACTAGAACAAGATTTGGCGTGACAGAGAGAAAAGTATTTATTTTCAAGAGTAAACAAACAGATTATTTGGACATATAAAGCCAAGAACTGATCACAACACTGCTTCACTAAACATGTCATGTGGACATACGGGCAGTGGAGGTAGTACTCCACATATTCTTAACCTGAGCAATACATTGTAGTGAGTGCTGGTTTCTGCTCCAGCCACTTTAGCACTGGGGAAAGATGTTGGGTGGACCCTAGAGTTAGTCTGGACATGACAGTGAAGGCATAAGTGTCTGCCCTGCTGAGAGTCTAACTCCAGTTCTCCACACACTTAGCATGGATAAATTTATACCATCCAACACAAGCAAGAAGTTTCATTCCTCTATTACAACCTAAGCAGCTGAAATTATACAGCTGATATGAGTCACATCTCTTCAGGCTGTACAAGCACTGGCAGCTGGCTTTAAAGGATTGCAGGTATAAAAGAGACCTCTGTGTATGATCCAGCAGTGCTGACATCAAGTGTACTACATGGCAGTCCCATCTCTTAACACGCTGTACTGTGTCAGTGACTATACACAGCATCTGGATTGATAACTGGATTTATTAATGACTTATAACTCGTAACCACATACAAATAAATATATGAGCTTCAGTAATCCACACACTGCATACATCACTACTGCAAACACTAAGTCTTCTCAGGCTGCTATGTCTTCACTAGTCGTTTCTTGGTAGCAGCATCTAACAATCCAATTGAAGACTCTCTTGACTCAGCTTGGGTTGGACAGCACAGAAAACATTGCTTGCATGGATCCTCTGTTGTTACATGTTCATTCACTGCCCCAGAAACCTATTAACGGTGCTACTGCATAGCAATGGCTGCCTCTTTTTTCTTCCGCTATTCTGGCTTTTGGCTGTCACGTCACAATATATATGACTCACATCAACACAAAACAAGCTTCTGAGCATTAATCAGACTGCATGGTTGCAGACCTGGCACATCCAGTCTCATCAGATCAGTCAGTTTACTGGCAATGAAAGGGTTAAAAGCTAAGATGTTTCAACTTATACATTATTTCTTTTACACACATGAGACTATGAAAGGGGGGGGAGCTTATGCTTGGGTAAATATGGACTGAAACAGATCGAAGGAAAACTTACAACATGAAGACTATGGTAAAGAATGGAACAACAATGTCACATAGTCTGGAGTGACTACAGACAGCATATGAATTGGTGAATGGATTTATTAACCACTTACACAAGATTCTGAACTACAACCAATTACAGCACCACTGCTAACCTACACAACTAACCAATCACCAAAGCACCCACTAAGCCTTTTCCAGCCTGCTGTGTTTTCACCAGCCATTCCTTGGTAATGGCTTCTAACAGTTGAGATTCCTCTGCTTCCAGGCTCAAGTTCTCTCTGAGCAGCAGCTCCCTTCCAATTGAACTACACTTGTTCAGTTGTCCCCTTATAGCCCTGTCCATGGACCAAGTAGAAAACACCATTTCCAAGAGTGCCTCTACTTATGCATGTGTATCTGTTACCGCAGGAACATGTTTACTGAGGCGTTGCTTAGAAACGGCTCAGGTATATTTATCTGCCTCATGGTTGTTGAACAGTAACAGCTTTACATGGTCCAGCATGTTATGAAATGCCACACAGAAGGAAGGAAGGAAGAACATGAGAAGGAACTGAGGACGAGCTCTGGGAAGACACAGACAGATGGACAGTGTTCACTGCTAGACTATGCACATAAGTGGAAACACTTTACTCACACTCTGCTGTTTCTCAGTGAGGATGCCCCAAAGGCGAGGGAAGCAGTCCAGCCACACCCGTTCCGCCAGCGCCGTATCCATGTGACACAGCTGAGCAGTGGCAAACAAGAACTGAACGGTTCTTGTGGAGCGAATAGACTCCAACACCTTGGACTGGCGGATGATAAGATGCGCCAGTGCTGCCTTGCGCGTTCGACTTGTTGGGTGCTCTTCACCTTTCTGGTCCACTGATCCAACAGCATGGAGGTCCATGTCAATATCATCCTATACATGATGGAAAACAAGCATGGAAATAATGAATATGACCTGTATCAGAATTGCTGTACTATTGTACATGTTACATTATACACAACTGTTGGTCATCCAGATCCTCGCTAACATATTCATTATGCATGTGCAAGACGAGGCCAGCAGTAATACTCTACCCTTGTATCTGGGAGGTGCTTAGATTTAATTCTGGCTAGGACACTGGCTCCCCTGATGGACACATCACAGTACTGCATTTCTGACTATGCCCTAGTGCTCACCACTCAGTGCAGCACAAGCTCGTACCAACTGTACAGTAACAGCTCCAAAATATCTACATAAATATCATAGTGAAGCTGTCAGTCTTCTTCTGCTGTCATGAGATGGGGTATGTGACAACGGCTTCTACATTTTCTCAGTTCCTCCCAAGGAACATTATAAAGGTAACATTAAACACATCATGACTGTATTCTTTAAGTCATCTAGTCATGGCCCATGCTACAACAGTAGATACAGCATCACTGAATAACAACAAATGATTCTAGAGTTCTGACAATAATGTATAACACTCAGTATTACTGGGTTTTTGGGCTCTGTTCATTGTCTATCATTCTAAAATCTAGGGAACACAACATTTCAGAAACTGGATCTGTTTGGTCCAGTGACTGAGCTTAGTTCTTTCTAAGGGACCCAACAGAGCAGGTGACTCCTCATCTGAGGATGGAAACAGATCCAGTTTCCAAAATGTTGTGTTCTGGCTTTTAGAATACTGGATGGTAGACAAAGTCCAAAAATCCGGTAAAGGTAAAATTCTCCCTGTAACAGGCTGCTGTGGCCCATAGGGCTGTGAGACATTGAGGCTCCCACATTTTCTAGAAAATTGCCTCACAGATGGCGGTGAGGTTGTCAGCCTTACACACCGGCAGCCCCTTTATCCCCAGTAAGATTCCTGGTACTGATTTCTGTTATAGGCTGAGTCAACCACTGCACCATAGTGAGGCTGGAAGGATTATGTCGATTGAAAAATCCAATGACCTCATTGGGAATTGAACCCGCAACCTTCTAGCTTCTAGTATAGTGCCTCAACCAACTACACTACCTTATGCTGAACCTTCAAAAGCAAGACTGAGCTTCTCAAGGGGATGACTACAAGGAGAACTACCTTCTGGCATGTGACACCGTGTGGTTTGGTAGGAGTTCACTACTGTTTCAGATTGAGGTAGTTCTTCTGTCTTCAGAATTGAAGCTGCATGCTAAGGTTAGGTTATGGTTAAGTTAGGTCAGATCAGAAAGATGCTGCAAGCAGATTCCTCAGAAATAGGTCAGTAAACATCTACCAGACGACAAACTGTTCCATTACAGTAGATGGCAACCTCCAAGGCTCTAAATACCTACAGAATTTTCTTCATCTATTTAAACATGCTATGTCAACTGGAAAGGTTAAATAGTGCAGAAAGCTCAGTGACAGGATAGTTCTGAACTGGGAGCAGCTGTGACATCTACTGGAGGGACAGGCAAGCTGGCACACACCACCTTCTCTTGGCCATCCAGACCCTCCGGAATGTCACTTGGTTCCTCCTTCACGTTCACCAGATTAACAAAACTGTCCTTTTCTGCTGAGTCAGCCATATTTATGACTGATGTGATGCCGGGTAACAGGTTGGCATCCGACGACATCCGTATTAATGTATCTGAAACGTTATGACATCTTAAGAATCAGAGTGACAGTTATTTCTATTTACAATCCTAACCTTATAAAGTACAGTGGTCACTATATGTACCATCTGCTTACACATTAAAAAAATACATTCTTTGTCCACACAGTGTATTGTCATGTTTCATATTGTTTCCACAACAGTACTTACCTCGCTAAGCAACACGAATAAACTGGATATTGTTACGCAGATGGAATGTTTTTCTTGTGAGGTAAGAAATGAATATTTATACATTACATAAATGACTTTCACACTTCAAAGATTTAAGGATGATAATTTGTATACTATTCCTGGCTGTAAAGTTCCAGAGGCTTGAATTCTCTTTCTGGCTACATCATACACTGAGTTTCCAGTGAGACTTCCAGCAGGGCAATTTTGGTCCCCAAAACACAGTCATTCACCATCTGATGATGACATACCATCACAGATGTTTGAGACACAGTATAACAGCTGTACAGTACTGCCACAGAAATATCTTCTTTGAAGCTTGACACAGCCTTTTTGTCTTGTTTCCTGGAGAATATCACCATGCTCCCACACTTCCTTATACACGTACCTGACCTCCAACATTTAATCTTGAGGGATAGCTTCATCGAACAGGCTCCCTTTCCTTTGACCTCTATCACCACCTCCTGGTTCTACAGGGCTGGTGTCTATATTGGGGGGGAGTGTCAATACCAACCCTGCAGTTTAAGGACATGTAAATCCTCCATTCCCAGACTATCAACTGCCACCACTAAATCCAAATGCCAGCCAAGAGCTCTGAGGTATTCAAAAATCCCCTCTGTGAATATGAAGGTTAATGAAGAATACATGAATTAAATATGGTTAATGATATTAAATACACAGGAGATGGGGCAGTTTGGTCAGTACAGTAACTAGGCTATAGACTGGAAAGTGAGGAACTGCCAGCTATGTCCAGCCAAACTGTGCAGCCCAGCCAGAACCTCAGACAACCAGTTCTGGAGGCTCTTCCCACAGGGATAGAGAAGTTAGGGTGTGGAAGTCACCAACTTAACCTAGAATTGTTGCATGACCACAGCACCTGAAACAGCCTAACAAATCGTCTTCATGCATCCGAAACAACCCTTGCACACGAGCGATTACAATCTATTCTACTTCTCCACTGCATAACATGATGTCTTACTGGAGGACGCAGTGACAACCAGAAGTTCAATACACTGCTTGATCCAGTAGTGTGGACCCATGGCCTCCCAGTTCTGAGAACACGTGATGTACATCAGACGATCGTGGAGCCTCCGCTTCATGCTAGCATCGAACACCTCAAAGAACTTGGCTCTAATGGCCGGCTGCACACATCGAAGTCCTGCCAGGAAAGCTGGTTCCAGTTTCACCGTCAGCTCTGAGCACTTGAGCGTCTCGTCTCTGCAAGTTGAACAGAAAACCATGCCAAATGATTTGAAACAATTAGCTATAGTTGTGATTAGATGCTGTTCACTCAGACACTATGAATTCCCCTTGAGCCTCACTCACAATTCAGAGATACAGTATTTAAATCCCAGCTGTAACCAACAAGAAACCCACATTCCTTCAGGTCACCTCAGCTCAGGCTAACATTCACAGAAACACGGTTTATACTGTGTTCTTCTGGATTATGACACTGTCCTGTCTGGGGGGTAAATACTTATGTTTCAGAAGAAAATACTGCCTCGTGGAACAGGGTAGTCTAGCATTAATGTTGTACACTTGCAATTAGGGGGCGCTCGGTTCAAACCTAGGCTGGGAAACTGGCTATCCTATGAGATCTTTCACGGTTTTCCTTAGCTCCTCCAGGCAAATGTTAGGATAGTAGTTTATTTAGGCAATAACGTTTTCCTTCCAAACCTTTTCAAATTCATCATTAATCAGTCATCCTACTATTCTCTGTTATAGTGTCTGGATACAGACAGCATTACAAACTGACTCACAAACACAGAGAGCTCCAGTAAACAAGTAGGGATACACCAGTGTTTCAGAGAAACATACTGCTTCCATCTTCAGGGTGGAAGTAAGCCATGTTGGTAAAATGACAGAATATGTAAAAGCAGGGGGTAAAGAAACCAATCACAGATAGCCTTAGCCAGTGAAACTGTTGAAGGTGGACGGAGAACCAGTTTTTAAGATGCTGTCTTTAGTCTAAAACCAGAGCAAGGGCATCGCCCAAGGCATTGCAACATGACATTGAATGGTGTGACTTATCTGAGTCCCAGCCATCATACATACAGTTCTCTTCCTCCTTTAACAGCTTTCACAATGGCCTGACACATAATGTTGGCAAACCTGTAGATGTAGTTGACAATGTCAAGGAACTGAGCATTGAGCTCTAGGTCATCAGGGAACCTCTTCTCCACGTACTGCATCAACTTGACAAGCAGAATCGACTTCTCCCTCAGTGTCGGTGCCTGATTCATTGCAATTGGGTTCTTGTTCTCTATCCAGTCTTCCAGCATCTGCAACGAGTTCATCCAACACAATGCACAGCAGGATAATTCAGGCTGTCTGAGTGCACCCAGTCCCAAAGTAACACATGTTCCACCACCAATGGTTTTTCGGTTTATGATTCCTCGATGATTTCTCTATTACAATAAATTATTTCTTACAGGAGACATGTGTCCAACTAACACAGTTTAACCTTATACAATATTTTTCAAGAGTGCAGCAATCATTCCAATCAGGACCCTGGTTTTCCAACTGTGGTTCCACTTAAATGCAGCCAAGAAGCCGATGTACAGGACACAGTGATCAGCTTCTCACTTTTGTGTCCGCAGCGGCCACATACCAAACTTTCCTAACCTGTCACTTTTGTCACATTTTCTTGTTTCTGTGCCTCTGGCTAAAGGACTGCCTACACACAGTACGAAGGGAACGTGAGTAAACACAGCAGCCTGCAGTGCACTGAATGACAAGAGAATGCACTGTTTCTTACTGATCACAAAGAAACACAAGAAAAGGAGTTCAGTAGGTATACGGGTACACATGAAACAGACAGGTGGAGAGGTTTTCATCTGTACAGACTGGTAAAAAAAATCAACCACAGCATGAAAGACAAGAAGGTGGACAAGATAAATACATTGGATTTGACGGTCTCACAGCAGTGACTGTGAAGAGCACTATCTACTTGAGTGTCATATCATTCAGTCGAGGACATTTCACCAGTGTGAACTGCCTCTGTCTTCAGGATTGAAGAGTAAGCCCTGCTTGTACTATCCTACTTGCTGGTTTCTTCCTCTTTCGAGACTGAAGACTGAGGCAGTGTGTCCCTCTGAACACAAAATGATCCAGTATTTGATCTATTAATAAAAAGTCTTTATTTCCATTACAGTACTAGAAATTAACATAAAAAAAGAAAGGCCAATGGATGGAGATTTATCCTCTGCAACTCAAGTGTTCAATATGACCACCATTACATGGCAACTTCTTCAGCACGCACTGTGATGATGCTGATTACTCGATGGCACATATTCTCAGTTATCTCACTGCAGGCTTCAGTGATTATTGCTCTCAATTCCATTACTGTTTGCAGCTTTTTTGGAAAAATCTTTTGCTTAAGGAATCCCCAAAGAAAGTAGTCACATGGGTTTAAATCAGGACTATTCAGAAGCGAGTTCTGTCCACATGAAATGGCCAGGAAATTTGTTTGAGATGACATGCGAGTCAAAAGTGTCACGCAGAAAGTCCAAAACAACATTCACTGTGTGCAGCCTGGCTACATCCTGCATGGGCCACTGAGTTCGCAATGGCAAACCTGTAGCACAAAAGTACTGTGCAACATGCTTAAATAGTGGTCACTGTTCACTGTCTCTTCAAAGAAAACTGGCCCTAGCAGCCCACGACTTGAGATGGCGACCCACACTGTAATTCTCGGTGCACGAGGCACCATCTCATGAATCGCACGTGGATTCTCAAAGCCCAAAATCACTCATTTTGTTTATTAACCTCACCATCCAAGTGGACATGTGCCTCACCAGAAAACCAAACATTGTTGAATGATATCTCATTGTTCTGAGTCTATTCAGCAAATGCCATTCTGTGATGTTTGTTTTGAACTGCAAGTTTAGGCAACACACAGAGGATAAATCTCCATGCCATGGTCTTTCTTTTTGTATGGTAGTTCCTAGCACTGTCACTGAAATAAAGATTTTATTAATAGATCAAATACTGGATCATTGCACCACCCTGTAGTAACAGTGTGACAGCCTACTTTGCTAGCAGACGTACCCTCAAACGTGTAACAGCAACACACAGTCCTTCTCTTGTGCTTGAAAACCCCGCAACTTCCATGTCATACAATCCATTCAGCATACATTTTTCTTTGGAATATTATTTTCAACACAGTTAAACACATTGAAAAAAACATCTGAGCTGCTCACACTGGGGAAGGTTCACATTGCAGTCTTCTGGGTCATGCCATCATGCAGTCTGACAGCTGTTAAGAAATATTTCAGAGGGACACTCTGCCTCCATCTTGATGACAGAAGATAGAAGCAGTATGTTCCACTAAAAGCTGCCAGAATATACAGTGCCATAACCCAGAAAACACGAATCTTCACCAATGAGACAGCCTCAGATCTTCAGAGAACATGTCTGAAGAGTTAAGTTTGTAAAGCAACAAAGTTTAGGAACTACCAACACGTATCAACTGAGGGCGGCTGGATGGAAACACAAACCTTGGTGATGGCCTTCATGATCTTCACATCTGGACTCTTCTCAATCAGTCCAACAAGAATGGTGCCAATGAATATTTTCCTCATCTCTGCCCCCATGACAACGACACGGCTCTTGACAAGATCCAGGCTCAGGACGAGCAGTTCACTGGCAACTGGAACCAAGAGCACAGCCTCACCAAATGCTCTGATCATTCTTCTCCTTCCCCATCCCCTGTTAACTGCAGTAAAGTGCATATATACAGCTGCGATGCGAGCGGAACAGGAAGCCATTACAATGCTCTGAAGATGTCCCACATGAGATGGTACAGAAGGTGACAGCTGAACTTCACGCCTTATTAACTCTACTCTCGCATACGACATATACAGCTGCGATGCGAGCGGAACAGGAAGCCATTACAATGCTCCGAAGATGTCCCACATGAGGTGGTACAGAAGGTGACAGTTGAACTTCACGCCTTATTAACTCTACTCTCGCATAAGAGATATACAGCTGCGCTGCGAGCGGAACAGGAAGCCATTACAATGCCCTGAAAATGTCCCACATGAGGTGGTACAGAAGGTGACAGCTGAACTTCACGCCTTATTAACTCTACTCTTGCATACGACATATACAGCTGCGATGTGAGCAGAACAGGAAGCCATTACAATGCTCCGAAGATGTCCCACATGAGGTGGTACAGAAGGTGACAGCTGAACTTCACCCTTATTAACTCTACTCTCGCATAAGAGATATACAGCTGCGCTGTGAGCAGAACAGGAAGCCATTACAATGCTCCGAAGATGTCCCACATGAGGTGGTACAGAAGGTGACAGCTGAACTTCACCCTTATTAACTCTACTCTCGCATAAGAGATATACAGCTGCGCTGTGAGCGGAACAGGAAGCCATTACAATGCTCTCAAGATGTCCCACATGAAGTGGTACAGAAGGTGACAGCTGAACTTCACGCCTTATTAACTCTACTCTCGCATACGACATACACAGCTGTGCTGTGAGCAGAACAGGAAGCCATTACAATGCTCTGAAGATGTCCAACATGAGGTGGTACAGAAGGCGACAACTGAACTTCACGCCTTATTAACCTCTACTCTTGCATAAGTGAACTATTTATTCACCTGGGCTAGTTTCATGAGGTGGGGTGGGGGTGATGTGCTCACGTGCCATCCGCTGCAGAACCCTCATGAACGGTGTGATGAGGCGATCAATGTAGCTGGGGTTGTTGACACAGGCAGCTTTCAGCATCATCAGTGTACCAAACAGCGTCGTTGGGCTGGCACTGGTGTTCTTCTCATAGTTTGCGAGCCCCTCGAACACAACCTGAACAGAGCAGTCTCCAATTCAAGATAACAAGCTCACTTCATCCAGCTCAATCCTCATGACTGACCATGAGCTGCCAAACTAGAGACATACCTTCCCAACACAGGCATACAGACACTCCAGCTCTTCATACTTGGAGGCCACATTGGAGCTGGTTGGCTCAGTAGGAAAGATGCTCATGAGTCGAGACAGGAGTCCATGCACCAGGCGGATTACCTGCAGAAGAAAACACACAAGTCAATAACCCCAGATATCTGATTGTGTTGCATTTATTTTCTGCAGGTTACTGTACATCGTTACCAGTAACCAGACTATACATAACTGAATTAGAAAGGATTTGGAAGGAAGGCAGAAGGGACTGAAGAAAATCAGGAAATATAAGTTAGGAGAGTTAATGTCCTGACTGAGATTCAAACTAAGTACCTCCTGAGTATGTGTCTTGAGTGTCACCAGTGTGCTGATATGACTGGTGACTTTTTTTGGAAGTTTCAATGAAATGTAGACATGCTAAAATAATTATTTTTGCTAATACAAACAAGAGCATTGATAATGAAGAAACACAGATAACCCTTACCTATGCCGTTCACTTCCAGCCTAACTTCTACCAGACACTACACGCAAAGAAGCAAAAACATCCACACAATTTTCACGAAAACATAAAATTACTGCCACATTGTATAAGTCAGCATGTAAACATAATGAGACAGTAAACGCAACAGTGGCAGATGTCTTCCAACAGCATACCTGCATGAAAGAACTGCAATGACAGATGGTTTCAGACTGAAATCATGCGGCTCAGGACTGGGCACAGTGGTAGGATCTTGTGCACAGGGAAATAAACATTCAGGTTCCATAAAAGATACTGAACGAGCTGAGAGGCTATCAAGCGGGATCCTGCTCCACACAATCATTGATCTAAAGGAATCACACTTCAATCTGTACATTGCAATGCAGCTACAAGCATGACAGCAGTCTGTCAGCAATTTGTGGAACCCAAAGGCTCATACTGCATGTATTCACAAGAGGCCTCCGCTGATTCCGTCCAAGTTCAATATCCTTAACCAGTCACACTGGACAGAACTATTCAACTTTTTCATTTCGTAACAAGCTTATATTTTAAGGAGAGCAGTTGTTAGCCCCATGCCCAACACCCCCAAGCTGGAGGACTGCCACTTGTTAGCTGTCAATGACTATTTATTCAATATACTGGCAGCTTCCCTCCATATCTGGAGGCTGTCTCCCCTATCCACAACCTGAGGATGTGCCATGTTGTGGTGACAAGGGACCCACCTACCAAATGTATGAATTATATACCATAAAATGGGAAAATGACATAAAATTAAAAAAACTATAGAATAAAGTAGTCATGGCCTATTTTAATGTACTATCACAGGACGCACGTGGAGGAAATGAGAAAACTCAGAAAACCTTAGTGAGGACAGTATGTCTCTGGGGTAAGAACGGATCTAGCAGCAACTCAGTGAAGTGTCATGGGTGAGGAGCAGTGAGTTCAGTCTTCACCTCTCCTCAAGCTCACCATATCCTGTACCTTTGAGTTGGAGCAGGTGATGCAGGCTGCAATGCCTCGCTGCAGGGGCTTGCAGCTTGCCAGAATTTGCTCCTTCTTCATGACACCAAGGAGGAAGGTCAGAAGCTCAAGGGCAGTGCAGATGTTGCCGTAGTTTGGCGAGCCTGATTCAACGGATGCAAACACCTTGTCGAACCAGTTCAGCTTCAGGTCACACTGCTGTGGCCATACGTCAGGCTTCAGTGCAGTCTTCAACAGTGCCACACAGCGGCGCGAAAGCAATTCGCCAGGGGTGCCAACCATTGTGTTGGCATCATTCACCTGCACATACATAACCATACACCAAGTTTCAGACTTATATAAAACAACAGGTAGAATTACAGTTTCATGTATTTTAATGTTCATTATTTCAGTGTGTAATGTATGGGAAGTGCAATGATCCCAACTTACCTGGCAAGCCAGTCTCAACAGGAAATTGAGAACGGTGTCTGCATGGGCCCGTTCAATAGGCTCAGTGCTCCCTGGTTCAACCTTAGGTATCACTGTGGGCACAATGCTAGAACCAGTTCCGGATGCATGATGTTTCCTGGACTCAGCATTTAGATTGGGGTCATCGGCGGAGAGGCGCTTCACCCCCACTCCAGATGGGGAGGCTGCAATCTGGACAGAACCACACGGTTACACTGCTGCAAATGTGTCAGAGAAGGTCGGTAAGGCTGGAAGCTCTCACAGTGATGATCACTTAGACTGTGGTCTGTTGGTCATGACATCAAGTAACTGAAGAGCGACACTTTGGATTACCACACTTCCTCCAACTTCAGGGTTCAAATTTCCTACTGGAAATAACAGTGGATTCCCAGAAAGATCTGTTCTTTCTCACAATTCCATCCCCCAGTAGTCAACAACAAACATGTCTGCTCCTCACAGACGCCAGTCTTTGTCCATTTCCTTCCACTGGCTTGGAGTGGAGCCTTTTGCTGGGTCTCAGGACCAACTTCAAAGTAACTTGTTGATATAACCAAGCCTATCCCTAAATCTGTTCCCTGGGAATTTTGACACCCTCATACAAAACTACAGTGTCACAATCCAGACGAATGCAATCTAACATCTAAGGTTATTGCTCACCACCACATCAGCACTTACATCCTGTGTGTCCGATTCATCCTTGATTCGCTGGAGTTCCCACTTGATGATCACTTCTGACAGTTCGACGGCCAGTTTGCGGTGCTCAATGGTGCCTGTGGGACTGAAACCTAGTCGCTGGATGGAGTTCACCATGTGCTGCACCAAGTGGTGGCGCACCGGATAATATACCTGAATGATACAAACACTCAACTGTGTGTACACTGTACATGAGCCTGAACTGACAGCTGTGTCAACTTCATCCACTTCCCAGCTCTTATTACACTGAAAATCACATGGGAAAATGTGATAATTCTCATCTGTAGATATGTTACCACATGTTCACATTTGTGAACGCAGTTAGGAGATAAATAGTGACAACGGTTTGGCCATGCAAATGGAATGGAGAGCACAAGATACCAAGAAGGGAACTAAAATTAAAATTCAGAAGCAAGAGGCATACTGGACAACGCTGGACAAGGTGGTACAGGTACTCGGCAGTATCAGGAAGACAGGGAAGAGCTGGAAAAAAAGTGAAAAGTAAAGATTAACTAGAAAACATAAGAGAGTGGAGACATCTGTTCTTTCAACCATTATAAAATGAAAAAGCCCCCAGAAGGAATATAACACAAAATGGTGAGGAAGACATGGAGGAGGGAATCCCCATAGCAGTACATACTTTGTAGTGCCGAACAACAAGCTGCAGGATGTGGAAGAGCTGCTGCATTGAGTGGCCTTCCTCCACGATGATCTTCTTGGTCCAGTGCGTCAACATCGTGTTGCCGTCCTCCATGCGCACAGGCATGGCTGGGGTGAGAATCTCCAGAGCCTGCCGCACAACAATGCGAGCCTCAAGTGCGTGCGCCTTCAGCAGACTGTGGAAAACTGTGACACAGAGACACAAAGTCACTCCCACATCAACATAACCTTCTCTTTGGAAAGCAGAGCACAGGACTCTCAAGACACTTCAGTATTTCTGTGCAATCTCATGAAGCTCATGAAGATGTGATCATGTGTGCCACTCTGCTTAGTCAGTAGAGAGACTGGGTGACCATGGAATTGGGGGTTTTAGTAGAGGCAGATATCTTCCTCTTCTTCACACCATCCAGATCTGCTCTGAGGCACACCTGGCCTCCCACCCAGACAGGACTAGAACTCCTTCTCTATGTGTAAAGTGGCCGAGGTATGAAGTTATTCAGGAATAAGCTTAAGAAAGCATGGGGCTGTACCTCTACTTGGTGTCTTATAATGAACAAAGAACAGACAAATGAACAAACAAGTGAACAGAAAAACCGATACACTCCTCTTTTTATGTATTACACTGGAAAGGATCAGGAAGTGGACATGTCCTAATACGAGGAACTATTACGGTATTTGCTGCAAAACTGAGGAAAGCCATTAAACTCTCATAAATGGGAGTTGGAATCTGGGCAAAACATGAAGCATGGAAGCTTCAGAAACTTGAGTAAACTCATCATTGTGGCGTAAAGTTGATGCCGCTTACCCTGAAGGACAATCCTCTTGTGGATGGCAAATTTGGCAATGATGTGTGACAGCAGAAGGTGGCCATGGTAGCGTGTAGCAGGGTCCACACAGTTCTTAACCAGCAGACACGGCCAAGCGAACATCATGAGGCGTCGCAACTTGTTTCCTGTCAGAGCAACATATATCACATTGTTCACTTCTGTTTATGACAAGACCAGAAATGGCGCTCTCCATAATGCAGAACACAAACATACCTGGTGGCACTGTTTATGGCTAACAAAGCTTACTTAAAAACTGAAACAGCACAATGAAGAGCTATGACAACCTCCTGTACTGAACCTGAACAATATTCGTAAAATCGTTTATGGGACACATGGAGAAGTCCATTTACAGTCTTATGCAAACTGGGATTTACTACAGATCAACATAACTGAATATTGCAACTTTTAGTGGAAGTGTTCCATATCGAGTTTAAGAAAATCTATCCAGTGGTTCAGGCTCTGATATAAGGGCACAGACAAGCACACAAGTTTGTTCCTCACTTTGTAAAAAAGTGTCTAAAACACTGGCACCCAGTATCATCCAGTCAGCTGCCATGACAGCTCAGCTGGTTACAACAAAGCCTTGGATTTGGGCTTCATAAATTTTTCACAGGTATATAACAAGTTCTGGGAAGAATTGATCATATATTTCCCTTTGATATGACAAAAACCACAAAAAAAATGAAAGAAATGGGAGGGGACACATAAAAATAATGATTTTATATAACATTAAATAGCAATGGGCCATTGCCTAGCAACTGGGAGGGAGGGGGGCATGTGGAGAGTAAGGTGCTCTCATAAGCCTCCTTCAATATTTTCAAAATGAGGAAAGTGAGGTAAAAAAACTCATTCTGTAGTATCTTAAGTCATTTCAAACACCGTGAGTGCAACAACTGGACTGCATCAGGCACAAGAGTGCCAACACATAAAGTTACAGAGTTCTGATGCTGTGAATGAAAGCAGGAACCCACTGGCATGCACACACTCACAAAATCACACGTAAGTTTGTGAAACGTACAACTAACTAAAGTCTTAGAAACCTACAACACTAATGATGTTCTTACTTGGCCATGAATCTCAGACAGTGAAGGCTAAGACTGGGCAAGAGTACTGGCAGCTGCAATCATATTTTTAAGTTCTGTGAAGGGTTGCAGAGAAACGGAGAGAGCAATGAATGAGAACACAAAGATGGATCTGGGAATTTTCTCGCTGGACACAAAGACACAAGAAAACAGAACTAGAAGGAACATCTCCAAAGAATGGACAGAACTGAAAGTGTGACTTTACAAAGTATACAGCAAAACAAGGGAAGATGCAGGAACGAGTCATAAGTGATCTCAAACAGCCTACTCCTAATCCTTGGAGTGAAAGAGATGAAGATGAATCAGAAATGACAAGCAGTTCTGGGCAGGACTCACACAACCCAGCTTCCTGCAATATGAGGTACGGCAGGATCTAAGTTTCTGATGGCAGTTACTATGACAAACACTCGTCTTCTGGAGTGTAATACCATTCAGCCTGCTTCCATGGAACACTGGCCTCCATCTTCAAGCTTAAATGATACAGGCAGCAACTTCTTCAGCAACGCTGGTAAATATCTACCAGGCTATACAGTGTCACATACCAGACAACAGTAATCTTTATACATTATGACTGAACAGGCTTATGCAGCGGTAAACCTCAAGATTCATATTCAGGAGCTGCTTGGTTTGATTCTTGGCTAGGACAGCAGCCAGATCAATCCAATCCATACCATCCCATCCTATCTCTCTAAGATCAATTTTAATATTGTTCACCCTCCTATGCCTTGGTTTTCCCAGTGGTCTCTTTCCTTCTGGCTTTCCCACCAATATCCTACGTGCATTCCTCTTCTCCCCCATTCGAGCTACATGCCCTGCCCACCTCATCCTCCTTGACTTGATCATTCTAATTATACTTGGAGAAGAGCACAAGTTACAAATCACCTCACTGTGCTGTTTTCTCCAACCTCCTCTCACTTCATCTCTCTTTGGTCCAAATATTCTCCTCAGCGCCCTGTTCTCAAACACCCTCAGTCTATGTTCCTCCCTCAATGTCAGAGACTAAGTTTCACACCCATACAAAACTACAGGCAAATTACAATTTTTACATTTTTAGACAGCAGATAGGAAGAGAGAGAGAGTTCTAAACTGAATGTTAGTAAGCATTACCTGAATCTGATCTGCTCTTAATTTTCTAATGAACGTGCATCATGCAATCTGGTAGAAATTTAGTGATGTTTCAGGGGAACATATTGCTTCTATCTTCAGGCTCAGAGTTCAAGCTGAGCATGGGAATGCCCAATCCTCATGCAAAGGGACTTACATCACCCTCTTCAGGTTTGAACACCTAGAGCAGTGACCAGCATTCTCACCGCATGGCATTAGTGAGGTGGTCCAGATCAGCATCTGATGCATGTGGCATGGAGAACTAGACATGATGTGTAAATTCCTTATGTGAGCAGTCATGCCTCAAACTACTGACTTATAAAACTGATAACAGAATATCAAATACCGTAACATTAAACACTTAAATTATTAAAAATATTAACGATAAATTATGTTAATTGACATGTTAGCAATGATCACCATAAGCTACAGTTGCAGCCAATGCAGCTTCACAACAGATCATTAACAGTTATGATTCAATCTACAGGAGTATTTACAAAGTTCATAAACAAATTAATATTTTATTGAAAATTGATATCTCTTTGAATACAACAGGGCAGCTCTGGTTGTAACAGATACTAGGAAGGCTACTTGGCTTGAGACTGGATGCAAAAGAGCCATCACGGGGGGGGGGGGTTGACATCTCTGAAGAAGCTGTCCAAGGTCCAAAACTTGAGTGTTGAATTGGAAGCCTGAAAACTGGGACCATAAGTCTAATGGGTGCTAATCTGATGGCATCATAAGTTCAGAAATTCATAAACTAGGAAGTCACGGGTGCATTTATGCCTGCATACTGTATACAGTTGAGGGCCATGGAGTCACTGGTTTGGTTGGAATGCAGGTTGGTTTGACTGAATTTTCTCCACCCTCCATACCCTACCTCAAATACAATTACCAAACCCTTCTCTACATTCACACCTTATGTTGCTATGTATTCTGGGTTGTAACTTATATGACTGGTTAATGAGCTGTTAGGATTACAAGCAGAGCTAACAGCACAGGCAGCAAAACTGAGCCAGTTCTACCCACTACAAACACTACAGAGTACAGAGCTAAATAGATACAGGAACAAGGCACCACGAATTGAGCCAATGTTCTGTTCTACACGCTACAGAGCCCAGAATTATGCAGACAGCTTGGTACCCTGACGTTTGTTCGCTGCATCATGGATGTGAGGTGAGGCCTGTTCCACCAGCAGGCAAGAGAACTGGAGCAGCAGAATCCGCACAGAGTCCGAGTTGCCAAATGGATTTTCTGGATCAATCACCTGAAAAACAAACGCAGGTATGCGTCTCAAGATGGCTCTGCAGTATGGCACTCTGTCTTACCTGAGCACATCAGTCACTTTCTGGAAGAGCTTTACAACCTTCTGGGGCGCGACCCCATGTAATCTGGTGGAAATTCACCGATGTTTTTGAGGAATACACTGCCCCTTCTTCAAAGTATAACAGTAAGCCTATTATGCTGATTCTATCTGATGGTATTCTGCAATAGAATATTGTGACAATGGTCTACTTTTCTAAGGCGAAACTGAAATTTTGTGAATTTTAAATACTGCTCTTTATATCGGGAAAAGTGAAAATTAAACTTCTCAAGAACTGTAACACACAGACATACAGTAAGCAAGGCATTCCCTTGCTCCTCTGAGCTTTAGTGAATGCAAATATCTCAAGCAAATACAAAACACTGTTTTCTGGGGGTGAGGGGATTCTAAAATTTTAGGGGAGGTACTTAAACTAAAATATTTGTCCTTTACTGTCAAAACAGGTGCAAGAGTGTGGAAACGTGAGAACAAACAACACACAGGCATGCGCTCTTCTTTATACACAAAGAGAGAAATTTCAGAAAGGTTTCCTTTAATATGTTGTCTCACTGTGACCTTTAGCGATTTTAACGTCCAACAATATGGAAATGAGAAAATATATTAATTATGAATAAGAATCAGAACTACAATCCACTAAGCAACAAAGTTCAACAGACTGACCCTTTAATGTTACTACGATATAATTTCTGACCTTGCTGATGAAGACAGACACGACATTGTCAGGATTGTCCTGGTCAGGAGCTGCAGAGCTGCCCACCAGCTTCTCGCCTTCCCCACGCTCGAAGCTCTGAGCAAAGCAAGGAATCAGCACCATTTGCAGTATCTTCGACTTGAGCTCCTGGGACACAGATGGGTTTGGGAAGTGCTCTACAAACCGGAAGAAGGCAGAACGCTTCCACTCTATGGTGTAGCTCTGGGCCACAACATTCTCTAGGAAGTCCCGCAGGAACTGAAACAGTGGAAATGTCACACATGCACTACACAATAACAGAATTTGTACTGAACAATGTACAAGGGCTTATGGGCTACATGAAGGGCAGTGAATAGGATAGGTTTATAGTTCAATGAAGTTTCATATCGGAAGGCGAAATTTTTCACTGGCTCTCACAGAGGAGCCATACGAACCTGGAAGTCTGGTATGAACCGCTCACAAAGGGCACGCAGCAGCTGGAACAGCAGGTCGATGTCATTCGGATGATGGCAAAAGAAGTGCAAGAGGATCTTGATGATAAGTTTCGGTTCCTTCCAATGCTGGTAATCTACGCAGTCCACCTTCCGGTGGAACTCCTGCTGGACAAACACAAACATCTAACCAAAAAGGAAATCTGTCCTGCATTGATGTATAAATATTTTGTACACAGGAGAAGGCAGGGCTATTACAGAGGAATCTGAGCTTCATATCGGAAGCAGTGGTTATATCTGAATCACTCATAAACTCCATGCAGCACAAGTGATTGTCAGCTACAGAAAAATAGAATGTTCTTGAACCCAAAGGTTCATTACCATGTTCAAAAGACCATACCACTGGTCCCTATCCTGAGCCCAGATTTGAAAGATCCAATGCCGGTTTAAAAATGCCTGACAGCTTTTACAGCAATCCTTCAGTATCAGCAGACTGGCCTGTCGACATCGACTAACTAGTGCTGTGAGGACAGATTATTAAGGAATGTGCTTCTCAACAACCGGGACTGCATCTCTGTTTTTCTTAAGAGTGGGGTGAGACTGAGCCCCTTGCTACTGTGGCTTCAAATGGGTCTACCGCACCAGCCACTAGTAATAGATGAGTATGGGCGACTGGTGGAATGCTAGCATAGGAAAACTTCCCACAGTGCCACTGTCTATCATAAAACCTACACAAACTATTTAGGAACTGAACCTGGGATCTGATCTACAGCTGCACCTCCACCTGACTTTACAATGCTGTGTACCTGGTACTGGTCGTCGCACCAAATCTGTTTGTAGGCAGTGACAAGTTGGTGCTGTGATGACAGCCACTGATCATCCAGCTTTATGAGCAGTGAAGTGATGCGGATGCTCTGGTACTGCATCTCCCTCTTGTCTGCTGTAGAATGAAGCACATCTATTACACTCGCATCACACACGCACGAGAGAAGCAGAGCTCCTCAGCCAGCCGAGAGAGGAGCTTGAGTTTGCACATTACACTACGGCCATGGAATGAAGGCCCAGGGATGGTGCTAGGGATGAAGATGCTAAAGATCTTCCCCTCTCTGCCTGCTGCTGTATTCCTTCTCAGGCCACTTTGGTATATTTCAACCAGCCTAAAATGCTTGTTGCTAGCAAAGTTTGACATGACTATTCCTACCAATTTGCATACAAAGAGAATGGCAGGACAGAACAGGTAAACAGGGACGCGTGCTTGGGTGGGAATGTAGGAGATCGAAAGAGATTCATGGGACTTCTTTCATGGCCTCTGTACAGAACACATGTGTTTGGTTTCACTGTTAGCGGACTGTTGCTGCAGTCACAATCCAAGTTATGAAAACTGCAGGTCAGATGGTTGAAAATCATTTGTAACACACATGCCTTTTCTACAGCATTAAGAAACAAGAAGTTCTGGGAAGAAATAATCACCTACTTTCTTTGATACGACATCGATCATACAGAAAATGTGTCCAACAGTTCATCTACTGTTGCAGGTGTATTCGTTGCCATGGTAACGTTTTTACCAAGCCTTTGCCTAGCAACGATATGGGGATACAGACACACAGAATGATGGGAGGGATTTATAAAATATGCCGCTGAGATGGGCTCAGGCGCCATGACATACATACCAAGTTTCATAAAGATTCACTCAGGCATTCAAAAGTTCATAGGTGGGGATTCACAAACAGCAAGGTGATCTCATAAGCATATTTTTATTTTTTAAAAATATCAAAAGTAGGCTAAATATGGTCCTCCTTAAATAATACAGCAGCATTTGATGTACCTGGCTGCAGAGGCTGCTGGGAACTATTTCCAAGGGCCAAGTTGATAAGTCGCATGCTGCTGTTCTGCAGAACATCTCGGAATGGCTTCCCATCCTTGTGTTTGATCATAAACTCCAAGTAGCGACTCCACTGCTGATCCTGCAGCCGCAACATCATAAGCAGAAATTACAGTAAAATCCACTACATCTGCTGATTAGTCTGCTGTGCAATGAAACCACTGGCAATCGTGTCCTACTGTAACAACTGGATGACTTCTGACAACAAATTGTGAATTTACTGGCATAATATGACCACATAATGAGCTTTACATCACTAGGCTTTATGTTCTTTGATATCTCTCCTAACAGTTTGGACATGAGGACAACAGATGGCAGGAATTCTATGCTGTCCATTACCAAGCATCTCTTTTTTCTTTAATTCTAGGAAAATTAATTTACAGTCAGTAGGAGTGACATAGAAATAAAAAGGATGGTTATGCATTAACTGTTTCTCAATCACTTAAACAACTGGTTGCAAATAAAAGCGCTTAGAATCATCACCACAGTAATCCAGACTTTTCCACTAGGATGGAGGGAAAATGTATTGAACACAATGTAAAGGTTTGTATGGATGGGTCATCTCAAGTCAGTGCATATCAGATGGAAACTGACATGTGAGGCAGATGTTTGCATATACTTGGAGAGACACATCACCTTGATGTTATTGTCATGCAGAAACAGGTCGATCGTCTCTTGTGGGAAGCGCAGAAGGAACTTCATCAGTGGCTCCCGGAATGGAGAACTTGCCTCCACCAGAAGGCTCTTTTCTGTCTGCAGAACTAACCGACACAATATGTCGATGAACTTGGGTGTTGCAGCAGGAATCTGGTGGAAAATGCCAATGATGGTCGCTATCTTCTGTTCATTTTCTCCATTCTTCGACACTCCTAGAAAAATTCAGAGAAAGCGGCTCCTGAAGGGCACCATTTCCCAGTGTGTGACACCGTGTGGTCTGACAGTAGTTTGCCCACATTTCTCAAATTAACATAATGTCCATCTTCAGGGTCAAGAGACCGGAGAGCAAGCAAAATGAATTGCCTGCTGTGTGACTGCTGCTCTTCGATTACTCTCTGACCCTGAAGATGGAGACAGTACATTCTTCCATAACATTTGTAAACTTCTACCACACTATGCAGCATCACATCCCACTGATGTGAGCACCTCAGGTCTCATGAAGCAAGCCCCAACACCACCATTTTGTTCTCAATGGACTGCTAATCTGCAGGATATTTAACAATGCTCTGTCACAGAGAGAAGTTAATTAGAACGTAATGAAATCTGAGGATGATCACGTAGAATGATCTGGAAAGGATGTTACTGTGAAATGCTGTGATTATCTTGCACACACACTGTATAGTCTGAGCTACTGACATTGTCATTAAATAAATTATTAAATATATAAGCTCAACGGAGCATGCACTGAAGTGGTATAAATACAATACAAATATACATACATTCCTTCTGACAAAACTGACGACAGAACGATGTATACACCATTTGTACAAGTACATCTGCTCTGTATTCACAGTACAACACTCAAACGTGCCGGTTCTGACCATGTAGAGATTACCATATTCAGCAATAAATGCAAGACAGAACTAAGGCACTTCTTCTAGGAACATGGAGCTGCTACAGCTCACTTCGCACAGTGCCTAAGCTATGGGCTGGATGACCAGAGAATCACGGATCTATTCCACTGAGGAGTACTAACCTCCTGGGCTGTAATGATGTGCAGTGCCTCTACCTTTAGCTGAAGAGTGAACAGAAAGCAAGTGGCTCTGCACGCTGAAGGCAGATATAGTACGTATATTCCTACGAATTATAGTTGAACGTCTACCAGGCTACATGGTGTCACATCCCAGACATTAGTACTTTAAAATAGTCCATGCTGTGAAAGCTGCAGGTCTGGTGGCAATTTCTACCTTTGTCGCCACATCCAGAGTGACTTTGGGGCCAACACGGACTCCCACAGAATGAGTATAGGGGATGTTCTTTTCTGGGGGGTTAAGTGGTCAGGGTGTGTAATTAACCTCTCCATTAGAATTACTGAGGCTGTAGCTCCATATGAAGGTCAAGGCCTGCAGTGGGATACAGTGCCAGTCCTGTGCCTCTACTTCAGCACACACATCCCTGCCACAACAGAGACAGCATCCGTACAGCTGTGTGAGAGAGACGGTGGAGTAACCACTGCTGCCACACAGCACATGTCCCACCGAATGACATGCTGTCCAGTTACCTTTATGAGCTAAAATGGCAACTTCCAGCAGCTTCTTCAGATGTTGCAACAGCTGTTCACAAAGTTTTTCATTGAAGCTCGATGGAAATAGCTGCGTCAAGTATGACAGGCGCTTGGCCCCATTGAGACTTAAATTGCGATAATCTCCCAGTGTCAGCAGCAATGGACGCATCACAGTGTGAACCTACAGCAATCAAAAGGACACAAATTAAGCTTTAAGCAATGTTTTAGATTCATACTTGGGACGTACTTGGTTCAAACCTTGGTTGGGATACTGGTTATACTGACTGAGGTAGTTCACTGTTTTCCTCAGTTCTTCCAGGTCAATTCAAGGACAGATCCTCAAATTAGGCCACGACTCCTTCCTTCCACATCCTATCCAATCAATTATTCACTTATCATCCTAAGATTTGATGCCGTACATTCAGAAATCCTGACAGCACTGTAAAGGAAATGACCTGCCAATAGACCCTACACTAAGTGAGGTGACTTCAGCTTATACTGACACATCTCATATTTATAAGATACATTTTAATATTATCCTCTGTCTAGGTCATCCAAGTGATCTCTTACCTCCAACCAGAATCTCTGTATACATTTCTCATCTCTCCTATGCATGCTATATGACCTGCACATCTTAATTTCCTTGAGGTGATCCCCACAACAATGTCTAGTGAAGGCCACTACATCATGAAACTCCTCACTATGCAATTTCTTGATTCAGTCAGTCCCACCCTTTTCAGTCCAAATATTCCCCTCAGCACATGTTCTTCCCTTAATGTGACAGACCGAGTTCTGCACCCATATAAAAAATAGGTACAATTATAGTTTCCTACACTATGAGCAATGAGGAGGAGGGCAGGGACATTATGAGCACATGGAAAGCCAAAATATTGTTAACTGAATGGTAGAAAGCATTTCCTAATTTCAATTTGCTTTCAGTTTCTCAGAATGCCATTTCAGTTTGTCAGTGCTGATCCCAAGCATACATGTCATGTCACAGCACAGTGACACAATGCTGATGCCTGAATCTAGCTCAGGGCACACAGTGCCTCTGTGTCAACTACACGGATATGGAATGACGAACTGCGTAGCGCAATCCCATTACATGAGGTTCACGTGTCTCTACTGGGGTTATGGATCCCACAGTGGGGCTTCATGTCTTGGTGCTGTACTGTAAGTGTGCTTCTGCCAACAGGACCGCACTGGGGAGATGTGACACCCTGCAGTCTGGCACAAGTTTACAGACAATTTAGAGGGACTCACTGCCTCCATCTTCAGGATTGTGAAGTAAGTCAAGCAAGTAACTAGCAAGAAGCTAGCAGCTAGCAGTGGTTTATTCTTTAACCCTGAAAATGGATGTAGTAGGTCCCTCTGACATGTCAGTGAACCACACTATAGGGCACCATATTCTGGTTACTACAAAGAGAAGCTCTGCATTTACTATGGTGGGACTAGGGTACTCTGACAAAATTATGGTGGGATGGAAGACGCAAAATGTTGAGAATTCCGAGCTTAAACTTTTCAATTTTAAGTTGACCCTGAACAAGCTTCTTTTCTTTCTGCTGTCCAATTCTGTGTGCTTACCATCTCCATGTCAATCTGGAAGCCTGCAATGAACTTCTTCATGCATTCGAAGCCGGCCTCCTGCAGCTCTGGGTTTGACTGCTCCAGAGCTTTGTACAGCACTGGGAATATCTTCTCTCGACAAGACTGGATGTAGTGGCACGCTGCCAGGGCTCGAAGTGCAGACTTGCGCAGAGGGACGAGATTGCTTACTGACTTATAGCATGGCAGCTTGTTAAGGACAGAGTTCTCTGCCTCACACAGGGATAACAGCTCGTGGAAGAAGACCTTGTGCTCCACAATGGACAGGTCTGAAAAACAATTTGAATGCGTATCATTAGACGAAGCCTGTTCCAGCTTAATAAAAATAAGCAAGAAGGCCTGTGAAGCAAAGCGTAAGACACTGATAGGCACTTTGCCGTGTAGCTGAAAATCTAGACAGTAGAGTATCCTGCTTGAGCAGCTGGAAGCAACTCAACTAGCCAAGATGTTCTCCTATGTTATGGAACCAAAACAGCTGTCAGTACATTTGGAAAGGTCCACCACTGGACCCTATTCTCAGCCAGTTCAGAACAATGTTTGCAACCCCACAGAACACCTAGACAATTCATCAATCTGTCACACTGTAGAAATGAAACAACTCAATCACTGAACTGATTTTCATGACGTTTTAATAAAGTACATCAGTACATTCCACTCTCGGTTAAAATCTGACAAGAACAACAGACACTTCACATGATGGCCCGCATTCAGTTCTTCCTGCACTTCAAGTGTAACTCGTCAACTATCTGAGCCAAAAATGTTTGCAGCAAAAACTGTGAAGAAAAATGAAACATTACACTTTTAAGTAAAAATGAAACATCTGTCTGTTTTCTACCGTGAACTTAATTGAAAACACTCAAATATAACATGACATTTACTCCATAATCTTCCCAAAATGTATGGCAGCCATGGCCGTTAAAGTGCGGTGCAAGTATTATGGCAGAGTTCTTGGATGTCATTTGAATCCTCATTACGGCTTTCAAAGTACATGACTAAACTTCAATTTCTTAATTTGAGTGTTGTTCTCCTTTAAAGTTTTAACTGCTGTGTGTTGTCATATCAACAAAACACATACCTGGTCAAAGGAGATATTTTTCTGATGTGATAATCATTTTATTTTTCTAGAATGCTAGGAAGCTTACAAATTTGCACAGTGACTCACCGATGGTGAAGAGTCGTGGCTCCAGTGTGGTGCAGAATGTGTTGCCATCCATGATGCCGATCTGTACATTCGCTGGCTGGTGGCGCAGGAGGTGTTTCTTTGGTGGGATCATGTCTTGGAGTAGCTCTCTGTGTGGCTCCATCACCTCTGTCACAGTCTTGTTCTGGATGCGAGCCAGGACCTCCAGCGAGTGCATTGCCTGAGGCATGTTATGTAACATTAACTGTTATGCACATCCCAACTTTCAAAAGAACATTCAGGAAAGTATGCCATAAACTCTTGATTATCCACAGAGAGAAGTAGAGTAGGTAATTAAAAACAGCGGATAAAACATAAATCTGGACACAGCTACTCTCTGCGCAAAATTCAACACTAGGAGTCACTTAACTATTAACTGGTCATGCTTATGGTCACTGAAGAGTGCAACAAAGATCTCTCTGACAGACTTGAAAGGATTCTGATGATGGTGTATACTGTACTTCTTTTGGCTTGGAGGTTGAAAGTAACAGCAGATACAGAAAGTACAAAGAATCAGCTCATAGGGCATGTTCAACCAATCCGATCAGCCAACCCAGTTTGGATATTTCTCCCATAGGAATTCCCCTCATCAATGAAGAGGTTAACAATTCAAAAATGTAATTTTTTATGAATATTAGAGGCTTCCACTACCTCTGCAAGGTTTGCTCCGGGGATTAGTCTGATTCCTGGAAGTCGCCCTGGTGGCACGATTCTTTATTCACACAGATTACGCATGCATCATCCAAGTTTTTACTTTCATTTTTAACAGAATTCCTGGAATTTAATCTATACTTATGTTTTTTACATTGTTGACATGTGCATGCTTGGCACAAAATTTTCTATCATGTCTTTTACTGTGATTTTATTCTTATTTCCCACTGATGGAACCGGTTATCGGTTGTTCATAGGTTGTTTTCTATGGACTGGGGTTTTCCCAGTGATTGAGATTAGCTCTTTCTGGTGGGCCCAACTGAGTAGGTTTATCCTCCCCTACCCACCTAAAGACAGAGAGACTCCTTGTGGTCTTTTGTCTTTTACACTAGACCATGGATGAAGTCCAAAAGAAGTAAAGATCTCTCTGTTCACTGTTAGTAAATCAGGGTAAGAAGCAACAAAATAACAGAAGAGAAAGTTGTAACATCCTGAGAAGATGTACAGTCTTGTGCAAACTGCAGTTAGGCACCACTGAAACATATGAACACAGAAAGGTGCAATGGGCAACATCTATATCATTATGGGAAGCTACAATATCTGTCCATAAAGTTCTGAGACTGATTTAATATCTTGGCTTACGTAAATGTTGGGCAATTCTGGGAAAAGGTGTTCTAAATACAGGACAATTTATGACTGGCCTATGTTATTGATGTTAGTTCACTCAACCTCTGGTACACAGCCAGGCCCAGCGTAAAAAAAACCCATGTCATTTGTCAGTTGCAGATTTGGGCTGTGAGAATGAATGAATGTTAAATTTTAAGAGCGAGGTAACTTCAAATTTCATGTGAAGCTGGGCTTTGCAGCTTCTATGTGATGCCTATGGTGATGACGTTTTATCTAGGGTGCGAGTGTTTGAGTGGCACAGACAATTCATGTTGGGCAGGGTGTCAGTGGAGGATGATACAAGATCAGGCTGGCCTTTGAGTTCCCAGAATGAAGACAACATGGTTCACATCAGAGACCATGCTGTTACACTGTGCATGTTAGTTGATGCCCTGCATATGAGTAAGTTGATCTGCCACCAAATTCTGTGAGAGGACTTGGGTAAACAAAAACTCAATGCCTGGCTAGTCCTGCACACACTCACTTGGGATCAAAAGGAGGTGTGAGCTTCAATTTCTGCTGATTTTTACATGAGGAACAGAACAATTCCATGTTCATCAATAGTATCATTGCCAAGGATGAATCATGTTGTTTCCAGTATGACCCTCAGACAAAGAGGCAAAGCACTGAATGGTGGTCAATGGGTTCACCAGCATCAAAGAAAGTGAGATGGCAGCTATTGAATACAAAGGCGATAATCATTTTTTTTACACCAGGGGTACTCTTCACCATGAATTTGTTCCACAGGGGCGAACACCCAAACGCTCCAGATTCATTAAGTAGGGATTCCACACATCATTCACAGGAACCGAATGGGAGTGACGCAGTTATATGTGAATGATATTTACCTGCTCCCTGAGTAGAGTGTTCGGGCTGGTCACTTGTCGTACAAGCTCATGTGTCACTTCAAACAGACTCTTCTGCTGAGCATTCACCGCATCATCGTTAGTTCCATCTCTCTCCACAGGAGCAGCACAACTGATGAGCATCTTCTCCAAGTTTGCCTTTGCCATGTCAACTGCACCACTTGAAACCTGTACATGCCAGTGACCACTGTCAGAACATGCACAAGTTAACCTCTTATTTTATGTACCACCAGCTTTAACAATACAAGACTCCCCATTCTGCAGAGCACCACATTTTTTATTAAGACTGTCAGAATAAAGAGCACACTTTGTCATGGGGACAGTCAGCTTCTTGAGAGGGAGAATTAAATTTTTAAATATTATTTACATAAATTTCATGTTTTGAAGTGTCTAAAGCACTAACAACACTAATAACTTATCTCACTGCACTTCTGTCCTTACAGTGGCTCCAGCAATTGTGATCACAGAGTATTGTTACATAAATAAATTATAAAGAAATACATTATGTGAACAGAAATAAATATTATTATTTATTATTATTATTATTATTGGAGGGGGTGGGTTTCCCCATGCACCACAACTAATAGTCTATTGTATGTCCCCCTTTGATATTCTACCAGTCGCCATACCCTACCGGTACTGGCGCGTGCTATCAGCCCTGTTCAGCCAACGAGGTCGGCCCTCGGTACCCGATACCTCCCCCATCTACCAGAGGCATTGGAAACTACTTGGGAGGGATTTTTGCCTAATTTTGCTCAGAGTTCTCCTAGAGAAATGAGGATCTTTTACGTGCCGTAAATCTACGACACGGGACCCACGGCTTAAAGTCCCTCCCGGAGGACTTGTTCCCTGAATTTTTCCATCCTTAAAAATTCCACGACCTCCGCAACAGAAATAAATAACTACATTAATTCATTAATACATAATTAATTATTAATTAATTAATACCAACAGCTGGCAGAATGTGTTCACAATACTATACGCTCAACAGCCACCCCCTTTCCCCTACTCCTACAGCTTGAGCAAGGATAACTGGTCAGCACTCTTGCTGTCTCCCTACAACGGGTATAACGGTGAACCTACCTCTCCTGTGAGATCCATCATGACGAACAGCAGGGCAGTGAGGAACAGGAACAGGTGTTCGTGCACCCAACGCATAGCCATGCGCTCAACCAGGAACTTGATGGCAATGCAGCCACCCAGCTTGGCATACCAGGCTCGCTCATAGCACAGCGAACACATGCGTTCTGCCAGGTACTCCATGAGGGGCAGCTGGCAAGCCTGGAACAGCAGCAAACTCTTCAGATAAGTCGCACACGTAAATATGGCTGACGAAAAGTGGGACAGACATGAATAAATCAGAGGAACAGCAGGAGAAAGCAAGGACAGAAGAGAAGAGTGTGAAGAATTAGGAGAAGGGAAAGGAGTAAAGGAAGTAGGAGAAGAATGCAGAAAAAGGGAATAATAAGTAGAACCAGAAGCTAAAGTAAGAGGGGATGCCATCACTGAGTATGTAACTACATTACCACAGTACAGTAGCAAGTACAGCCACTGCTATACAACTAATGTCTAGGGAACAGATTTCTACACACATTCCCATGACAACGAATATTCATGCAACAAAAGAAGAACCAATTTCTAAGTAACGGATGGGTAAACACACAACAATAGGGGTATTGTTAGAAACCGTGTTCTCTCTTCAGTCCGTGCAAAGTGGTTATAAAGAAGAGTTCAGTTGAGTTCCAGAGCTGGCAGTTGCAGCAGAGAACTAATCAGTTAGTTGAGAACTGAGAGAGTCTCTGGGGACGGAAGTCAAAGATGATGGCAACAGAGGAATTAGCATGTGCAAAGAAGACTTCATAGTGCACTGCAGTTAGAATGAGACTGTTATAAATCTGTTGCCAGGATACGACTAATGAAGACTGAGGACACTAGTGTCTGTAACAGTGAACTGTGAAGTGTGGTTACAGCCATAGTGCTATAATTAATTGTAGTTATAAGTTGAGTGTATAAGTGCAATAAAACCAATCATCCAATCCGAACCCCGTCTATAAGTCACGCAGCCCCTGAAACACATGATAGGATTTATTTTCTTTATGACACTATCAGTAACACAGACTATATATGTGACAGAGTCATTAAGTTCGTGGAATGTGGTTTTATTGCATCATATTACAAGGTATTCACACACACACTTACACACATCCACATCGGCCCCCAAAATAGTTGCCGTTGGCCACTATGCAAGTCTGCCAATGTTGATATAGCTGTCGAAAACATTGCTGAAACATATCGGCAGTAAATTCCCGTACAACACTTTGCGGCCATTCCACGAACTTATTGACTGTGGCAGTGTGTAGTATAAAATGGCTGGAAATAGTAGGCCTAATTTTAGGTACCATACTGGCACTTTAATGGATGGACTAAGGAAAACCATGAAAGACCTGTCAGGACAGTCGATATCCTGACTGAGATCTGAGCCAGACTTATGTTGGAAGTGTCAACTTGCTTGGTACTTGCATTATCATAGCGTTCATTTATGGTTAATTTAATGACACAGTCAGAAGCTCAGACCACACATTGCCAAATGATTGGGTGACTTATGAACTGTTAAATGTAAAGGATTGCAAAGGAAGCAGTCATGGCCTATTTAAAGGTACCTTCCCAGAATTTATCTACAGAGACCGAGTAAAATCACGAAAAGATCTTCGTAAGGATAACTAGTCTCTGGGCCAAAATTTCATTCTGGGGCGTCCCGAATGCTAATGCCTCGACCACAATGTTCAGTCTCACAGTGCTAAATGTACAGGTGTTATTGCATAAACAGTGTTTGCCTTCTGCTTGGAGCCGAGAATGTTGATGGCGGTCTCCAGGATCAGGACAAGCGCCAAGTGTCCTGGCTTGCACAACTCCTTCTCCTCATGTCCCATTATGACAGCCAGAGAGTCTATGAGCACCAGGGGGTCCATGCCCTTCAGGCTTGCCTGCTTCGATGTCATGGAGAATGGACCTGGGTGAGAGATGAAGCAGCGGCAAATCATTAAGCCAGGCCAACCGGACCCACAAACACATGAAGAGGCAGTATCAACACATTTACTTCACTGGACTACAGGTTCTCACAGCAGAGCATGTAGCACGAATGGGGGAGAAGAGGAATGCATATAGGATATTGGTGGGAAAGCCTGAAGGAGAGAGACCACTGGGAAGACCAAGGCGTAGGTGCGTGGACAATATTAAAATGGATCTTAGAGAGATAAGATGGGATGGTATGGGCTGAATTGATCTGGCTCAGGACAGGGACCAGTGGGGAGGCTCTTGTGAACATGGTAATGAACCTTCGGTTTCCATAAAATGCTGGGAAATGCACATGTACAGGTTCTCACAGCAGGGACTATGAAGAGCCTGGTCTTCCAGGTTGTAATTCCATGCAGTCTGGCAGAAGTTTACCGGTGTTTCAGTGAAATATACTGCCTACATGGCGACCATGAACAGTACAACATGCAGGATCTGAGGCTCTCACAGCGGTAGTTATGAAGAGTTCTATCTTCTGGGCTATAACAGCAGGCAGAGGTTTCGAAGGAATATGTCACCTGCTTTCACACTGTTTTCTTGCTTGGCTTATTCTTCTACCCTGAAGATGGAGGTGATATGTTCCTCTGAAATGTCAGTCGACTTTCAACGGACTGCATGTCGTGACATTCCAGAAGATGGAACTCTTCATGAATGGTGCAGTTTTCTGGACTGTAACACCACACAATCTGGCAGGAGTTCACCACTGCCTACACTTCAGAGCAGAAGAGTAAGACAGGCAAGCAGCGCTCACCTAACTCTCTTACCAGCCTGTGGCTGCATTCCTGAAGAACACAAACACAGTGAAACAGGAGATGCACAAAACAAACTGAGCATGGTGTGGAGAGTGCATGAAACTGTCACTAAGTCAACATAGTGGGGCAAGTTGGGTAAACTGCATGAGCAGCTCAGTGGGCATGCTGATGTTCCCCATGGCATGATGTGAAAACTGCTGATACGGAAATGAGAGGCACTGTGTTCTCCATACTCGCCTTGTGAGAACCTCAAATGAAACAACTTCATAACACTCCGTTACAATACACAATGTGATATCTATGCACATACTGGAAACTGGCATTGAGCCCAATAAAGACCACAGCCATTTACATTTCCTGAGGTACACGGAACTGACGACCATATTCCTCCACTGAACTGTACTCACCAGCCTGCTGCGATATCGCCACCATTGTGTAGTGACTCACGAGAAACACCATAGTGGGCAACACACACTGTCGCAACTCCTTTATGGCTGCAGCAACAAACATTCCTGCCAACACAAATGTGACCTCTTAGATACAAAGGAGAAGTAACTAAACTGACTTCCACACACTCTTCAGCGAGTTCACACGTTGGACATGGTTTTTAACACTCACAACCTATTTCTTGAAAATCAACATTAATAGTGTGACATTGATGGTGCAACAGGAAGTAGGGGTCACGTGAACTCTGCGTTCTCGTGAGTGACATCACATACCCCCACTCCTTCCATAATTACGCAACGCTCGGTAAACACCACTCGCCGCTAGGCTGTGACGTCACGCAACAGTAGGGTGTCTGTTGCAACATCATCCCTTCTGTTCCCATTTATATGCTACACGCCTGCTCCAGCTCATCTTCTTCAGTACCATTCCAAAATGTGGTGAGAAGTGCAAATTATGAAACACCCAATTATGCAGTTCTCTCCACCCTCCTGTTACTTCCTCCCTCTTTGGTTCAAATATTCTCAACACCCTGTTCACAAACACCCTCAGTCTGTGTTCTTCCCTTAATGAGAGAGACCAAGTGTCAGACCCATGCAGAAGAACAGGACAAATTACAGTTTTGTATATTTTAATCTTCATATTTTAGATACAAAATGGGAAACAAATATTCTGAACTGAACAGCAGCAAGCACCCCCCAAATTTCACATGCACTTAATTTCTTCATGAATGCAATTCTGATCAAACAGAATCTTCTCAGGGTATCAACCATGTCAGTTGGTTGAAAAATAAGAAATGTTTCAGGGACTACCTCTGTCTTCATCATCATGGTCTGATGACAAGGTCTGACTCACCTGATAAGCTGAGATTTTATTAATTTCAGTCATTGTGAATTATATTTTTGATCTGTTACTCCTGTTCTTAAATATTCAAACAGCCACATTTTCGAAGGATCTATTACCTGCCTTTATGTTATGATTTTGTCCTGCCCTGCTTCCAGAAAACTCTACGTCATGCAATTTGTACAACAACAAACAGTAATGAATTCAACATAATAACTACCTAAGAACCTTAGCAGTAACCAGCAAAGTTACTGGTATCATATGAGCTAGTGCCTCTACTTGCCTGTGACTGCCATCTGGTGAGTGGCCCTGGCCTGCTTGTCCTGTGACTTGTAAGGAATGCCCTGGATTGGAGAGATCTTCACGTGAGGATCATCAAGGCTGCAATTGCAATGTGTAGCAATAATTATACAAGGGTCCTAGTGTAAGATTTGAGGTTTTCACGGCGGTGACTATGAAGAAAGCAGTCTTCTGGGATGTGGCGCCGTGTAGACGTGTTAACCGACGTTTCGGACTATATTCAATTGTATCAGCAGAGTGCTGTCCCAGAGGACTGCTTTCTTCAAGGTTCCTAGTGTTTTACTACGACAGCAAGTGGGTAATAAAATTTTGTTTCCACTGGATCTACGATTCTCACAGCAGTGACTAGGCAGAGTAAGGTCTTGTGGGTTGTAACACCAAGTAATCCGGAGACAGTCCAACATTTCAGAGGAACATACCACCTCCATCTTCAGCGTTGAGGAGTAAGCCAGCTTGCCACCTGCTTCTATTGTTTCTTGCTTGGCTTACTTTCACTCTGAAGATGGAAGCAATAAGTCCTGCAATCTCACTCCTACTCACTATAACAAGCAGACATCACTGCAACAACATGCGCACACACTGTTCAACTCCTGCCATCTGCTGTTCCTGTACACTGGCTACCAAAGGATGAATCAAAGGCCACAAAGAGCAAAGGTATACGTAGTACAGTCAATAATCTCATGGATTGGCCGCATAGTGGTGCTGTTATGCACTACAGTGGATACATGGAGCCATGAGGTCGTGCCATGTCCATTCTTCTCTTGTCCCCGCAAGAAGCAGTTGCATGCATGGAGTGCATTCAGAAAGAAAGTCACTGCTGTGAAGGGTAGTTGTCTGCGAGAGGCAGAAATCGAGAATGTCGCAGTTTGAGCAACAGGAAAACGTGAAGTTCTGTAAAAAAAAAATTAGGCACATCCGCTAGCAAAACGTTTCAGATGATCAAGCAAGCGTATGGCGAAGAAGCCTTGGGCTCTAGTGCTGTGTTTAAGTGGCACAAACGTTTTACAGAGGGGAGAGACAGTTTGGAAGATGATGTGCATACTGGCCAGCCAAGAATAATCATAATTCCACTCAATATCCAAGAAATTGCAACTTCGGTGCATGCCAACTGGTCCCAAATGGTACATGAAATCGCAGCAGCAGCAGCAGCAGGGATTGGCTATGGTACTTGCCACAAAATTCTGTCTGATGACCTGAACACGTCTCATGTTACCCAGCACTGTGTTCCACGTGTCCTGACGCAAGACCAATGTGACAATCACATGAGCATTTGTGGTGATCTGATCAATAGTGCTGAGGAAGGTGGGACGCTTCTCAACTGGATCATAACAGGAGATGAAATACAGTGTTTTCTGTATGAACCACAACTGAAGCGACAATTGGCCACCTGAAAATCACCATCATTGCCAAGAAAGAAGAAACCGTGATAGGACAGGTCAAAAGGCAAGATAGTGCTTGAACTGTTTTCCGACTCATCTGGAACTGTTCACATGGAATTCATTCCAGAAGGAGCAACTGTAAACAAGCAAAGCTACAAGATCGCTCGTCATCTATGCAATTCAAAGCATCCTGAGCTTTGGTGCAGGTAGAACTTGCTGTTGCTACATGACAACACCCCCGAACATCGCTCTGTGCTTGTCCAAGAGAAGCTTGCAAAACATAATTTCTTTTTCTTTCCCCGCTTGAAAGAAAAGCTATGTGAGCATTGATTTCAGTTGGCTGAAGAGATCATAAGATCCCCAAAGGAAGACCTTCCTGCAAATATCTTTCAGCAGTGTTTCCAGCAGCTATACCAACGTTGGGAGACTTGCATAGCGGGCAACAGCGACTATTTTGAGGGAGGACGAGGATGTGTGTAAGTGTATGAGAGTGTCTTGCCATATGGTGTGACAAAACCACAGTTCACAAAATTACTGAGTGTAGTAGTAGCACTGCACACACCCACAATGCAGTAGTAAATTCCTAACCTGATGGTAAGGGCAGGAAAGGCTCAGTATCACTGGTACGGTGATCCTGCCGACACTCAGCGGCCTACAACTTCAGTACGGTACCTTGGGTGAGAGAAGAGCTGCTGCATCATATTCTTGTCATCATCAAGGTTCAGTGATGCAACCAAGAAACAGCGAATCACCTCCCAGCATTGCCGGCGGTAGAACGGATCTGTCGTGCTTGATTTGAGGGCAGTGAATGCTGTCTCAATGACCTGGAACACACAAGGTACAACTAACACGTGGCAATGCTGTCCAATTTGCTGGCAAGTGAACGTAAAAGCACCGTTTCAGTTACAGCAACCTGTGCGTCACCTATCACTATAACCCTAGCTGCCACAGCCGCCACCACCAGCATCTTCATCATCATTATCTTTATCTCTTCCTGTACTAGTCCTACTGAGACCTCTGTGTATACTACAAAACAAAATCCAGCCATCATTTAAAGATAAAGACACTGAAAGAAGAATAAACAAATAACAGATTAAATGGGATGGACTCATTTTGCAAATGAATGAGGAAAGAATGCCAGAGAGTGTTCTGAACATGGAACTATAAGGAAATGTGCAAGAGGAAGAACATAATCAAGAGGGGAACAACAGGTCATGAAAGAATTCACATAGATAGAAGGAAAAACATGGGAGGAAACTGAGGAGAAGGACGAGGAGGAGAGTGGAAAAACAGGGATAGATAGAGCTGCTTGGCTGAGGGCAGTTTATTTCATAACACTGTCAGTATCACAGACTATACAGCATCAAATGGCAGGAGGCTGGTAAATGCTGAATTGGAAAAGATTTGGAAGGAAGCAGTTATGGCCTAGTTTAAGTACCAATCCAGAATGTTCGCCAAGAGGGACTGAGAGAAAATATGAAAAACCTTAGTCATGACAGTTATTGTCTGTCCTGAAGTTCAAACTGAACTCCCCGTGAATACAGATCTACAGCATTACCTTCAAGACCAGTCTGTTTCAACTGAGGCTTCACTGCTAGATGACCCATGCCACCTGGAAAAGCCTACAGGAGCAGATGTCTCCCGACTGTGCAGCTTTCATAAATGCCGCCAATGTACCATTGGGTGGGCTTGAAATGGCACTGATGCAGTGTCTAGTGTCAACTGCTTTCCTATATGGTATGTTTCAGGCAAGTGGCATGCACTGGGAACAAAACTGCACTGCCGTTCTAGCGGCAATGAAGGGGGCTACCAATGCAACAAAACGTTTCTAAACATTTTCTCCTCCTGCATCATAGTTTGAGATCCTCGTGGGGCACCATCACACCAGATGCTTTCAAAATCCTGCATACCATGCTGTATGAACTCTGTTATTTGATTAGTTTCTGGAATGTGGCGCCATGCAGTCTGGTACAGAGGTACTAACATTCTGGAGAAACCTGTTCCCTCAAACTTCTGGTGAAGGTCCAGGCAGCAGGCTCCTCTGGAATGTTGGTAACCATTTACTGTTACATGGGCTCACATCCCACAAGACCACAATCTTGATACTCACTGTCCAGGAGGACTTCAAATTTCACATATGTTATTAACAAATCTGTCTTTATTCTTAAAGATTCCTTGTGTGGCTGATGAGGGTGTACAACGCTGCTCATGCTGCAGAACACATTAACCTCTCTTGGTCATGCACTTAGTGCATGCAAGTGTTCAGCTGGTTGATAACCGCATCATCACAACAGTGATATCACCAACCCCTACAATAAAATCTTGATGCCAGCCGTGCAGTAGCATCGTACATCACAATGATTACTTTTCTCTCATAAGGCATCTTCAGACCACACTTCACTGACACAGGTATTGTGAGTTATGGGTAGATAATCATAAATACTGTACTAGAATTTTTTTTTGGTTTTGTTTACCATCCACTAGGCAACAAAATTAAGATTTAAAATTTGTCACTGCAATACATGAACTGGCCTACTTGGCCAATGTCAGGTTTGTTGAAATTCGGGGTGAACTGCTGTGTTTTCACATTTAAATGTTTATAAATGAAGACAATGTAGTTCCTCCTTCTATGCCACATGCACTGTCTCTGTAACGTGCCTGTTGCTTATCTAGTGTGCAGTGTGGATGTTACTGTAAATACCAAAAACACTGACTGCAGCAGCTTGGAAGGCACAGCAGCCCCCCCCCAAAAAATTTCAAAGCACCTCAAGATAACTGCATAGGCTGAAACATGTAGTACAGTTACAGAGTTTAAAAAGATTTAATTTTAAATCTTAACATTGTTGCACAGTGGATGGTAAACAAAACCACAAATAAATTCTGATACCAACTGCCACAGTATGCTAAAATACAGCATTACAAATACTGTACCTTCTCCACGGGGAAGTCTATTGGTTTAGAGTGCTCCTGGAAGTATGCAATTATTGCTGGGCCAGGTGTTTCCTTGTCATTGTATTCCAGTTTCTGCGGTTCAATCATCATCTTGCGGTTGCCTCCGCCAAATTTGCCCAGGACCCTGCAAAAAATCGAGGACATAACTGCAGGAGCTTCCTGCCTTGTGGTCTCTGAAAAGCTGAAATGTTCAACTTTGTTACCATGTGCAGATGGTACAGGATTTCCTGAACAGTCTTTTCATTCCTTCAAAGGAGCTAGCTGTGTAGTCCAATAGAAGCTTACTGACAGTCTGGAGGAAGGTACCACCTCTATCTTCAGGGTCTAAGAGTAAGTCAATCAAGTATTACTAGGAAGCAAAGCAGAACTCTGAAATACAAGTGAACTTCTACTGAACTAAACACTTTCAAATCCCCGAAGGTAGAGCTTTTCATAGTTACCACTGGGAGAACTGGAAATCCAGAAAAAGCATCCTCTGTTGGATTAGACCATGTTTTAAAATAAGTCTTAAAATAACATAACTCAAGTATCGCCCAACTTCATTCACTATCAAGCCACTGGCTACAGGAAAATTCACTGTGGTTCAAATTATTACAGAAGAAAACAACACCCAGCAGTGTACTGAGCTGCAATTGTTCCAGAGGCAAGTCTCCAATCCATACAAGCATTATTCAAGACTGTTCCATAAGCTGAAGCCAAATGCACTACGGCTCAGGAGATTTCTGGAAAAGTGGGCCCTAATGCCACAGAGAAATATCCCATATGCCAAACCTACTGGACTCAGTTTTTGATTTAGCATTCAAACGTCTTGCAGCCACTAAGAACACTGGTCAGAGATTACACAGCATATAGTAAGTACACAAAATGAAATGGAGGCACATACCTGAATGCAACGTGTGCCACCTGGTCAGTTGGATTATGCACAGTGCGCCACAATGCCTGCATCAGATCTGCTCGTACAGGTTGAATGTGCTCATATAGGAAATCTGGCTGCAGGTTGTCCACACACAGCTCAAGTGTGCGCAGACCCTGTTACCAACATAACAACACAGACTATGTTGAGTGGACAGAAACACCAGGGCATCACAACACAGCTCAGGAATAAATGTTTCTGCATTACTTGATAGATAGCAGTGATCAGTCTCATAACCTGGCTGCTTTACCCAACAGAAATGCCTCTACAGGGAACAAAACCCCAGCAATCCAGTGGGTTTACTGAGCTATTGCACTTCATGAGTCTGCAATGGGGTTCTCTCAGAATAGCAGCCACATCAATATGGGATTCTTGTCAAGACATGCCAAGCCTGTGATGATGGAGGCGGAGATGGTTTCTCCACACTGACACGTCTCACTGCTTGAGAACACTTCACTGTATACAGTTAACATGATAGCTTCAACTCATAAAATTAAATGTCTCACTATGGCCCATTAATACTAAGCAACTGCAACAGGTTTGTACATGCACGAGCTGCTGCGCGTATTTGCACCTATCTCTACCAGTCAGACTATAGAAACCGGGTTGTAATTTCAATGGAACAGAACCACCATAACAAAATGTTTAAAAGCCAGATAGTACTTATAAAAGGTGAATAATGCCAGTGTTTCACAGGCTAAAAATCTGGTCAGATCATGAGGGCCATCAATGAGTTATTTTACTGAAGGTATGTGGCCAGTGAAGCTGATCACACTCGATAGCATACCCAGGTCAGTCTACGAAAGGGCATCCGACACTGAGGGGACACGCTTGCTACAAGTTCACCAAATATGGAAGATTTCCAAGTCTACAGATATGCAACAATACTGTCCATCCCCGTACAATAGAGGCTCACCTGGCTGATGAGAGTTGGAGAGCCATTCAGGGCTGACACCAGTGGGTCCATCAGCATGGGCAGGTAGGGCAGCAGAGAGCTTAGGCGGACAGGAACAGTGAGACACAGCTCCACAAACAGATCCTTCATATGCTGCTTGTGCAGACCACTCTGCAAGCTGTTCAGGCCTGAACACAGCAGAACAGTCACAGTGATTGCAGGATGCCAAGACCATGCATCATGTTACAAGGTTCAGACTCTACAGTCACAAACAGGAAGGAAATATGGGAGAAAGGTACTAAGAGGCTAGAGAAAGGAGGAGGAGGAGAGAAGAGGGACCAAAATGATGATGGGAAAGGAACACAGAAGAAAGGAGGTAAAGGTAGAATTCATCCTGACATTTCCTGTCTGTCATAATGGCAACAACAGAGACAAACAGTAGCAACATGAGGCAAAATATCAATATGATATCAAGAAAAAGACAAACACATGCAGATTATCTGAAGAAGCAACTTTACCTTGCAGAAGGTTGGGCAAAAGTGGAAGGAACTCCTGGTACAGGAGGTCATGGCTACCTCCACCAATAGAGCGGAACAACGCACGAAGGAGTAAGAAGTAGTTGTAGGGCTCTTTAGCACTCATTGCTAGTTCCATGGACCTGCAATATAAGCAGCAGAAATTTCAGGCAAGGCATCCACCAAAGGGTTCTCAGGGATCAGCCTTATATTTAACCCTTTACCTACAGAGTTTTTAGGCAACAGGCCACTCCCCTTTCTTCAGGGGCTAAACTTTTCATGATGCATGTAGGACTAGGGCTTCACAGCTATATATGATTCAAAAATTCTTTCACAGATGGCACTGCAAAGGTACTTCAGCTTCTATCCTGAATATGGTGGGACCACCGCTATTACAGAATAAGATGGTTATTAGAATGTGCTACAGAAGGCCGGATGGGAATTGCCTAGGCCTCTTTGTATTTAGTTTTTTTTTCTTACAATAAAAAAAATATATCCTGAATATGGTGGCAGCAGGTTCCTCAAAAATGCTGGTAACTACCTACAAGGTTACACAGTGTCACATTCAAGACCACTGCAATGTAACTATTAAGCATCTGAGAATTAAGACTGGAACTAGAATTTTCCCTGCTAGACCAATTCACTGCATTCACAGTTCATTCAATGATAAATTTTTATACAGCCTTGTATTTTACAAAATTCAATTCTAGGGCCATGTCCGTTCTCACCATGGGCTACCGGAGGGGGGGGGGGAGACAGATTGTATCAACAGGCTGATTTGTGCTACCATTGCTAACCACTATGCTTGTGACAGATGATGAAGTCTGCATGTTAGTGTCCAGAGCAAAATCAGTTTTCTGAAAACTCTAAAAGCATGAGACAGAAAAACTGATGTACAAATCAAGATCTTTTTTTTTTTTTTAATTTTATCTAAAATACTGGAGAAATGAAAATTTCTTCTTAATATTCACTGATGCGGAAACGTCAAGTTTCAGACAGAACAATGTCTATCAAGGAAAGCGGCAAACTGCCCACAGCACATCTATGTGCCACACATTAAAGACAAAGTAACCAAGACTTGAACCTGTTGACAATCTGATGCAGGTGGGGCCGAAGCATGTGCTCGTTCTCGGCTGGGAACAAGCTCACGCTCCCAAACACCAATTTGAATAGTTTCAGGTACAGGTTACTGCGCTCCACATTGCTTCCCATCTCTTCCATCCGCTCCAACAGGTACTCCACTAGCACCGTTGCAAAGATGGGCGATGTTGTCGGATTCGACAGGAATGAGTTGCCAACTACCTGCAGTGCAAAGTTTCGGTAGATACGATCCACCATGTAGTCGACTGTGGTGGAGAATATCTCCTGGAAAGTCTGCGGGTTCATCATTGAGAACTGGAAAATCCAAAATTAAAATACATAGTTATAAAGAAATTAATAAGTTTTACTGCCATTGCTTCTCAACTTCGCTTCAGAATGTGCCTTCAGGAAGGTCCAGGAAAACCCGGTGGGACTGAAATTAAATGGGACACATCAACTGTTCGTTTATGCTGTTTATGTGAATCTACTGGGAGATAACATAGATACCATAATGAAAAACACACAAACTTTAATTATCACCAAAATGAAGGGCAAAATCATGACATACAGATGGCTAACAGATCCTTTGAAAATGTGGCAGTATATAGATATTTGGGAATGACAGTAACAAATCAAAATTTGATTCGGGAGGAAATTTAGAGGAGACTGAATTTGGGTAATGCTTGCTACCACTCAGTCCAGAACCTTTTGTCTTCTCATCTGCTGTCTAAAAACGTAAAAATTAAAATATACAAAACTACAATTTTGCCCGTGGTTCTATATGGGTGTGAAACTTTGTCTCTCACATTGAAGGAGGAACACCATGTTTGAGAACACAGTGCTGATGGGAATATTTGGACCGAAGAGGGATGAAGTGACAGGAGGTTGAAGTAAACTCCACAATAAGAAGCTTTATGACTTGTACTCTTTGATCAAGTGTAATAAGAATCATCAAGCAGGATTAGATGGGCAGGATATGTAGCACGAATATAGAGAAAAGGACTGTATTTAGGATACTGGTAGGAAAGCCAGAAGGAAGACCAAGATCTAAGTGGGAGAATAATACTAAAATGGATCTTAACCCATTGCCGTGGTTCAACGTGTATGTTTCGNGAAGACCAAGATCTAAGTGGGAGAATAATACTAAAATGGATCTTAAAGATAGGATGGGGTGGTAGGAACTGGATTGATCTGGCTCAGGATAGAAATCAGTGGAGGGCCCTTGTGAACATGGTAATGAACCTTCAGGTTCCATAAAACGTTGGAAAATTCTTGGGTAGCTGCACAATTGGTGGCTTTTCAAGGCCAACTCAGCTCCACAGAGTTAGTCATTAATAAGATTTGTAATCTGAAGGACTTCTTCCTTTTCTTCGTACATGACAAAGTACAGAATGTGAAAGCACATGAATTGGATTGCTTGTGCATGTGCAAGAGACAGGTCAAGTATACACACTTGTGCCTTACATAGCGAAGGTCAAAAGACTATATAGAATCATCTGGAAATGGAATGGATGCAGACGGACTTACAGCCTGAACATGACTGACTGACGTAGTACTCGCTGTCTGACTCACTGCTTCCGTCCTCTCTACAAAAGTTCCTGATACTTAACTGCACAATGGGGTGCTACTATTATGGATACACAGTTCAATCCCAGGTCAGTTCATGTGGGATTTATGGTGGATAAAGAGGCACTGGAACATGTTTTACACTGTACTTCGATTTCCTTGCAAATTCCAAACGCACCAAATTCTCCATTTCTCTAACCTACCATCCGGGGCTGTTCCAATATGTCATATGCAACCTGATTACCAATGGTTTCTGTCTTAACACACCTTAAGACAGACAGACAGACAACAAGGTGATCTCACGTGCCTACTTTCATTTTTTCCAAAACAGGGCCAACAGGTTACAAATGGAACACAACAGTCAGCCAATAAGCTCAACTCAGAAGGCATGTTTTCATATTACTCTCCAACATGTGCCGTGGTCTCCGAATCAGTTGCCATTGGTGGGGTGCCCGAGTCAAAACATTCTTATTCTGCATCATGTGTGTCTCATACCAACCTATGCACTAATATTCAAACAAAGGAACGAGCAGTACTCACAACTCCAGCAAAGTGTTCCAGCACTTCCTTCTCTTCCTTGGTGCGCACAGTTTGCGACGACTGCGTCCTCTGTCCGCCAGGCAACATGGTGCCGGGCGCAACGGGACTCACGCTCAGTGTGTAGATGTCGAGAGCCTGCATGGCCCACTTCACGAGTCGGATGAACACTAACGTCTCCTTGGGCTGAAACTGCTTGCTCTGAAATGTCATGTCACCAGTGCTATTCTGCAAACAAATGTCAGCTTGTGCCAGAAGTCTTCAGTTGAGGTGCAGGTATGTCACTTATTTGTAACACATCACGGACGATCGGAGTGCAAAGGTTGTTTAATACCCTTAAATCCTTCAATGTGTGAACGCGGGGTGCACTCACCTTGCATGAGGCACAGCCCCACGTGATGGTCTTCACGCCACACACCAGAGTCTTCACGAGGCTGCGGCAGTCTGTCACGCTGAGGTTTCCAGCCTGTGATGTGGGGAAACCAAACCGGGACTTGTCCCGTTCTTCTTTCACTGGGAGTGGACCTCCTGCTCATTAAGGAAAAATTAAGAAATAAGTTCTTAGTGCCTTCCTAGGATACCCACAGGGCAGAAATGCCACTGTGTGACCACTAAGCAGTTATCCCACATAGTCCCCAATTTAGAGTATGAAGGTCACTGACCCATGGAATATGATACTGTCACAATTATATCAGTGTGACTATACACATGGTTTGGATTGGTAATCATATTTATTGCATACTTATACACCCAACTTATGACTACAAACAACTATAGTGCTATGCTAATTCACACACATTGCATTCTTTACAGAATGCACTAATTCTTCACCAGGTGACGTTCCCCTGCTACTGGGCTCATGTCCTTGCAGGCTGGTGACAATCTCACACCAACCTCATACTCTCCTAACTGTTGTCTCGAGACTCTCTCGTAATCACAGCTGCTCCTTGTTATATAGCCTCTGCATGGACCGCACAGAGAAAACTGCTTCCAACAGTTCTTCTATTGTTGTGCGCGTCTGTTGCGGCCACTACCTAGCAAGAGCCATCGTTTACAGAGCCATTACCCAGCAATGGCTGTTGTATAGTTGCTTACTTCATGGTCATTACCTAGCAATGGGTCTACATGCCACAATACCACGTAATCTGAGAACCCCTTACCAACATTCTGAAGGAAATGTTGCCTCCATCTTCACAGGTGAAGTACTTGTCAGTCATGACCACCCACCTGTAGGACTGCAATGGTACTGCAGCCTCAAATCAGTCTACTGTGCCAGTCCCTGATGATAGATGAGCATGGGTCATCAGTGGAATGATAACTGGCAGGGAAAACCATTACTTCTCAGAGGACACCCATTAATCCCAGATCGACCACAACGCGAATGAACCAGGGAGTAACTGCTTGAGCTATGGCATATCCCTGAGGTGTAAAGTTACTCAGCTGGTTATGATTCCTGAAGACCCTGCACTATTACAGCACAGAAGTGCTCCACTTGATCAAGTTCACATCTTCAGGACATATATGTCAACTCACCATCTGTCATAGTGTGGGGCTGGGCTGGCTGTTTTGTGTCTTCAGTCTTCACTTGGTCCACAGGAGTGGTGGGAGTGACTGCCAAAGGGGTGGCCGGGGCTGGAGTTCCTCCAGACGCAGTGCTAGGTGTCACAGCAGCAGCTTGAGACATCTGAGGTTTGCTGCAACAAACAGATTTCTGCATTTTGCCAGTTGCTCAGCAATAACCTTCCTCTGAGCCTGGGAAGCTCAGTGAACACAGTTACAGCATGTCCCCACATTACAGATGTTTGGGTCATGGACACTGTAAAACATGACCACAAAATTCAAAATACAGGCCACAAAATCACCAGTATGGAAATCTGAAATAAGTATTACATTCTGTACAATAAAATGGAAAACAAAGAATTCAGCCCTGACTAAATTTCTGAAAATGATCAGACCCTATCTGTTAAGAGAATCAGATTGCATGCACACCTGCATTGGCCAGGTAGCAGGAAATGTGGCTGGCTGGCCACTGGCTAGCTTGTGTAAATGTGTGAGTGATGCAGAGGAGATGGCTGATAGTATGGTTGCTATTCCCATTTCATTTTATATTGTGTAGTACATTTCCCTTACTTATATTGTCTGGAAAGGGGCCATCAGTACATGTGGGTTACACTTTCAAAAAATAACCTCAAAGCTCTGCACTCTCACCACACACGTAATTAATACATAAATAAATGATTCATATAGCACTTCTAGTTGCGTGTATGTTCTCTGTCCACAGAGAATTTCACATGACCAGCTTCAGCATTCATAAGTCACTGCCATCAAACTGAAAATTAAATACAGAATTCACATAGCTGCCACATAATAAAAGGCACTTCCCCAAATCCTGCCCACCAAAAAAATCCTAAACAAAAGTTGCATAATTTTAAACACCTATTTACTAACTCCCAACAGTTTCCTGGAGGGACTGGGGAAAACCATGAGGTCAAGACAGCTGGTGTCATGGCTGAGATCTGAACCAAGCATGACAAGTTTAGAGCATTATTAGAAGACCAACCTGCTCGGTAACAACGTATGCAGGAGTCATGCTACTCACTGAGCCATGCCGCACTTACCACTTGCTCAAGAGGACAGGGAGCTGCAACTTGGCGATCGTTTTGAACTTGATAACAAACACCTCTAGCATCCTCATGAGGAGCTCCCGCCCCTGCCCCTTCTCCTCCTCACTGCGGGCTCTGATGCACTCCACCAGGTTCAGGAGCAGCTTGCAAGACATGGTCTGGATACTGAGACACACAGAAACACTATCATTCTTAACTGGCGGCCACTTCCTCCGGTTGGGGTCTAACTGCTCTACAAGGCTCCCTGTTCTCACATACATTCATGCTCTTCTCTTGCAAGGGGAGTGCAACTGTCATACCCATATAAAACAACAGGTAAAAATGTGTAGGATATTGAGGTTTCACAACAAATAAATGCACTAAGATCTTCTGTAACCTCACCGCCATCTGTGAGCTGTCTGTCTAGAAAATGTGGGACTCCATGGCCTGTTACAGGGATAGCTTTGTGTTTACCTTTCTTTCATCATTACTAAGATCTTCTTTGGTAATGAGACCCAAGTTAAAAACTGACATTTGGAGACTTATTCTGTGGTGAGACATAAACAACACACATACTTTTCTTCACGTTTACTTCTGGATCAACTCCTTCTTACTGCCTTTTTCATGATGTTTTTGGCCAACATCATGAGCATAGACCAGCATAATAGTAACATACATCTCAAGATACATAGGATGTAAGTATGTGAGCCTGGTACAACTATTATAATACAAGGTCCAGTGGTGGAGTTTTGTGAACCATGGTAATGAACCTCCAAGTACCAAACAACAAGGCATCTGTTGACCAGATATGCAACCACAAACTGTACAAGACAGATGAGCAGAATTTGGTCTGGTCAGAGTCTGTTACATTAACTGCACCAGTTACATAGCACTGACAAGACAGCACAATAAAGAATAGTCAGTTGATGCAGACACGGAAGGAGATGGTCACATTCAAACTTATTCTTAGCAAACTGGGTATAGTTCTACAGTCTATAAGCAGCACACAACCAATGCAAAATTGTTAAAAAAGAACTTCAGCAAAAATACCTAACCTCAGTAACTCTTAAAAGTCCAGGAAAGGCAGCCACATTTCTACTGAGATATTACACTTGACAGAATAACAACATGAACTAAACAGCGCTTCTATCTACAGGATACATTTCTGGCAATGTATGTCCTGTAAAACATAAACTTCATCAAAAGTATAGGACTTGACGTTGTCACACCGGTGGTTATGAAGAGTACTACCTTGTTGAATATAACGCCGTGTAGTCCGCTGAAGGTCAACCAAACTTCCAGAGGAATATATCACCTCAGGAACTCTGCTTGCCACCTGCTTTCATGCTCGTTTCTTGCTAGGCTTGTTCTTTGACCCTGAAGATGGAGGCAATATGTTCCTCCAAAACATCAGTTTACTTTAAATGGACTACATGGCATTATATCCCAGAAAACAAAATGTGTCAGTTGTCTCCTTCTTCACCTGGCAACTGAATGTTAGAGTGACCATTATCCAGTTCACAACTAAGTGACAGAGACAGTCACAACTTGACCACTTGTTACAGTTGGTGGGTGGGCAACTTGGCCCTCACATATAAAATAAACACTGACATACACTTCGTAACACTCAAAGATGGCTATTATTTCAACATCAGCACCCTATACTCCATCTTCATCACACATGCACTTTGCAATCTTCCTTTGCATACATATACAGTTGCTCACAATTATGAATACTCAAATGCAGCAGACGGGCAGATCCTTTTCACAAGGATTTCACTATGTATACGTGCCATAAAGAATGGAAATTTTTCGGCCAGGGCCTAGACTGCATTGCCGACTGAGACATATGTACCTCTCACTGCCACCTAACAGTTTCATCTGTAACCATTAACAAGCCCGACTGCTACAGAATAACAGAATAAGAACAGAATGACAAGCCTTGGGACTTTTACATACAGTAAACTCCTGGTTACTTGGCATCCCAGCATCTGGAACTCTCATGCAACCAGAAGAAATTAAAAAAAAAAAAAATACAATTTCTACAAAATTACTTCAGAAACCAAGCTGTGGTTTCACTTATGGAGCAGGTCCCCCAGGTGCCACTAGCAGCACTACTCCTGGTGCCACTACAGTAGAGGTTGGTTGGATCTGTGGGTGAAACGTACCAGCCATCACCTGACTACATTACTTAGCAAGACTCTCAAGCAAGAATTAAGGCAGAAATGTTTATTTTGACTTTGTACTGAGTTTCTCTTGTAACCGGCACGTCATGCCCCACACTTCCGCACATGCTAGATAACCAAACAGTTTACTGCATGTGTATAAGAAGAATACAGTAAGTCCAGGTATGAAACGCTAGATCCTCACTTGGTTTGCAGTGTCTCATCATGAACATTCTTAGAGAAGAGATGCACAGCTCGAGCAAGATCAGAGAACGGCAGGTGCTGCCTTACGTGGTGAACCAGGTCAGCAAGAGTGCTGTATGCCAAGGGGCGTAAGGACTCATGCGTGGTCCAACCCTTTCCCAGGAGCACATTCTCATCAAACAGTCGCTCCATGTAAGGAACAAATTCTGTAATAAAACAAAAAAGTTGTAAATTCAAAGCAATGCTTCTTTAATGATGCATTGAGGAAATGGATCCTATACGCAAGACACGTCCTCAAGCTGCAGATGGAGAAGTACTTGCCACAGCTATTTATCTGTTTATTCTTGGGCTGTTTATCGATTCTTTTTTCAATATCCCAAATTACACAGTATTAAATGATACATTACTGAATAATGAACAGTAAGGGATGTGGAAGGAAATGGTGGTGGCCTACAATACTGCAGCAATTGCCTGGAGGGGCACACTAAAATCATGAGGAACCTTTGTGAGATTAGGTGATCTCCAGGCTGTGTTTTGAATTTGAGATGTCTCAAACACAAAGTCGCAATGTCAACTGCTCAGCCTGAATGTTCAGTAGCTGCCAACATAAAGCTGATTCTTGATTATCCAATGGGACTTATTACTTTTGCAGTTTAACCACAGAACTTCCAGGCCTCCTTGTTTATTGGTTATTACTTGTTGTGGGTTCAACTCCCGATGAGGTCATTGTATTTTTTCAATTTACCTAATCCTTCCAGCAGCACCACTGCCTTGGGGTCAACTTAGCCTCTAACAGAAATGAGTACCATGAATCTTGCTACAGGCAAAGGGTGGCTGGCATGTAAGGCTGGCAACCTCACTGCCATCTGTGAGCCAACTGTCTAGAAAACATGGCAGCATCAATAACTCAGAACACTATGGGCCTCCATGGACTGTTATAGGGATAGCTTTTTTACCTTTACTGTACATCTGTTTCAGTAACATACATCAGTGATGCCTTACAAAAGTTCTAAATTATGACATTTTACCTAAAAGTTGGGATTGGACTGATTCTTTTAAATTTCCCAGGCAACATGTCAAGGAAAGCTAAGATATTAATTATGAAACCCTGGACAAATGTCTTGGACAGTGGTGAAGAGAAGAGATGCATACTGATGCCAACTGATGACTGCTTACAGTTTCTTAGTTTATTTGATGGTGAAAGAAGAACTCCAGACAAGACAGCCAAGCAGGTAACAATCAGAGGCTGCTGCCAGCTTCATGTTTGTTTCTCACTTGGCTTACTCTTCAGGCCGAATACTGTGACAACACATCCCTCCAAAGCATCAGCTGACTTTCACTGGACTACACAGCTCCTATAACAACAGTTATAACAGAAGCCCAGGAAGGTCTTTGCAGAGCACATCCATCAGTTGGTGCCTTCCTCAATGCCCATGGACACTACTTTTGAAAGCTGTTACTTCTTCACCCAGAACAAACCCCAAATGGTTTTCATTCAGACAAGACTTACATGCACATCAGATGAACGACATTCTCACAACGCAGTGAAGCATGTACATGGACACCCTTTAAACACTGAATTTCTTCTACATTCAGTTAGTACCTCACAGGAAACTTGGGATAGCGCAAGTCAGTTCACTCACAGGATACAGGCTAGACAACCAAGGGACTGGAGTTCGAGTCTCGGTAGGGTCATGAATGTTCTTTTCTCCGCAGCATCCAGACTGGCTCTGGGGTCCACCCAGCCTCCTATCTAATGGGTACCAGGGGCCCTTACCCTGAGGGTAAAGAGGCTGAGGCATGAAGCTGACCACTCACCTACAACTAGTGCCGAGGTCAATAAAACGTGGATCTAGACATCCACTCGCCCATACATCTTCATGACATAGTGCTTACGTAGTTAAGCATATGGATAACTTTACCATTTTTTTACCTTTTACCTCACAGGAAACACATTACATCTCTGCTGCAAAGTCCAATTTGTCAATGCTCCTTAGGGAAAAAATCACTGCTGAATGCGAGAACCACATGAAACACACCATGTTGATAGAATGTGGAGTTACATAGTTAGCACTCAAGAGAGCTGCATACTCACTGACACGCAGGTCAGTTGAAAAAATGTGTCGCGAAGCAATGAGGAGTTCTCTCCGCAGGTGTGTCACTTCCAAGGGGCAGATTGTCAACATCCCCAGCAAGCCCTTCACCATGAGGTTCGAGTGCTGGGCAACCATCTCTTGGTACATGCGCACAACGTAAGCGAGGAATGACAAAGTCTTGATTTGTGCAGCCATTAAATCCACGAACACCTCCTTGTTGAATGCAGGGTTTGCCCTGCAAAAACAACATGCATCATGGTAACAGGGGGACAGTGGCACTAACAGAACTCAAATACTGGAAATTTAACAATTAAACTACTGGGTTTGAGGTTCTCACAGCAGCGATTATGAAGAGTTTGTGGTCTAGGACGTGGTACCATGTAGTCTGGTAGAAGTTCACGGATATGTTAGGGGATGTACTGCCTCCATCTCAGGGCTGAAATGTAAGTCAAGCTGTTCTTGCTTCTTGCTGGTTCCTTGCTTGACTTACTCCTTGACCCTGAAGGCAAGGGCAGTATGTTCTTTCAGAGTACACAACATCATATCCGAGAAGATGGTCATCTTCAGAGTCACTGGTGTGAGAATCTCACATCCCACACTGCTGTATATTATTACTAGCATGCAGTGAGCTAAGATATATTGTATGGCTCTCACCTTTGCTGAGGTGAAGGCTGGAGTGTGATTGTGGTCATTACGAGAGGGATGTAGTCAATCACATCCTGCTGCACATTTTGTTTGTACATTTGGAACATAAGCACCACCATGATAGGTAGTTCCTGCAGAACCTTTAGCGACAACACTCCTTTTGGGATCAGGTTGTACTGGAAACAGTTTCATTGGATAAACTGGTATTACAGCAAATGCAGGTGAAAAAGGACACAAAATGAAAACAACCTTTTGTTTGCAAAATAAAAATTAAATTAACTTTTAAAAGTCTAGTGTAACTGTATGCATCAAAACAAATAAAACAAACTCCATGGTTTTAGTTCTTAAGTGAACTACATATACTGACCCAGCGACCGCTGCTTTTTGGCAAAGTTAATGCCAACTTTAGTGGGTGTTGTGTGGTCAGTGTGATGAATCCCCGCAGCCGTTAATTTCGGTTTTGTAGATCGGAGCCGCTATTTCCTTGAAATAGCTCCTCAATTATCCTCAAGAGGCTGAGTGAACCCTATTCCTATTCCTATTCCTATTCCTATTTCTCAGAAAATACATGCAACTGGTGAAATTGTACACAGTTATGTCTGAGGGAATCTAATATATAGTTGTACAAAACAGACCACGAGGCTCCAGAACTATATTTGAGTTATGTCTAAATGTTTCTTATGATGGTACATTTCAACAGACATAGCTGTTAATCCAGACACTGTCCATCAGGTCTTTCTTCACACAGTCTTAGACCTGTTTCCACTATAAGGTGTGAGGGAGCAAGGTTCCTGCACATGTGGTCCCATTATAAACAAAAATTATAATTTTTCTAACCTCATCTCCCATTGTTGATATTTGATATTACCAGTATAAATATGCCACTCAGAATTTTGTTAAGTTTCCAGTGACTGAGAAGGAGCCTTTCCTCTCTTAAATCAGAAGAGAGTAGACCATGTCCAAAATAACAGTCAAGTTTACTGACATCAAATTATTTCACTCATAGTATTCAAACTGACTGTTCTTAAGGAAAATCATAAATGGGGATTTAACTTCTTCTGTTAGAATGTGTGTGCAGACAAAACACATATGCTAAGAAGTGTACCCTAATCCATCTGAGTGAAACAGAAAAACTGTTCACAACTGCAGGTTGAGTGAAAATGCAAAGTGACACAACACTTACCGATATCACGGTGCCATCAGCTGTTTTCTTCTCACTCTGAATGGTCATGATTGTGTACGTCTCTGTCAACAAGGCTTCTATGTTGATCTCTGATAGGTCCTTCACTCTCAGCGTTGGTCGGGGCTCAAAGATCTTTGACATGTGATTTGGTAATTCCTGGTAAACCGTCCTTACAAACTGCATCAACATTTGGATCTGGAAAAATAAGATAGTCTTCAATAGTGGTCAAGAGTGACAGCTGAAAACATAATTACAACAGGCTATTCCTGTCATGCTTGACTGTAAGTGCCATCTCTTGAGCCTGGGGAAACTTTGAACTAAGACACTGTGACATGATGTCCTTAAGGTGGAATAGCAGAGCCAGAAGAGGTGGCCACTGCTAAGTAACAGCTCAGTAAACACACGCCTGTAGAAAAATATATGCACACAACAACAAAAGAACTATTTGAAGCAGTGTTTTCTGTACAGTCCATGTGGAGATGTACACTACAGTTACGTGTAAAATGTAAAAAGGACGTCTACACAAGGAACCAGACTCTTGACAACAGACTGCCTACGCAGAATGACGACATGTAAAATTGTAAATATAGATGACATGTACTACTATGACCTTGGTATATGAGAGACCTGTTCTCTCATCAGAGAGGGTGCCCCACATCGACAAAACCGCAACTGTCTTGACATTAACAAAAATCTGGTCATGAGACCCAGATGTGGCTTGACACCAAGATTGACTGGCCGATTGACCATTGGTCACAATGTGACTGACTTTTTCTTTGACTTTAATCATTAATTCATATACTCTTTTGTTTTCATTCACACCTCAATGTGACTGAATTTGACTTGACTGAGTTATTTAGTTGAGTCAGCAGTCACAGTTGGTGGTTGGTCATGAGCACTGAAGCAGAGGAATCTCAAATGTCAGAAGCCACCACCAAGCAACAACAGTGAAGACAGAACAAGCTGAAAGGACTTAGTGTGTGCTACAGTGATTTGTAGAGTGTGTGAATTGGTGAAAGCATTTCAGTTATTTTCAGTTATGAGTCATCCATCATCAATAAATTCAATAATCAATCCAAACCCTATGTCAAGTCACTAACACATGGTAACTGGTGTCAGATGTGGGATTGGATTAGTTGAATTATTGGACTGAAGACCGCATTTGACAGTTTTACTGTCATACTGCAGAAATGTAGCAAATGACAGAATGCCTACTGGGCAAAATGAGAGAAACATGAGAGTTGGTAAAGGCAAGCCAAGAAGTGATGGAGGCCGATCAGGAACAAATGTCAGCCAACGCTAAGGCCAGACAAGAGAAGATGAGTGCTGTGACAAAAAGCAGTCAAGAAGAAATGAATGTCACAGTGAGTGCCAGCCAAGAAATGATGGAGCCCATGATAAACTCAATTCAGTCTGAACTGGAAGAGACCATCAAATATCAGACAGATGATATCCTGTCATCTGTCAACCAATGGATGCAGGGCAGCCACAAGGAACTCAACACAAAGACTGAAGAAATGCAGTTCAGTTTACAAACAGTAATGACATCCCTCAATATGCAGACCAACATGAAGACTGCTGAACCACAGTTGGCCTTACAAGTAGTAGCAACATCCCTCAGTATGAGAACCTATAACCTCAGAGAGGAAAGTGACGCAGAGATCCTAGAGGCTTGAAATGGCATACAAACACTGAAGATCCTAGCAGAAACCATGCGGCATGGGCTCACGATCAGGCTAGTGGAAGTCAAAGTCAAAGCCTGAGCTGAGCATGGATGTGGCCATAGTAGAACATGGTCACGAGTTCCATGGGTCTCAGAACCAAGAATGACTACACTGGTGAGGGCCGGCAGCAATTTATCTGACCTAAACCAGTTAAAAGCCAGAGTTAGTGGCATGACTCCCAGAGTCATGAGGCAGAAAAATTTAATCATGGGTCCCATAGGACTCAGAACCAAGAATGGCCATTAGTGAGAGTGGTTTAGCTATTTGTGGTTATAAGTAATAAGGAATCATTAACATAAGACAATCTGTAAAGAAGATTATTTCTTGCAATTGACCTCTAAACTTACCACAACAATTTCTTTATAAGCTGACCTGCAGATATGTTTGAGCTTGCCGGCTATATTCAGTATCTCCCAGATCAGTTTCTAAACTGTTGCCATGTGAATAATTATTAATTGATGTCATCAATACTGGGGAAGGCTACAAGAACGTGCGTATAGCAGCTGTTTACGAATTACAGCCAAAAAGGCAATGAAACTCAAAACATGTCTGTTGGCGACTTATAGAGAAATTGTGATACGTGCGGATGGTCAACTGTAGAAAGTAATCTTGGTAACCTGTACCACAGGCATCAATTCAATCCAGATGTCAGGCCATTCTGCTGGGATGCAAAAGATGGTGTTAACCATCAAATAACCAGTGATATTTAGCAGAGCTGTTTTAGCACACAGGAGAGACAGGAAGGAAAGGAAGAGGAATGATGGGAAGGGCAAAAAATAAAGTGACGAGGAAGGAGAGAAGGAGATAGAGGTACAAACGGAATGAGGGTAAGGAAGAAAGGAGACGACAGGAATGTCTTGACATAACTGGGCAGAAGGAAGACAGAAGCAAGAAAGGAAGCAAATATCTGATACCTCCGGATTGAATGTTGGTCGGTACTGCTTGTGTAGCTCAATGATGATCCTGACGCACACCTGCACATTCTCTTCATTGTCTGTCTGCAGCAGCTTCAGCATTAGCGTCAGGATTGGTTTCACATAGGGGCGTAACAAGTCATTGGTTGGCAGACGTGGGATCATCTCCAAAATCAGTTTGCGCACTTGCTGCAACAATACACCCTTACACTAACACTCTGATGCTGTAAAACACAGAGCCACCTAAATCCAATCCACATCAAGAACCTATTTGAAATAAAGAATATCAATAAATGATTTGCCTGTTTAATGTTTAACAATGCTTTATCAAATGCAGCATTTGGTGAAACCTTGGATTTAGTGAATATTCTTTCCTTCCGAGCTGAAGCCCAGTATAAGAAATCTGCTATTTTTCCTATTTTGATTTAGTAAATAACCTGCAGTTAGTGTAAGAAATTTTTGACCTTCCAGAATTCATACCTCAATTTAGTGTGACTGCAGTCAAAATAACATTGATGTTCATGTGTTCTCCATCAGAAACTGTTACTACACAATCATAATCTTTGGCCAAGTGACATGACATGCTGCATGCCACTTATGGCGCCACAGTTGCTTTGATTCTTGATTGAGGTTCACTGGGTGTTTATTTTGTATGTCATTAATTATTTTAGAAGTGAACTTCATACCAGTGATTATGTAACTGTACATATTGCACAGAATAAGTTTCTTTGACTACTTATGTAAAAGGATTATTCTTTTCTCATAATTGTATACAGTAAGTTTTATAAGATGGGGACATGTAGCATAATTGGTTGAGGCACTATGTTACAAGCCAGAAGGTCATGAGTTTGATTCCTGATTAGGTCACAGGATTCAATTGACCTAATCCTTTGGGCCACACTATGGCGCTGTAGCCCACTCAGCCTCTAACAGAAATGAGTACCAGGAATCTTCCTGGGGGTAAAGGGCAGCCAGTGTAAGGCTGATAATCTCACTGCCATCTGTGAGCCGACTGTCTAGAGAATGTGGAAGCCTCAACGTCTCACAGCCCTATGGACCTCCATGGCCTGTTACAGGGATAGCTTCATCTTTTAAGTTATAGAAGAGGATGAACATGTTCCAGATATAATTCTGCACCCATTCAGTGTAAAAACAGTCATTCAACCCCCCCCACAGAGAGTCACTTCATGGCAATCCCAGCACATGCAGCTATGCTCACCTGGATGTTATACTCAGCTATGAAGTGAGGTTCCCCTTCCTGCAGGATCTTGAGAAATATTTTCATGAAATGGTCCAAAAAGGTCGGATACTGTGGAGATTTGACTATCACCTGCAAATAAACACAAAGCAAGGTGGCACTGAGCACCAGTAATCTGGGCAAATATACAAACAATCTTTAAAATTAATCTCAAATAAAAGCTTTTTGCACTTGCCTCAAAATTTTCACTGAGTTCTTGAGCAGCCTTTACTTTTATCTCATCTTTAGCATTAGAATCTGCTAAGATAGTTACATAAGACCGGTACTTGTTCATCTGTGTCAGTGGGTCGCTGGGACCCACAGACTGCGGTGGTGCCATCTTGAGACTCGTCATGATTAATTATTCAAAGTTGCAGTCAACCCAACTATACACACCAGCTGTAACAGAAACACACACCAACTGTAACCTTGAACACGTGATCTTGCAACATTTCAAACCCCTAAACAAGATAATAAAGACATTTATTGGTCCACACCACTGATGTCACGTATATGAACATTACTATGCCGGAGCCATGGATCAGTTCCCTCAATCTGTTACACTTCTCTCTCCAACACACTTCCCCCCACTCCCCTTCAGCTGGCCAGTCTCTTCGCAATGTTGGTACTGATAGCTGGGTACCAACTGCTGGTAGTGGCTAGTGCTCTGAGCAGCTCACTCCAGACACAGGGGGTTAGAGCGAAGCCTCAGGCATGGGTGCCTTTCCATGGCTTATGTCTAGCAGATGGTAAAGTTCTGTGCATTCTGTACCACAGCCATCAGAGGCGAGCAAGCTCTTTCAGTTGTCAGAAAGATCCAGGAGATGGCAAACACAAAATCACAGACCCTACTGGGCCTCAAACCATGATTATCCAGCCCGTATCAGTCGCTTTTCTGGCTGAGATATTGCAGCTTACTATCTAAGCCAGGGGTGGCCAAGCTTGCTCAACAATGGAGCCACATATGGTAACTTTCAGCAGTTCAGGAACTGCAAACAAAAGTGGACTGAATGACATTCATGCTTCAGTAGACATTTCACATGCAGCAGATGTGAATTTGATATGGTAGGATCCACACGCCAACAAGACAAAAAGACACACTGGAAGATTTTTCATGGAAGTGGTTGAACGTTACAGATGTAAAGTGTGGGCTCGTGGGCACCAGCAAGTGAGCAGGGCATCTGCTCCAGCATCCTAGTTCTATTAAAACAATATTCTGGGGGGTGGACTCTGTCTGAGGGCAGTCTCTGAAACAGTTTGAATAAATATAAGATGATGGACAATTTCCAACCAGTCAATCACTGTATGTATTCATCAGAACTAGTACAACTGGTCTTAAATGGCTTAAATATAGTTTTGTAAGAAAATGTTTGGCAGCTCACATCACCCCCACCCTCCCTTGGACAACATCCTGGTGGTGCCCTTGCATGAACTATGAATGAGGATGGAAAAAGAAAATTTATTGATAGTGGAAATGGACTGCAGATCACAGTGGCCATGCAGTCTGAAGCATGAGCTGTCTTTGCCCACTCGAACACTGGGATTGTGGATTTGACTCCCACTTGAAGCACATATGTCTGTGTGCGTTTATTTTGTGTTGTGCTGTGTATGATGCAGCCTTGTGACAGGCTGATCCCCCATCAAAGGAGTCCTACTAACTGTGTGTAGATTAAGAAACTGAAAGAGGCCAAGGTCCACAACGGCTGTAGAGCCACAGATAGATGGAAAAGGATTACTTGTGAATAAATTATCATGAATGGACAGAACATGAAACGATGAAATAAGAAGCTGGAGAGAAACAGACGAAGAAAAAGCAATAAAAGAGATTAAACCATTTCAGTCATTCTCATTTGTTTATTCTCTTTTATTGCTTTTTCTTCGTCTGATACATAATTGGGATGGATAGCAAGGAAAATGATGAACAGGCAGAATTCTAGAGGCCACGACTAGCAGATGGCTGGAACCAGATGATGAACAAGACTCACGAAAGTGGTGCTTGCAGACAGCAAAGTGGTAAACACCTACATAAAGTTGACGCTGTACTGGCAGCAAAACAACAACTGGCTATGATATTGGTATTCACATTATATCTACATGGCCCCCCTTACTACAGAACATACTCCGTCTGTGGACATGTTGTGTTATGTTTGAACGGCTGGGTATTCATATAAAACTGTCAGAATCTTTACATGTGATTTTGTACAGCCAAGAGAAGATCGAAGTTCTGCTAAACTACTATTTATTTCGCGACGCTATGCCAACTGGCTATGTTAATATGATAAGTAACAAATGGCAATTATATTTCTTAAATTAATAAATTTTAAACCTCATTCAGACAGTCACGGCCTATGTAACATATATTTGCATTTGCGTATACTGAAATAACTGGAGAGAGAGGAAGACATAAAAATGGTAACTCAAACCTGCGGGCCCAGCTTTTGAACCTTGAGCGTATAAACACGCTAACCACTACACCACAACTACCAACATGACAGCACTCTTCAGTTACTTTATTGCCATACGGAACTGAAATTTCACATCAAAACAAAACTCATAGTAACGTCCAGCTGCAACATAACCTTCGACATCAAAAAGCATTTCTGCTGCTAACGAACCAAAACTTGACCAACATAAAAGACATAAAACTACACAGCTGCACAATAGGTATATACTTACACGTGACAACAGACGTCGATTCCATAACAGTAACATTCCTTTGAGTGTTGTTAATATCAGCTATGCTTACAAGCTCACACGTGCGACTGATTATTCACACCCATAACTCTCAATTTCCACACACAACAATGAAAAACACGTTCCGTTCTGCAGAAAATTTCCTTCGAGATATCGTAACGTACTTCGCGAGCAGGAGAACTGGGGCAAAGACCCTAGAGAGCCTGAAGATATCACACTTGTCTAAAGCATTTGTGGTTCTCATTGCGGTGTCTATGAAGAGTACTATATTCTTGGATCAACGCCATGTAGTTCAATAGAAATTCACCGACGTTTCGGCGGAACACTCTGCTTCCATCTTCAGGGTCAAAGATTAAGCCAAGCAAGCAGAGACCCGTGCATAGAAAACTGGATACATACATTTCTGCCACATTCTCCCATCTCTTCACGTTTGCAAATAAGGCCCTTTTCACGACTACGCCAACTACTCTTCTCCTTGCTAATTGGGTTCTCTTTGGGCTTTTTTATAGGCTTACATTCGAATCTACTTTTCTACGTGTGACTCATTCTGCTCGCTTATTGCTTGGCTTACTCTTTGACCCTGCAGATGGAGCCAGTACGTTCTTCAGAAACGACTGTGAACCTACTACCGAACTACATAGCGTCATATCCCAGAAGATATTACTTATCATACTTGGCAATTCAGATTGTGGGTTTGCGGGTAATGACAGAGTGTGGTTTCTTAGACGACTATCTACATTTAGGAGGACTCTACAGTCTTATAACGAAGAGAAGGCGAAGTAATTAACTAAGGCCAGCCTGCCTATACTGCGAAAGCTGAAATCGCGTTCATCAGTCTCGAACGAATCTTACCGTTGCCCTTGGTTACGATCAATGTGTCCTTAATGAACAACAGGAGAATGGTCAAGGCTGACCAATTTTACCCACCACTTGCTTCGCCTTCTCTTCGTTGGAGAATAATAATTAATAAATATGGAAATTTAGGATAACGCTCCTACTTGCGGAAAAATAAAATGAATCTCGGGAGGAGGCTGGCTATTATGAATAGGTTAATCATGGACTTTCCAGTCCCTCCAAACAAAAATACGATAGTATACACGTATACTTCTTTGCATACGCATTCCAATTCATCGCCCACAATCATGCCTGCAAATGAACGTTGCTATCCAATCCAGCGCCATACTCGAGAGGTTCCGGGTTCAAAGCTCTGTCAGGAGACCGGAAACAATGTCCGAGAAATTCATGGTTTTAGTCAGTCCCTTCAGGAAGACGCCCGGTCAGTGCCCCAAATTAGGCAAAGAGCATTTCTTCCAACTCATTTCGAATTCATCACACACTAATCATCCTAGCATGCAACACTACGGGATTTCAGCTGCGCTAAAGGCTGCGAAGTTAAATAAAAATAAAAGCAAAGCTATCCCTGTAACAGTCCGTGGTGGCCCATAGGGTTGTGACACGTCGAGGTTTCCACATTTTCTACACAGTCGACTCATAGATGGAGGTAAGGTTGTTAGCCTTACGCGCTGGCCGCCCTATAACCGCAGGAAGATTCCTGGTACTCATTTCTGTTAGAGGCTGAGTCGGCCCCAGGGCCATAGTGCGGCTGGAAGGATTTTGTCGATTATAAAATCCAATTACTTCATCGGGACTTGAACCAGCAACTTCCGGCTTGTAGCATAGTGCCTCAACCAATCACATAGGTTAAATAAACAAACACAACAATTGCAGTTTTCATCCATTTTGTATGTTTTATTTAGACTACACGGCGTCAAATGGTAAAATGGTCATATAAAGGAAAGTGTGTGCAAGGAAGCAGTGGTGGCCTGTTTCAAGGCGCTGTCCCGTTACTTTCTAATAGAGACTGAGGAAAGCCACGGAAACCTAGTCAGGACAGTCGTTTTCCCCGCCTAGATTCGAACTAATTAGATAAACAGATAAAATACCACTGTGTCCACAACTGCTCTATGGTCAAACTAGACCCATGAGACGACTCATAAGTAGGCACGATTGCGAATCACTCCTGTAGAATGCGTGGAGCCTTATCTCCAGGACCGATCGATGGCAGTGGTTTCGCCCGAGGCTTCTCGGCGAGCTGCTCAGTCAGGTTTAGGCGTCACTGCGCGATGGATGACAGAACCGTCGACCTGATATTCGCGGGCTCCCTGGAGAGCCTGCCGCCCGTCAGCTCCAAAATTGTCCGCATCTTCACAAGTTCCACCTTCACAGGTCGGCGATACAACCTTCACATTTACCGACATTTTCAGTAGGGTTAGCGTGTAGCTTTCTCTCTTGTTTTGTTGGCACCGCTTCTCGGTTCTAAGTCAAGCTTTATATTTATCTATTGGCACTACTTTTTGGCTGTAAGTGTAGCACTATTTCGTGTTTATTGGCACTGATCCTCGTTTACACGTGTAGCCCTATTTCGTATTTATTGGCACTGATACTCGTTTATATGTGTAGTCCTTTTTGTATTTATTGGCACTTATCCTCGTTTATATGCGTAGCCCTTTTTGTATTTATTGGCACTGATCCTCGTTTACACGTGCAGCCCTATTTCGTGTTTATTGGCACTGATACTCGTTTATATGTGTAGTCCTTTTTGTATTTATTGGCACTTATCCTCGTTTATATGCGTAGCCCTTTTTGTATTTATTGGCACTGATCCTCGTTTATGTGTGTAGCCCTTTTTGTATTTATTGGCACTGATCCTCGTTTATATGTGTAGCCCTTTTTGTATTTATTGGCACTGATCCTCGTTTACACGTGTAGCCCTTTTTGTACTTATTGGCACTGATTGTCGTTATCACTTCTTGTCCGTTCTAAGTGCAGTCATATTTCCTATTTATCAGTGTTTCTTATCAGTTGAAAATGCGTTAAAATATCCCGAAAGGAACATTCTTTATCCATATTCTGGCACAGAATTCGATTAAAGAAATTTTGTTAGGCCTATAGCAGATTTCTTTTCTTTTTCGATTCAGTTTGATTTGGTTCAGTTTGGTTCATTAGCCGCATTCGCTGTTGCACTCGCTCCGTCTGCCTGTCTATAAGTATGAAACAACTCAAAAACTGCCGACTGGATTTTCATGAAAGCCCATGTGGGAGGGTCTTGTTAAAATTTGTCAAGATGCTGAAAAATAATAGGTATTTAACGTGAAGAATTACAGGCTTTTTCGGCGGTGACTACAAATAGTACGGTCTTCTGGGTCACATGGGAATATTTTCGAACTTGCTTATCTTAGATAATAGTTAAATAAACTTCATTCTAATCGGGTTTACAGGTGTAGATGTAAATAAATACATATTTAATTAAAGTATAGGTCGGTATAGTTCTCTTGCTGACTAAAACGACGGAGTTTTTACAAAATAGCGGACTTGCTGGTATGTTAAGTGCAAGCTCCATACTTCTGCAGACTCCTTTCAAGAGCTTAAATGAACTTCTACAAGCAGCCATTGGTAGGGCAGAAGGAAGTAGGAGAAAGCCAGCTTCAGGTTGATAAAGTTGGTTAAACATTACCGATGTTTCGGATCCTATAACAATATGCCAAGGATTTATTTTGTCAGGTGTAGGGGGTATGCGTGACGAATATAACGGGTTCTAGATTTGATGACTGGGTTTACTGAACACTTCCTCACAATTCACTGGGACATGCTCCATTCTTGTTCTTGTGACACTTTCATCTAATCCAAAATCAAAGTCAAATTATGTTACGACCGACGGTCAGTCGGTCAGTCTGCCTTGGAATAAAGCACCCATCTCGGGCTTAAGACCAGATGTCTATTACTGTCAGACAGTTGCAGGTTTGTTGATGTAGGGCTCCCTCTCTGACGAGAGGACGGGTCTGCCGTTTGCCAGAGTCACAGTCTGCAGTAATAAGTTTGTTGTCAGTATGTACAGTTTACATTTTACGTTTTGGATTTGTTTCATTTTGGTCCGTCAGTGAAATAGTCACATTGGACGGACTTGTCTTTTATAATTATAAATTTTACGTGTTATTAAATGTATGTATATATAACATATACAGGGCCTATGTCAGTTCAGGCTCAGTACAGCAGATCGTGCCCTATTATTAGTAGCTCCTGCTACAACGGCAGTCTACTCACTTGAACTGTCTTATGCTTGACTGCCGCCAAGTATAAGCTTCTTACATTTCCTGTGTCGGGGTTCGCCTTCTCCGATGTTGTGAATATTTGCATTTTCATGACTTTGTATGACTTCTGCTTGTTGCCTGCACAATTTTGTTATATAATCATATACGTATGGAAGTCTGAAAGCCATGTGCAAATCACCAACCGGTGTGAGCTTTGGAAAATTTCCAGTGGTGCGGAGAACTTGGTTTTGCAGGCACTGTAATATCAGTGCAAACTCCCAGGCAGGGCAAGTCTAAGTCTTGAGAGCCTTAATGAATAACATAAAAATAGCTGCATTGTTCTCCCGTTTCAGACACAACAATGGAGAGAAACACGCTGATGGCCCAGTGTTATCCCAAACTGAAAGATTATTGCCGTGAGAAACACGGACTGGAGTTTCAGGTAAGCCAGTGTTGCAAACACAAGTGTCCTTCAGTAAAATCAAAGGATTTTCATACCAACTGTACCCTCCGCCAAGTGGTATTTTCTGACGAGGTACTCCAAATAAAGTTACGTTTACAGCAGTTCCCCGGTGCATGCTACATGTCCAGCTCATCTTACGTTAGCCATATCGAGAGTGAAGGCGTCATACAAAACAAAGGTCATAGAGTCTAGCTACTGGAAATATGCAAAGTCAAAGTTTTAGAGTACACATTTCTTTCGTACACGTTCTTTGCCATTTTTCATATCGAAATGTTAACGTTAACTTGCTACAAAGGTAATCACATTACAGACATTATAGTGGATAGAGTCCAAATATTTATCTTTTATTTCTATACTTACACATAAAAACTTCTTTGTTTAGATTTTAGATCATTTCATTTCATGAACCGGCCCTTTCGTATGATGAACGGTTATGGAGGAGAATGATGAATTTCGATACAGCTTCATATAAAGTAGAGGTTAGCTTAGTGGGAACTGAAATTAGATTTACCTGTAAATTTAATGTAGACAACAAAATACTAAATTCAATCGAAATCATCCTTATATGAGTGAGTCCTTTTGCCTGTTTTGAGTCCTGTTAAGGATTTCCAGTGTTCTTTATGGTCTCTTTTTCTCCAGTTCCTGACTATTCTCTTAGCATCTCCTAATGAGATACCTGTAACCTGGTTCAGGTCCTGTAAACGAACATTCGGTTCCCAGTTTTCCAGTTGGTAGGCCGTTGCTTTACCAGCAATGCCCTCGTGACCCGGTACTAGTATCAGTTGATCTCTGTTACGTTTGGCCAGCTGCACTCTCGCATCGTAAGTTAGTGGTTCACTTCTCATTCGACATTCAGCAACTTATGTCGAAGTAAAGAAAATAAATATGCAGCAGAGTGAAGCGAGTAATGAATGCGATATATCGATCGATCGCGAGTGAAGAGCAGTTGATTCGCTTCAAATAGTTGTCCGAAAAACTCGTCATATTGCAGACTGTGGTAGCGCTATTGATTCGTAACGCAGGGACGTACCAGCCTGGTACAGGCATTGTTTTGTTCCTGTTTCAACACACTGCATCATGTCGACATGGGTGCAAAATGTTCAGTTGTCCACAACATTATTAGTTTCCCGCTTAAAGAATTCATTCTCTCAATACAGCGAAATGGGAAACCGAACTAATCACAGGGCTGGATTTACACTTGTGGGGCCCTTCGAGCATTCAAAATGTGGAGGCTTCTATCATTAACAACAGATTGAGGTTGTGACAATTATGTATTTATTTTATTTTTGTTTATTTCTTGGTTGAGGACTAAAATATAAATTAACATTTCGTAATTTTAGAGAAGCAAATATCTCAGTAAAACCTGAAGATACTCTTTCTACATTGTGGAGGTCCGGGGGCGACAGCCCCAGTCACTCCACCTTGAATTTTGCCTTGACTGTTCAAAACAAGTTTGTAAGCAGCAGAGAGACACAACCAGAAAACTCGACGCCATTTTGCATTCGAACGCGAGGCAGTTTTACCGTGAACCTGACATTAGCGCCACCCGCTGATGGTGCCGCTTTGTACCCAGACACTGGCTGACTGTCACTTGGGCAAGCTAAACCAGAGCACTGCAACATTCGTTTTCAAAGAAGTTATTTTCAGTGAGAACATGTACAGATATTTGCCCTTTGTTCTTAGCAATTCGTGTTTCTAAAATGCATGAAAATAGTTTTTTAAAAAAGAGTAAAACTATCGTTGTGATAGGCCGTGGAGGCCCATAGGGCTGTGAGACTTCGAGGTTCCCACATTTTCTAGACAGTCGGTTCATAGATGGCAGCGAGGTTGTCAGCTTTACACGCCAGCCGCCCTTACCCCAAGGAAGATTCCTGGTACTCATTTCTGTTAGAGGCTGCGTCGACCCTAGGGCCGTAGTGCGGCTGGAAGGATTAGGTCAATTGAAAAATCCAATGACCTAATATGGAATCGAACCCGCGATCTTCCGGCTTGTAGCATAGTTCTACCGCGTGTGCCCCTATTAAAATGGTTAATGCAACAGGCATGCAATTCGTCTATGTGTTTGTCGAGATATCTCCATGGAAGTCTGACAGTCCTTCAGATTTGATGCATTAGTCACGCGGGGGGAGGGAATTAGTACTGAACTCTTAACTTGAATTGGAGAATGAAGTGCAATAAGATTTGCAAAGAAAGCATGCACGGGAACTGATGAAGAGGCTTATGATTCGAAAATTCCTCTAAGCATTTCCCTCTAAAAGAAGTAAGGCAGGGAGTAGCTGCAGCTCAGAATAATTATGGGACTTAACCACGCAGTTCTCTGCATAATGGCCGAGATCAGTCTCTCAAGTGAAAGCTTCTGGGAATTGCATATTCAGAACTTCGTCACGTTAGTAATTTTTACGTAAATATTTTACAGAAAGTTTTAATCACCTTCACGGTGCCCATTTAGACACTCCGAACTGCAACACACATTAACCAAAACAAAAATATAAACATGAATTTCGCACGACAGTCCTGCTGTTATTTTGTGTTCTACAGAAACTCCATCTTGAAAACCGTTGCTTGTTTCTGAAAGACTTGTTGCTGTAAATGGAACCAGGGCCGTATACTAATGGGCGCTAATGCCACTCCTAACTCAGACGTTCCTGTACCCACGATATTATTATTATTATTATTATTTGGGATTTAGAAGTGCTCCACTGAATATACTCCGTTAGGTCAACATGGCTTCCATAAGCACTTTCATGGAAATTCAACATTTTGTTCTAAAGTTCCTACGGTTACAGACTCATATGTACATACGAGTGTAAGGATATTGTGACGTGACGTCTGAAAGCCGGAATAGGGGAGCCACAGTAGACGTTCATCGTTAGGCAACGACTCGGCAGACAGGTTCTCGCGATAAAGAATGAGCAAGCAACAATAGACACATTTCTGTGCTATAACGAAGGAAACAGGACATTCGTTTGGGGCCTTCCCGCGGTTATACCTGTATAATTTGGATCAAAGGCCAATAGAATCAGAATTGAGGGAGTCTCTTCAGATGTTAGTCGAAAGTGTTTGAGAAAAAAAAACGGCAAGGAAGGAATTAGAGTGTGCAAACAACACTTCATGTGTGCTGCAGTTACAGTGAGACTGGTATAATTGATGTATTGAAATCCGTTGCCAGGATACGACTAGTGAAGACTGGGAACCCTAGTGCGTGTGTAACGGTGAACTGCAAAATGCGTAGATCAGAGATAGCGCTGCATTACTTATAGTTCTGTTTGGTGTATACAAATAGTCACTAAATCCAGTTCACCAAACCAAACCCCGTCTATAGTCACTCTCCTAAAACGGGTGACAGTATCATAACTCTGCATCTCTTCAGACAGAAAAGCAAGACGAAAGCTGCGGCATGGGGCAGAGGCATTCCTCTCGACCCAGCTCGTGCCCCTCCGCCCAGTGATAACCGCGTTTCATAGGTTAAAAAGTACACACATACCAGAAAAGAAGAATCCAACAGGCTACTTTTCCTTCAAATTCACATATTTGTAACTAGAAAAGCATACAAAATTAAGGAAATTTAGTGTTATATTGTCACGTGATTAAGTAACTATAATCGGGGTTTTAAATGGTAGCAGCATGTATTGAACACGTTTTTTTTTCTGTGGCGCTACAGCCCAAATTTGGGCCTAGGCCTGCCTCCATGAAACTCTCCGTTTCACTTCGGTTTACTAGATCTTACACATTCGGTAGGACTCCTTGGGCGAGTGATCAGCTCGTCGCACGGGCTCTACCTGTACACAAACACAGAAAAACGCACACAAACATCCATACCCTGAGTGGTATTCGAACCCACGATTCCGGCTTCCGAGCGAGCGAAGACAGTGCATGCCTTAGACCCCTCGGCTACCGTGACCTGCATTGAACACTTACAACTCGTAACTACAAATAACTATGACAGTGTCATTAAGTTACACACACCAAAGTTTACTATACCTACAGCACACATAAAGTCTTCTCACTATTCACTTGCTATTGCTTGGCAGCGGCTTCCAATGATGGACATTCCCCTTCCTCTGCTTTTCCGAATTGTCATCGACCTCAGCTACCAGCTTTCCATTTCTCACAAATATAACTCTCAACTGACTCAACCATGTCAAAGTCAAAGTCAAAGTCATAGTTACGTTACGACCGACGGTCAGACGGTCAGTCTGTCTTGGTGTCAAGCCCCATCTGGGGCCCAAGACGAGATTCTTGTTAGTATCAGACAGTTGCGGGTTTGCCAATGTGGGGCGCCCTCTCTGACGAAGAGGATAGTTCTGTCGTTTATAATTTCTGCTGGTCCTCGCCAGCGCAGTCATTCTTGGGTACGAGACCCACAGGACTCATGACCCTATTTTGCTGTCTCAGGTTCGAGACTCCTCCAACCTGGAGGGCCGGATGTGTATACCCGAGAGCAACAGGGTGGTCCAGTTATACCCCCAGGCACTGGGACCCCTTTTCGTGGCTTTCTGTGGCTCGCAGGGCTACGTGGGCTCTCAACCACAGTCAGGGTCAGAGTTACTTTAAGACTAGCGGTTTGCCGCCAATCAGTTCGTCTTGGCGACAAGCCGCTTGAGACTCACGACTATTACTTTCTTCAACTGAACACTTGCTGTCATAGTCTATATGTAGCATCCTCTCTTACGAGAGAATAGGTGGGCTCTCAACCACAAGTGCTAGTCCTTTCTATACAGCCCCGGCACTATCCCCCCCCCCAATTATTGCATGTTTTCTCGTTCCCGGGGAAGCAATGTGTCCACAGAGCTGTTCCCTAGCAACGGCTGTTGTACTGTCGCCTGTTTACACAGCTGTTACCTGGTGGCGGATCTACCTGTCACACTATCAATGGTGTTTGTGTATAACTCCCTCCTTCGCAAGACTTGCACGATACAAGAAATGCCAGGAATACACTCTACACACAGCACAATTAACCCTCTAAAGCCCAGTGGTTACTATACATACCACCTGCTTTAACATAATAAAACTCTGCATTTAGCCCACTGAGTATATTACTGTATTTGCGTGGTTCTCACAGTTAACAGCAATTATTTCCTCAAACAGGACTGGCTAATTTATGTTCGTAGTGGTGAGTTGGTATGTTTCCTGTGAGTTATGAACTGGATGTTTATGTAATATCTGGAGGAAAAGCATTCTTTAAAAGGTTAACATAAATAGTCATTTTATGTTTTTACAGATTCTAATATTTGAACATTCAGTGTTATCCTTGTACCACCAGTAACACTATGACCGCCTTGGTTTCCTGACTTCACAGTATGAACTTTCAGGTAGTGGACATGAGGTGGGGCGTGAGAGACGAGGCAACAGACGATCACATGACCACGGAGCTATGCATGAGAGAGATAGCCAACTGTCAGCGACTCTCTATGGGCCCGAACTTTGTGGTGAGTTCATTGATAGGACAAGCAATTGTTGCCATAATTGGAAGTAGTGACACAAGGATTGTTGCCAGAGTAATCTATGATGTCACATCAGTAACAATACATCTGATAATTAAGAGCACAATGTGAAGAGCACGATTTTCTGCGATGTAACACTGTAGTTCGGAGAAAGTCTGACCTTTCGGAGGAACACACCGTCTTCATCTTTAGGGTCGAAGAGTAAGCGAAGGTCACCGCCTGCGTCTTCTGGTTAATTGCCTAGTTTACTCTTCTATCCTGCAGATGGAAGTGATATATTTCTCCGAAACTTGTGTCTCTCTCCGAACTAAACGGCGCTACAACGAAGAAAAACGCACTTCTTATAGTCACCGCTATGAGAACCTCAACTCCGAAATGAAAAACGACTAAAATATTTCGGCCACACGTTCTTTCGGAATTTGAAACTACAAGATTTGGAATTGCTGCATTTTATCAAACAGTGTACTATTTCATTTAGACTTCTCACAATATCTTCACCTGAATGCTCAGGCGGCTATTCGCCGGCATCCCACTGAGGCGGTCCGGGTTCGATCGCAGGTAAAATCATGCGGATCTATGGTAAGTGGCACTGGGGTAGATTTTCTCTGAGTGCTTCGGCTTACCAACTGTTCCAGAGCCGGTACAATAGGGCAAATCGCGACCGATTTACCAAGTGGACTCAGTCTCACCCCACCGCAAGGAACTTAGAGAAGAACTACACACTCTGTACTGAACGCAGTTTGTTGTGGGGGGCCTCTGACGTACCATATAGAAGCTGTATTCATGACCGTCCCGCAGGTGTTTCTGGGCCAGAAGTATGGATACAGGCCCATCCCCACCTACATCCTGTCCTCGGAACTGCAGATGCTGCGGGACGATCTGGCCAACTCGGGCTCTGATCCTGTGCTCCTCGACACGTGGTATCGCAAGGACAGCAACGCCGTACCCCCGGTGTCCGTGCTGCAGCCCATCTCTTCCATCCTCGTCAACTTCAACAACAAGGTGACACGGACAGATGTAGCTCGCATCGCGCAGGTGTAGGTGGCAGCGTACAGATGTAGCTCGAATCTCGCAGGTTAGGTGGGAGCGTACAGCTGTAGCTGGAATCTCGCAGGTGTAGGTGGCAGCGTACAGATGTAGCTCACATCTCGCAGGTGTATGTGGAAGCGTACAGATGTAGCTCGCATCTCGCAGGTGTATGTGGCAGCGTACAGATGTAGCTCGTATCTCACAGGTGTAGGTGGCAGCGTACAGATGTAGCTCGAATCTCGCAGGTTAGGTGGGAGCGTACAGATGTAGCTGGAATCTCGCAGGTGTAGGTGGCAGCGTACAGGTGTAGCTCGCATCTCGCAGGTGTAGGTGGTAGTGTACAGATGTGACTTGCATCGGGCGGGTGTAGGTGGCAGTCCATCCAGACAAATACGAAGATAGTCATCTTAATTTGGGCCACGGCTGCTCGCTATCACATACTATTCTATCCATTATTCATTATACATCCTGCCATACGACATTACGCAGTCTGGGTTATTTAAAACGTCATTAAACAAGCCATAAGCAAATATAGAAATGAAACAGAGATTATGTGTAGGTGTGTATGCTTACAGAAAATACGAGTAGTTAGATTAAGCAGGTGGGTAGAGAGACATACTGTTTATATAATCATACTTTCATCTACAAGAAGTAAAAGAATACTCCAAGTACTGCGGATTAGAAAGATATACAGTAAACCTTCGATAATCCGGATACAGTTAAAACGGAAGTCGGATAATCCGGATTGAAAAACGAAAAATGATGAACGCTGTTCACAGTTGAGTGCATACTTTAAAGGACACATGGTATGTAGGAAGGCAGATGAGTCACTTGTCTGTGCAGAAAAAAAAAACAATTGACACTTTCTTCAAACCTGCGTCATTACGTTCAAAAACAAGTACAACTCCTGAGGCTTCTGTTGATGAATAAATGTATTTGTCTTTTTGTATAAGGGCTCTACAGTGATATTTATTTTCATTAGCACTACTTGGAACATCGAAATTTCTTTTTATTTGTGTTGTAAGTCTGTCGTATTTTAGGGCTAGGTTTTGCTTCACTAATCCGGATTAGCGAGGGTTTGCCGTGACGATGGGTGTGTTGGTATGTGAGTGGGTGGATAGACAAAGGGTCTCGTGTTCCAGCGAATCCCGAAACTGCAGCAGCACGACCAAGCCGTCTGGTGGGACACGCTCGGCAAGATGCAGAAACTGCTCCGAAAGGCTGCGCTGTCCCTGGCAAACAGCGGCAAGATTGACAGGGATACGATGCACAATTACTTCATGTCGGGTGAGACAGCCTCCAGTTCAGTGCGAGCCACCACGCAACACAGTAAGCGGCTGTAAAGAACGCCTAGTCTTGTTGCAGTGACGGAGCGGGAGGTGATCAACGGCGTGCTGAACGTTCAGAACACAAAGAATCATTGCCTCGCTTATGTCCGGTACATCAACAACATCAATCTGCAGAACCTGAAGAAGGCGTCGCTATTTGTGGACATCCTGAACAGGAGCTTGGACACAGAGGCGTGCAAGCTGCTGGCGAACCTGCGGGACGAGCGGTTGCCTGCCAAGATTGAGAGCACAAATATCCAGAGGTGGCGAAAACTATACTGAGGCCACGGAAAGGAGTCCCACCCCTCCCTCCTCCAGTTTTCCAGCCGTTCTTTTCATATGCACGGTGATACTGTAGGTACTTCAATAGCTCCGGTGGCAACAAACGCTTTGGGCTGGTTGACATAGCGCAGAGGGGTTAGGGGGATACAGGAGTAGGTACAGAGGGAGAAACCTCGAGTGCAATCACCCCCACAATTCATAGGATTTCTTTCCGTGGCATCAGTATAGTAAGAGCAAGGTGTTATTATAAATATTTTTACAATTATTATTAGTAGTATTATTAAATTATTATCTGTGTGAGATATCCTTGAGGGTACGTCGTACCCTGAGTAAACAACCCTGTGGAAAAAATCCCCGTGTCTTCAACGAGATCCTCGAAATGGTGATCCGGTTACCCACCATACGAGTATGTTGTGAAGAGCACCTGATCATTTTCTAATGACGATCTTGTTAGTTATTGGCTCATTACTGAGTTCTGAGCCTGTTCACTTCATTTGTCTACAGAAATTTCAATCTTTCATATGAGTTCAACGCGTCCTTCCATCTAAGATTGCGTGATCACTTCCCTGACAAGAGGAAGAAGTTGACGTGGGAGGGGGACAAACGTTTTTCCTACTTTGAAGGCTCTGAAGCAAACCCGCTCTTGTTTCTGGTAGAAGCACGTCTGAGGTAGGGTAAAGCGTTAGGAAGTGCAGATAGGGAGAAGTGATAGGATATGTCAGAGGAAGGAAACAGAGACGGGGCTTTGCTGCCTGCTTCCGGAATTGATTTAGATATTAACGCTGAAAGAGTTGCATCAGAGTGACAATTTGTTTAAACTCTGGAGGGCTAAATTATGGTGAAATTTTGGTGTTCACATTGGTAAGCCTGCATGAGACGCATGGGATGCAACGTTGAATTTTGGTACGGACACAGCATTTGCTCTAGGACCGGGGAAAACCATGTAAAATCGTGCTTGATTTGCCCGGATGTGGAGCTTTCCGGAAGCAAACCGACTTCTAGCACTGCATGTTCACTGTTGACAGATACACCGTGGAGTGGATTGGGCGTGAGGGTCTGGACACGGAGACTCACGAGGAGTATCTGCAGCACTTCATAACGCATTTCTACAAGAACATCACGAAGCTGGTGGACCGAGCCATGCGCAAAGAGGACTCCAGCGCGCAGGGCCAGATCGTGACGGAGATCCTGCAGCATCTGCATGCCTGCAACAACTCTGTCAAGGTGAGCCTCGACAACTTGAACTTTCCCCTGCACTAGGCCATGAAGTCTTATGACGGCGTGGAGGTACAGCTCCATACATTCTGATCGAGCGGTCTGGTGCAGCGGTAACTCTCTGGATTACTATTCGGTAGGTACTCGGTTCGAAACTCGGCCGGAATATTGTCGTGACTTTCCTCAGTCCGTCCAAGCAATTCCAGTAGGGCCCGACCACTGCCTTCCAAATCCTTTACAGTTCACCATTCATCTGTCACCCTATCACCCGAAGCTACGTGGCTCAGTTGCTGATACCAACGCGAAACAACTCACAAAATATGCAGGCATTCTCAACCCCGGAAATGGATGGAGGTGCATGGTAAATTCACGCTCTGGCCGCTTTATCCCGGAGGAAGATAGGAGTTCTTGTGGGCCCCAGAGCCGGTCTGAACGTTGTGAAGAAGAGATGAATCTCTTGCCTCTATCGGGAATAGAATTCTGATCCCTTGCTCTCCCAGCCCGGAGCCCAGTCACTGCACTTACTGAGCTATCGGCCGCGCCATAGCTCAAGCGGTTAGTCGCTGGCTTCCCACCGCGGCGGCCCGGGTTCGATCCCGGGTCTGGTCAAGTGGGATTTGTGGTGGACAAAATGGCGCTGGGGTAGGTTTTCTCCGAGTACTTTGGTTTCCCCTGCCAATCTTCATTCCACCAATTGCTCCACAATCACCCTCACCTATCATCTGAGGCTGGTACAATAGGCCAGAAGTGGCCGCAGTACAAGGGACTTAGCCCCACCCACTAGCAATAAAAGAAATACTGAGCTATCCCGGCTCCTAATCTTTAGAAATGTGTCGCGCTTAACCGCTCTCTGATAAAACATAAAAGTTAAAGTTGTTCCTGTGCTAAGCATTATGTCATGAAGACGCAGTTCATGGGGGAGTGGAGGTATAGCTCCATACATTCTTAAGCTCCGCACTAGGTGGAGTCGCTGCATTGGCTTGTATTCGGGAGGCGCATAAACAAAAACGTAGACGAAGCACCGAGGTTTCTCACTGAAGGTCCTCGTGGTTTTCCTCAGTCTCTCGAGGCAAATCCAGTGATGCTATTTCAAACTATGCTACGACAACTTCCTTTCGGATCCCTTTCAACATGTTTCTCAGTAATGATCCCGACGGTCGACGCTACATGCACTGAGCTACTGATGGATTTCTGTGATCAGCTTCAAGCTTCAACCGCTTTACCCCCTGGGGAACAGCACCCGATACCCATAGGATAGAAGATAGGTCTGGACACTGCCTGCAACAGAGGAATGCCGTGTTTCAGGTGTTCTACGGGCGCGAGATCGAACTCGAGCGAATCAAGAAGCACTTGCTAGGGGACTGCGAGAAGCCCATGGTCCTGTACGGGGAGGGTGGGTGCGGCAAGACATCCCTCCTGTCCAATTCAGCGGGGCTCGCCTCCACGGAATGGTTCCAGGGTTCTAAGCCACTCAACATCATCAGGTTCCTGGGTACCACGCCAGACAGCAGCGCCCTAACACCCACCCTGGTGTCCATCTGCCAACAGGTACAGTAATGGGACATCGGCTGTGAAACCTGGAGACAGAGAGACCACGAAGAATAGCAGAGAAGTACATGAGAAGGGGAAAGTCATGGGAGAAGTGAGCAAACAGAAGGTTCCCAGGCTCCGCCCATTCGCCCTCCTGATGAGGGCGGTACGAGAGTGAAGACTTTAGGATGTTTAGAAGCAGAGGCTTGAGGCAGGGGCTGCGGCATTTTTGTTACTTACACAACAACTCTGCTTCCTAACGAGTCCCTAACAGAGAATACTGAAAGATGCGATTAAATTTACTGCCTACTCTTGCCATGACCATTAAAGCAATGTGGAGGTGTTGCCGTAGAGTTTCTCGATGTGACGCCAGTTCTTACTCACAGTGTCTTGTTCTTCTGTCACATGAGTGAACTTGACTCTAATGAGATTCCTCTTCCTTCTTCAGAGTTTAACCACTACATGCTGTGATACTGACAGGGAAAGCAACCATTTGCCGGGGGGAAAACAGATCTTAAGCTTAACTCACTGAATTCAAATGTGAAACTATAAATTACACCAGGGTCAGGGAAAGAATGAACACACGTAGTGTGTATTCAAGCCGGCCGATTTCTCACCTGCTTTACCAACATTACACACTCCCCTTCATCAACACCAAAAGGCAAACCGGGACAGAGCTCATTAGCCCAAGTCCGGCCATCCATGCAAATGTCAGGATAATCCATCCATTCCAAAACATTATTCACTGATCAATCTACCATTCGATGCTATAGCAGCATCGTGAGACCACAAGTATATGGAAAATAAATAACAAAATGAGGTCCCGAAGGGGGAGAGAGAGACAGAGAAGGGATTACAACCACAATATGCACAAGATGCAACTGGTCAGAGTGGGGGAAACTGTGCAGAGGAGAGGTAATTGCTTGGTAGATGTTTGGGTGAGGGGGATTCGATCTGTTTTTATTCTTTCCTTGACCCGATTTCAAATGGGATTCTGTGTAAATTAGTTATGTTGTCGCTTTATTCAAACATAAATAATTATACCAAAATATCTTCATGATTTCTTATCACTGAAGTTGAATCCCGAAAAAACCTTTAGAATCAGAGAACATTTTCTGACATGCGCAGATCTCGTATAATTACATGCTGCCTTTCGAGGATATCCCCGTGGACCTTGTACCCCTGACGGCATATTTCAAGCATCTTCTAACATATGCAAGCCCGCAGCAGCCACTGTTACTCTTCCTCGACTCGGTGGATCAGCTGACAGGAGCGCAGGACGCCAACAAAGTGTCATGGCTGCCGCTTCGCTTGCCGCCATATTGCAAGGTGATTAATCTTGGTTTGTCTTCTGTTAACTGCAGATATAAATCTAACCGCACAGCCAACCGGCTCGCTGGCTAATCAGCTTACTGACTGAATGACTGAGTGATGACTAATTACCTTGCCCAATATCTAATTCAGTATTATTATACAAGGTTCAACACAACAAATTCGTAATAAATAAACCAATATTATTGCATTAATATTCGTTTATTACGTACAATTGCTACATGTTTCGATCCAGCTGGATCATCATCAGGCAATTTTCATGTAATATACTACCTGATATTGAATTGCATTTCTAATGTGGATCCACATTAGTGATCATTAATATAAATTTCTTTACGGTTCGTGGGTTTCTTTATATTTGAATAGTGTTCTTAAAATGTCAAAAGTTATGTCAGTTAAATGTTAAAAATTAAATTACTCTTTTTTTGTTTATTTGGGAGTGAAGTGGAAGTCTATGATGTTCTATCGTAGAGTGGAGGGGTCTTCTGGGAGTCTCTCTGTTTTGTGCACATATTACTTGGCGGTTCTGCGCATGTAAGTGATGTACGTTCCATTTTCTTTTCGTGGTGACGTCAGTGACGGCGGTGAAGTTACTCTGCATGTTGTATCGTGTCCTGTATAGGATACCATGTCTTGATTTATTTATTACCAATTTGTTGTGTTGACGGCTGCATAAAAAAATGAATATATTAAGAAGAAGTCTGTGGGTGATATCTGGAATGGAACCCCAGTATCTCGGTTGTCTAGTCAGCAGAATAAACAGGTTTCCGTAAGTAATGAGTTCTTCACAAAAATAAAATTAAACTTGAGACGCCATACAGAACTATTAGGCTTATTTTGGACTCTATCCACCGTCTGGTATATATGGATAGAGTCCAAAATAAGCCTAATAGTTCTGTACAGCATACACCATCGTCAGAATCCTTTCAAGTCTATTTGAGACACTATCCTACACGCCGAAGGGTCGCGGGTTCGATGAGGTCATTGGATTTTTCAATTGACCTAAACATTTTCTCTGGGGTCGACTCAGCCTTTAGCGGAAGGGAATGCCAGAAATCTTCCGGGGGTAAAGGGCGGCCGGCGCGTAAGTCTGACAACTTTACCGCCATCTGTAAGCTGACTGTCTAGAAAATGTGGGAGCCTTGACCTCTCACAACTCTATGGGCTTCCACGGCCTGTTACAGGCATAGCTTTACCCTTTTACCATAACGACACTGACGCTGAGATTACTTGCCCAGTTGCTTGTGTCATGCGCCGCGGAGGCAGACAACCCGGAAGTCAGTCAGGACTACCACCTGCTGAGGCGTATGATCGACAATGAGGAATTGTTTCTGGAAGTCACAGACCTGGGGGAGGAGCTCGCCATGCAGATAATAAGGTAAGCCACTACAGCGGGAGAAGCGCCTGAGAAAATCACGAGTATCTGAGAGGCCTGAGGTTCTAACAAGGGTGAATATGAAGTGAAACAGTGGGTCAGAGTGAGGCAGCCGACTTCTCGCTGTCTGCAGGATGTGGATGCAAACGGCATGTCGCGACCTTACCAACTACCAGTGGCGGCTCGTGTGCAACGCGGTCGGACAGTGCTCGCTGCCCATCTTCGTGAAGCTCGTGTTTGCCGAGATCTGCCGCTGGCGGAGCTACACCAAGCCACAGGACACATACCTCGCCTCAACCGTCATGGACTCCATCATGCTGCTCTTTGAGCGAGTCGAGAAGCAGGTCAGTCATTCGAAATCCGTCAGGTGCCTCCCATCCAGTGGCTACGGGAGGTAAAGCAGCCGGGGCGTGAAGCTAGACCGCCACTCCACCGTACTCTTCATGGTGTAGAGCGCATTCACGCCAACCCCTTTAAAATGTAAAGTTATCCGCGAGCTGAGATAAGCATCACGTCATGAAGACATATGGAGGTGTGGACGTATAGATCCACTCGTTCTTATGTTCGGCACTAGATGCAGTGTATGGTCGGCTTCACGCACCACAGGCTTGTGAGCTTTTACGACCATAGTTGGTTGGTAAACGTCATGGAAAGAGGATACTGGGAAGACTGGGATGTAAATGGAAATTTCCGGCTTCCCATTCGGGAACACCCTGTAGCAATGAGTGGTTTGCCCACAGCACGGCCGCATCCTTGTGTTCCACGCGCTCGCCTACATCACTGCGGCCAAAAGCGGCTTGTCCGAGTCCGAACTGGAGGACCTGATCTCCCTGGACGACAAGGTGCTAGACGACGTGTACCAGTACCATCTGCCCCCGGTGCGCCGCATCCCGCCACTGCTCTGGACCCGCATCCGAAACGACCTGCCCAACTACTTGTCGGAGCGAGAAGCAGACGGCGTGAGCGTCATGAACTGGTACCACAGGTTCGCAACACCCTGTACCTTGTACAGCATTGCCACGAATTGCGCCTTCCTGTACAGAATGGTATGTTATGATACCACACTCTGTGCAGTATAATGTGATGAAGGCGAAGTAGTTATTAAAAAGTTATAAGAAAGAAAAAAATTCGTGATTTCTCATCCCTCTTTTGTCTGACGTTCATGCATTGTAGAGAGAAACATGGTGAAAAGTGGTCAGCGGAAGGGATAGGACACTGCGTAAGGGAATGGCTAATAACTTTGTTGCATTTATCTAAATGTACGCCTGTCGGGGCTACTTACCGATGGTCACTGGACGCTGAATTGGATAGGATGATGGAAGCAGCAACTGTCGGCCAAAATGAGAACCCGGTGACAGCACCGGCCAATGTTTGTGTGTGCAGGCAATTCCGGGACGCGGCCCGCGAGAGGTACTTCAAGAATATGAACATGGCGATGTACTTCCACTCGTCTATTGCAGACTATTACCTGGGAATCTGGGGTGGGGGCAACCCTAAGCCCTTCAAGTACACCGAGATACAACGGCACAGGTACTTCCATACAGCTAGCTAGTCGGTACTTTCCTGTTTTAAGGCGCGTCCACATTACTCGTGCTCGTCTGACTCGCTATGCTCGCGAGTAATGTGGACGATATGGCAAGTCACGAGACAAGTAAATTTTAAATTTAAGAACTATAGTCAATAAATTAAAATACGACTACAGCCTATACACACTACGAGTAAATATACGGATCCTCACGCGCCGAAGCCTGGCGAGCAACTGAAGTAGTGTGGACGAAGATTTACGAGCACAAGTAAAAGCCAGGCGAGTCTCCCGACGAGCACAAGCCTGGCGAGCACGAGCACGAGTAATGTGGACGCGCCTTTACTGTTACTGCGTTACTATCAACTGGCTGTAACTAGAGGCATGTGCTATAAAAGAAAGGTACAGTTGTTCCTGTGTTTAAGTAATTAAGCACTACGCCATGAAGGCGTATGGTGGGTGGATGTATAGATACACATTTTGACCTCGGCACTAGCTGGGAGTGGTCAGCTTCACTCCCCGGCCGCTTTACTCCCGGAGAAAGAGTCCCAAGTACCCATTGGACAGTAGGCTGAGTGGACCCCAGAGTCGGTCTGGATGACGTGGAGTAGAGAAAATTCTTGACCCCATCGAGACTCGAACTCCGACCCCTTGGTCGTGCAGACCATAGCCAGCCGCTATACCGAATGCTCCACCTCGGTTCCCTAGAAACATGAGGCCCTTTACGAAACCATGAGCGAGGACGGAATAAGACTGCGCATGCGTACTATTGTTTATGTGAAGCCATGCGTGCGTCTGTAGGTGCAGCATGCCCCCTGCTCCTGTTGGCTTGATTGGGAAGACTGACAGATGTTCCTCTGCAAACAGAAGACAATTCTATGTACCGGTAAAGGCGGGAGTACGGTCCTACCTCAGACTTACGATTTTATGCGTTCCTGAAAACGAGCTCTAAGTCGAAAAATCTTAAATCGAATTCGCTGTAACATGGGACCCACACAGTGACATTCCTGGAGGTCAGAGCTCAGACAGCCCTTACTACGCTGAAGTCACATCGCTTTTAATATAAACTTAATAAAAAGACTCAAAATATTAAAGACTTAAACTACTGTCACGTGATAAGTGTGACTATAGACCGAGTTTGGATTGGTAACAGCATTTACTGAACACTTAGAGGACGTAACTACAGACAACTACGACAGAATCACTGAGTTACACAGTCAAAAGATCACTGTATTTTTTTTACTGCTAGTGGGGTGGGACTAAGTCCCTTGTACTGCGGCCACTTCTGGCCTCTTGTACCAGCCCCAGATGATAGGTGAGGGTGATTGTGGAGCAATTGGTGGAATGAAGATTGGCAGGGGAAACCGAAGTACTCGGAGAACATCTGCCCCAGCGCCACTTTGTCCACCACAAATCCCACTTGACCAGACCCGGGATCGAACCGGGGCCGCCGTGGTGGGAAGCCAGCGACTAACCGCTTGAGCTATGGCGCGGCCGTAAAGATCACTGTAACTACAACACACATAAAGTCTTCTCAGCCTTCACTAGCTGTTGCTTGGTAGCGGCTTCCAACGGCGGACGTTCTCCTTCCTCTGTGTTCCCGAACTGTCCCCGGTCTCAGCTTCCAGCTTCTCATTTTCACAACTAGAACCCTCAACTGAACTACTAGCCCCGGTACGGACCGCACAGAAAACGTCTCTTCTATTATTGCGTGTTCTGTCGTTAGCGGGGAAACAACGTATCCACGGAGCTGTTTCCTAGCAATGGCTGTTTTACTGTCGCCTGTATAGCAGCGGTTACTTGGCAATGGGTCTACATGCCACACTACTAAATGTACAAATATGAGTANAAGATCACACTGTATTTTGGCACGTGTGTGCCATCTTCAGTTCGGATAAATGATACAAACTCCGTCTCAAGTGCAAACAATATATTTTGTGTCTTTTGATTTTGTCTCCTACACTACATGTTTCGGCCTCAGACGGCCATCATCAGGTGTATATCACTCACTTCGCTGTCACACTGCACCCAGTTCAAAATTTAACATCTAAATACTCTCCCTGTCATTATCAACTTCTACTTCGTTGATAGCTGTCCACCCGTAGATTACTTCACACACGTTAATTTTGACTTTATTGTAATGGCACCATAATAAAATCTTTAGTTCTAATTTTAAAACTTTAAATTCTTGTCCAAATTTTAAAATTTTAAAATTGTTAGGGTTATTCGCCCTGTGTTTGAAGTGCTGCAGCGGCTAGTTCTTGTTTCCACACTGTATAGGTGTTATCCTGTGTGGTCTTTCTGTGTGCGTGCCGCTGCTATTCTTTACGTGTGCACACGTGTAGACAGTTCAGTTAATATTTTGCCAAAATACGAAGACTTTCCCAGCGCCTCGCCGAACTCAGACGGGAGATTTGCGGAGGCACTCGACTTGGGACAGGGGCCGGAAGAGTGGTCGCTTGGGGCTTGTGCTTTCTGAAGAACATATACTGCATGTGAAGTCCGGAACTTGGGAACTTGGGAAGCCGCATGAGCCACTCTTGACAAGATGGAGGAATGTGACAGCTCTCACACAGTGAGCAAAGGCCTACACAGAGCTTAATGAGACGCCTCTGTCCGGATGTATTCGGAGTACTGCCGCTATTATTGGTACTCATGTACGCTGTGGAGCCGGCATGGCTCAGTCGGTTTAGCGACTAGGCTACGGGCTGGACGACCGGGGAATCGGGGTTCGATTCCTGGCAGAGGGGACAACAGATTCGCTCTTCTCCGTAGCGTCCATACCCAGCCTCCTAACCGATAGGTGCTGGTGCTCTTTCCCGGAGGTAAAGCGGCCAGGAAGTGAAGCTGAGAACTTGCCTCCATCTAGTGCCAAATTAGAGAATGGTGGAGCTATACGTCCACTCCTCCATATGTCTTAATGACTTGTTGTTTATCTGACTAAGCACCGGGACAAATTGATCTTTACCAAAGCAGATGAATGGGGGTGGAGTTGTAGCTCCATTCATTCTAAAATTCGGAGGTAGGTGGAGGCTAGCCGTTAGCTTCGCGCCCTGACTGCTTTATTCCCACGGAAAGAGACCGCAGTATCCATTGGAAAGGATGTTGGGTGCGCTCCAGAGCCCGTCTGAACGCTGCGAAGAAGAGAGAATACCTTCCTCTTACCGGGAGGCCGTCCATACATCCCCTGGCCACTGTACTGGCCACCTGTCATGCTCCAGAAGGCCACTTTGTCCTACAAGGCCGCTGCTTCTTGCGCAGGTTCAACCTGACGGACAAGGAAGGCTCAGCCGACCGCAAGGTGCCCGTGCAACCGCTGGTGTTCTACTCCAAGGACGGCAAAGTGTCCCGCTACAACCTGAGGAAGGTGGGTCACGTCACACAGGCTAAACAAACATGTTTCGGAAGCTATCCCCGCTTCCATCATCAGGTAAAACCTGCTGTGTTGGGTCCATTAGATGGAGCCAGTTCCTTGTCCATTGACGGGACCAGGCAGTCATACCTGACACGTCAGCAGTCACCCACCAGTTTATAGAACCCGCGGGTTCCTTTATAACTAACTTCATACAGCTGGACCCTCCTTGAGAAGCCGCCAGTTTTCAGCTGCTCAAGAACTTCTCAACATTTTATGGAACCCAAAGGTTCATTACAGTGCTCACAAGAGCCCTCCACTGGTCCATATCCCATGTGTGCCATATGTCCTGCCAATCTCGTCCGTGATTTGATGACCCTAATGATATCTGCGAGGAGTACAACTTATGACGCTCCTCACTTTGCAGTCATCTCCATTCTCCTGCCACTTCTCCTCCGTTTTATGTCCAGATATTGCCCTCGGTGTCCTGTTTCCAAGCACCAATCTGCGTCTTTCTTTAATAAGAGAGTCCAAGTTTCATGGCCATACAAAACAGCAAGCAAACCTACAGTTTCGCCTATTTCAGTCTCTGCGTCTTCAGATTGCAGACGAGAAGCCAGAGCTTCTCATAGGGTGACTCTGAAGAATGCCTCTTTGCATGTGACACCGTGTAGTCTGTTAGAGGTTTACGGGCCTTTCGGAGGAATACACTGCCTCCATCTTCAGAGCGAAAGCGTAAACCGAGCAAGAACCCACTGCTGTGGTTGTTTCTTGCTTGGCTTAGCCTTTCATCCTGATGATGGAGGCGGTATGTTAGTCCGAAAAGTCACTGAGCTTCTATCAATCTACATGTCACATCAAATATTTTCGTGGTTGCTGTTCTGATTCCTCAAAACCCCACTAAAAATGTTAAATTATCTCTGAAACAGACCGTGGAGGCCCATAGGTTGGCGAGACGTCGAGTCTCCCACGTTTCACAGATGGCGATGAGGCTGTCAGCCTTATGCACCTGCCGCCCTTTAAGGAAGATTCCTGGTACTCATTTGTGTTAGAGGCTGAGTCGACCCAGGATCACAGTGCAGCTGGAATGATTAGGTCAACTGAAAAATCTAATGAACTCACCGGGATTACAACCCGCCACTTTCAGGCTTGTGGCACAGTGCCTCAACCAATTACAAAACCGTCAGTACCCCTCTGCTACAATTAAACAAACTTGTACTTGAAGAAAGCAGTCTTTTGGGATTTGGCACCGTGTATATGTGGTGTTAACCGACGTTTCAGAGGAACGTATCGTCTTCATCTTCAGGGTAGAAGGAAAAGCAGACTGCTTTTACCGGTTCTCACGGTCCCTTCGCTTGCGGATTTCTTATATTTTTCCTTCTACCCTGAAGATGGAGACGATACATTCCTCTGAAACGTCGGTTAACACCACATATACACGGTGCCAAATCCCAAAAGACTGCTTTCTTCATAGTCACCGCCGTGAAAGCCTCAAATCTTTCAAACTTGTACTTATTCTGAAGAGCGAAGTTCCTGTGGGTTGTAATCCCGTTTAGTTCGGACAGAGCGCGACGTTTCGGAGATACATATGGCCTCCATCGTCAGCATCACTGTAGAAGCTCAGCTTGCTTGGAGGAAGCGACTTTGTCTGTCAGTTAACTTGGTGTTGCAGTTCGGCGAGATGCCGTACCACATGGTGAGGGCGCGCCGGTTTGAGGACCTCTACAAGCACGTGCTGTTTAACTACAAGTGGCTGCACGCCAAGCTGTGTTCATGTCCTCTGCAGGCCGTGCTCAGTGACTTCGAGGACGCATGCAGCAACATTGAGGACAGAGAGGCCACCAGGTCTGTGCGCTGTGCTGCTGCGCATGTCGCGTGTCATCCTTCTGGGTCATGGCACTGTGTAGGTTCGCAGGTGACTACCGATGTTTCGGAGGAACCTGCTGCATCCGCTTCCATGACACAAGTCTAAAATGTAGGTGTGTTCATCCGAAACTTGGGTACGCACCTACAACGCCACACGGTGTCATAATGTGGAGGATCCACAATATGAATGCTCACTGCTGTGAGAACCTCAAGTCCTTTCTGTACGCGCGAGATTAATAGTTTTCAATGTGTAATATCAGGTTACCATAGCGACGAGAGCGACGCTCTGCTCCGAATGTTAACATGTTGCATGAACGAAAGTTATGTAACAGGTCACGTACGAGAGAGCAGTCTTTTTATTCAGTGTATCGTGTATATCCTGCGAGTCTTAACATGTTTTAATGTGAATGTATGAAATGTAGTATACTGTATAAAGGAGACGGTTTACAGTTGAATATTTGTGAGTGTTATTTGTGGGAGATCGAGCTAAACGTGGGTCTCGACACATCTGTCGCTAACATGTAGGACTGGACAGCAATACTGGAGAAGGCAGGGAAAGCTTTCACAATATCTGACGGGACTGAGTTCTCAGCGGATGTTAACAATTGCTGAATTATAAGTTAAGTGGGTCTCCTGTCACAGCGGAATGAGGCGTCCCGACGCTACGGCTGGTGAAGACGGCCTCCAGATATGGAGGATATATCCATCTACCTATCTATTCCTGTTGTTCCCACTTGGAGCATAGGGCATCCGTGAAACGTTTGTTTCACTTCAGTTTCTAAATATTAGACAGTCGGTAGGACTCCTTGGATGGGGGATCAGCCCGTCGCAAGGCTGCTACCTACACACAAACGCAGACCAACATCCATACCTTGGGTGGGTGAAGACATTTCATGCCTTAGACCGCGTGGCCACCGTGACCGGCTACGGGGGACAACTGCGAATGTGTTGAATAAGCAGCCGTGAAGGGCCGAAAAGAGATGGTCCTGCAGCTTGGGGGTTAGACGCGGGGGTTGAGGTGACAATTGCAGGCCGTGAGAGATCGGATGTTAACGAAACGCTACACAGAACTTGAGATGTGGACAGATGGTCTGGGACGACACAAGCAAACTGAAATGGACATCTCATCGTTTTGGGAGGAACATAGACTGAGGGTGCTGAGGAGAATATTTGGACCGAAGGGAGGCAGGAGGTGTGCCTGTGCTAAACAATTAAATACTGCGCCATAAAAATGTATGAGGGAGTGGATGCACAGATCCACGTATACTCGACCTCGGCACTAATTGGAGGTGACTCGTCAGTGTCACCCTCCGGCCGCTTTACTCTCCGAGGAAAGAGCCCCCTTTACTACCGGATAAGAGGCTCGTGTAATTAAAGTTTCATAATTTGCATTCATCACCACATGTTATTGGGATGGCCATGTCATGTAAAGTGAGGTAGGCAGACCATGTAGCAAACATGGGAGAGATGACAAATATATAAAGAGTGTGGGTACGAGATCCTAGAGGGTGTAGGTGTAGACAGGATAATATTAAACTGGACCTTAGTAGCGGGAGCGAGGCGATGTGACTTGCAGCTCAGTCGAGAGGCGGCCTCTTGCGAACACGGTAATGAAGGTTCTGGATTAGTAACTACTGCCTTCTTCAGAGCGAGCCTGATCCGTCTCCTTAGTTACATAGTGAGTTCGTTAGTTAATGGCTACATCAGGAGAAAAATAAACGTAATTTTATGTCAGTAACAGACTTGACCTTCTCATGGCGGTGAATATTAAGGTTACTGTCTTGTAATGCCGTGTAGTCTGGTAGATAGTTACAAGCGTTTCAGAGGAACCTGCTGCCTCCAGCCTCAGACTACACCGCATAACATGCCAGGAGCCCGCAATGTTAAGTGAATAATACATATATACTGGAACGGGTGCATAACTTGGATTTGCACAGAACTTACGTGAACAACTCAGTTTGCATGGAACTAGAGCAAGAAACATTAAATACTTACGAAAACTGACTTAAAAGAATATAATTAAAACTCTGAATTAAACACTAAGTGTCTCAAGTTGTACTAAAATATGTTTATTAACTTAGCCCTAAACGACAGCAGCTGGAAGCAGTGCTGCGACAGGAACTCTGTGACAAGCAGCCCTACCGTGAAGACGTATGGTGGAGTGGAGGTACGGCTCCACATATTTTTATACTTGGCAGTAGATGGAGGTGACTGGTTAGCGTCATACCAGGCTGCTTTGTCACATCCGCCTTTAGAACTCAATCAGGCAAGATCTGCCTGCCACTCATGAGTCAGCTTATTTCAATCCGCACTTTACTTACTAACTTGTTCCTTGGTCCTAAGGTCCTCTAAGAACCTTGGATTCCTTCACGACAGACACGCGTTTTGCTTGCATTTTGCATCCATGTCTACATTTTCAGCTCTCGTAAATCATTCTCTGCATTTTCTAGTTATCTCAATATTTTTTCCCACATTTTCCCTTTCTTCAGCCAGATGAATTCAGTAAAGACCAACCCAACCAATTTAAGATCCATTGTAATAGTATCCTCCCATGTAGTGGTCTTTTTCCTTCATCTTATCCTATGAACATTCTGCATCCATTTCTCTTCTTTCCAATGCGTGCTACATGTGGGGCCCGTCTCTTCCTTCTTAAGCTGAGTATCCCAATTGAATCTGGCGAGGAAGCCAATGTATGCAGCTCTCCAGTTCACACCTTTATGGCCTGCTTCTTTACACGGGGTCACCGAGAGGGCTATAGACTCCTCTCTGAGAGGGGATCGGTTCGAGTCTCGGCCGTGACACCGGCTCTCCTTGCTGAGGTTCCCGTCGGTTCCTTCAGTTCCTGCAGGCAAATGTCTGGGTACTACCGCAGTGTACTGACAGTAAGTACACACAGCGCCGTGAGCTAACCCGCATCATCCAAGTGGAGCACAGTCCATATCCCCATGAAACAGCGAATCTAAACCCGTTGGATTTTCTGCCAGGCGGTGCTTGAAGCGGCCTGATTTGCTGTCAGGCGGTGCTTGAAGTGGTCTGATTTGCTGTCAGTCAGTGCTTGAAGCGGTCTGATTTGCTGTCAGGCGGTGCTTGAAGCGGTCTGATTTGCTGTCAGGCGGTGCTTGAAGTGGTCTGATTTGCTGTCAGGCGGTGCTTGAAGCGGTCTGATTTGCTGTCAGGAGGTGCTTGAAGCTGTCTCATTTGCTGTCAGGCGGTGCTTGAAGCGGTCTGATTTGCTGTTAGGCGGTGCGTGGAGTGGTCTGATTTGTGCAAAAACCGCGGGCTGACAACAGCAAGCGGAACGTCTCAAGAACACAGAGAGGCGCCCTGTCGCAGCACTGTGTTCGCTTGCTAAATGGAGCCTTAACAAGAGACTATCAGATGTTTGTTTCCTTACTAGCGAGCAGATCCGAAAGAAGCTGAGGTGAGTTACGTGACTTGTTTGATCTTTGTCTTTCTGTTTCCAGCTTCTGCTTCGACTGCTACAAGGAACATAATCAAGCCACACAAATCTTTTGACTCTTTGCCTGGAATCCGGCTAAACAATCGAGCTGCACACATACACTGCAGTCTGCCTAGGTAGGGGCAAGGTTTAGATGCAAACCAGATGCAAAATCAGCCCCACTTAGGTATGTTAGAGTCAGAAGAGATCTCGGTATGGCCATATGGGACTCCATGGCCTGTTACAGGGACATTTTTGCCTGCTTTATATTTTAATATTGGGGTGCTGTATAACTTTCGTTTTTACTGTAATTGTAATTGGAAGTGTAATTAATTCACTCCGGGGGGGGGGGCAGAATTGGTGGGCAATTGACTTCTATAACTGTAAAGCGCTTCCTCGCGTGTCGACCACCACCTGCTGACTGTCTCTTAAGACTGAAACGTGTGAAGGTTGTTATCCAGTTGAATCAAATTTGTCGTACTAGATGGTGCTGTTGTTTTGCTTAAAGTCAAATAGAATGACGGACCAGGATGCCTTATGTTAAAAAAATGTGACTTTTCTGAAATCTAATATGAATAGTATGTCAAATGTTAAGACCGCTGCCTTCCTGTTTATTGGAGAGGGTGGGTTTCCCCATGCACTTAGACCAGATATTGGTCCATTGTGCGTCCCCCTGTGATATTCTACCAGTCTCTATACCCTACCGGCACTGGTGCGTGCCATCAGTCCCGACCCAGCCAGCGAGTTCGGCCTCTACTGGCTCAGCGGTATCTCGATGCTTCCCCCATCTACCAGAGGCGTTAGAGACTACTGTTGGGCGGGAAATGTCCTGAATTTAACTCAGAGGTCCCCTTGGGACATGAGGTTCTTTTACGTGCCGTAGGCTAAGACACGAAACCCACGGCTTAAAGTCCCTCCCGGAGGACTTGTTCCCTGAATTTTTCCGCCCTTAAAAATTCCACGACCTCCGCCCGGTTTGAACGCGCGTACCTTGAGTCATGAGGTGGGAACGTTACCCCTAGACTACGGAGGCCGCTCAGTTTACTCGTATTGGTTACTAATCATACTAAAACATTCGACGCCATACAATCTCAGCTACCAACAGCGCCGTCACATGATTCATACTGTGTTACGAGTAAGTGCATGAATGACAGGAGAGACTGTTCGTGTTTGTGTGGCTTGGTTCGGTTCTCGTACGGGCAGCTGTGCACATCTTTTGCTGTTAACTTCTGCTCAGTGTCTTCGTGTTTCTGCTCCGCCTTCTCGACAGCTCTGTCTCCTCTTCAAGACACATCTTATCTGCCTTGCATAGTGCGCCTCTGGTTCACGTGTTCGGAACTCGAGTAGCAAAGCGGGGAATTACACTTTCTTGCTCTTTACTTGGCTATATTCTGGGTAGTCCCCATCGCTTGACCTTTTTCCTAACACACTGTTTCGAAAGTTGTATCTGTTTCCTTCATCAGGTATAGCAGAACAAACATTGCAAAGAGTTTTGATCCCTGGAAACCGAAAAACGTTTATGCATAATATATATTCTGTTTCAAATCAGCGGCAGATAAGAATGAAAATATTAATAATTGGTTCACTCCCCGCCCTCACACATGGCGAGGGAGCGTGTATGTACACTTTTCCAAACACTGTGGTCGAAAAAGGAAATCAAGTTGCTGGCAGTTATCCGAACTGCGGACCATGTGTACTGTATTGTAACACCCAGCATCACAGACTTACCTGCGATTTTCTGTCTGTCTTCTCCCTGTTATTCAATGCGCCTTACTCTTCAAGCTTGGACTATTTTATTGTGCCGAACTGGGGGCATCTCCTCTCGGTCCCATAGTCTTTGTAGTAGTGATCAGATGTACGCTTAAACTACAATAACTCTGCGGACATGTTTATTGCAACCGGTGTCAGGTGATCAAGTGATCACGCTACATCCGGTCTGTTCACAAGTATGGCGGCCATTATGATCCATATATCAAGATTTGCCATAAGAGGGAAACTTACACATGGTTTAATTATTCCTAGTACCACATGTTCTTCAAGCCTTTGAAGACAAAGCTACTGTAAATAGTATATGTAAATATAGTTCCTACCTCACAGACAACACATTATGTCACCGTTACAACGCCCAACCGGTTAATGTTGCTGAATGAAAAAATCGCTGTTTGTTGCGAGAATTTTATGGAATGCATAAATACGCTGTGTGGGCAGAATGCAGAGCTTTTGAATGTTAATCAGGTGGTATATATACTTATCCTTCCTCTTTCAAGGATTAAGAGTAGTGAGGCATTTTACTGAAGATACCACTCAAATTGTACTGGACATGTGACGCCTGCAGAGAACACATCTCTGAGGCTACGTCACACCTCGAGTAGGCAACGTTACAGGAGGAAAGTCCCCTGTGTGTTCAGCTAGATCCTATCGTATGTTGAAAATAAAATGATAACGTAGCGATCTACGTCACTGTTTAGTGATGATGTACACTCAGTGATGGCATAGACGCACAATTTTGTGACGCCTAAGGAGAGTGGACGTGTCTGCAGGGAGCTGCTCCTGGTGGCGGACGCACTGCGCCTCGGAGGGGCCATTCTGGGGATGTACCCCGACATGTTGGCCCCTCAGTTGGTATCCCGGCTGCTGCCAGAGATAGGCCACAACCCGAACGTGAAGGCATTGCTGCAGCAATGCGACGAGACGGGGCCCCAGCACTGCGCCTTGCTACCCCTCTACCATTGCCTGCACACACCGGGGGGGCCCCTCAAGGTACGTACTTCCAACATGCTTCACTTTGGCCACAGTGGCTGGCTGCGGGCTCCATGACCGAGGAGACTTGGTTCGATTCCAGGTAGGGGCAGGAGGTACTTCTCTGATCCTCAGGGTCCAGACCTGTCTTGGTCCCATCCAGACTCCTTTCTCATGAGTACTGGGGGTCCTTTAAGGTAAAAATTGTGAAGTTCTGCCTGTGCTTAACTAATTAAGCATTGCGCCATGAAAGCGTATGGTGGAGTAAATATATAGACCCACGTTTTATTGACCTCGGTACTAGATATGGGTGAGGGGTCAGCTTCACGCCCCTGCCCCTTTACCCCCGGTACCCATTGGAGAGGAGGCTGGTGGGCCCCAGAGCCGGTCTGGATGACATGGAGAAGTGAAAATTCTTCACTCTTAACAGGCCTCGAACTCCGGCCCACTGGTCGACAAACCTATAGCCAGTCGCTATACCGACTGCGCTCTGCCAGATCTACTGGCGGCCCTTTCCCTTGGAATAAAGCACTCTATGGCGTGAAGCTGATCACTCACCTTTTATCTAGTGCCGTGGTTTGGTATGCGTGGAGATATACCTCCACTTCTCCATAGGCCTTCACGGCTGGTGCTTAATTCAGCACAGGAGCAACTTTACGTTCCCGTGGTCCACCCAAGAAAGTAAGTGTTGAAACAGAACTATAATTTTGCCTGTGGTTTTGTATGGGTGTGAAACTTGGTCTCTCGCATTGTTGGAGGAAGAGGGTTCTGCGGGGAATATTTTCACCAAAGAGGAAGTGACAGGAGCCTGAAGAAAACTGCGCAATGAGGAGCCTCGTAACATATACTCTTCACCAAATATCTGGGTGATGAGGTAAGATGGGAGGATCTTGTAGCATGCACGAGAAATTTTGTAGTGAGGAGACAGCTGCGAATGTTTCAGCGTAAATGTGAGGATAATATTAAAGTGAATGTTAGATAATAGTGTGAGAGTGTGTGTGGCTTGGGATATGGAAATGAGGATCAATGACTGTCGAAACATGTAGTGTACAATGTGGTTTTAAAGATATTTATCTGAGAGTATATTTGCTGATGCTGAATCCTGTTGTGCTGCATTCGCTCTTCTTGTACCCGTGCAAGTGTCCTGACTTGACGTGACAGGAGTACAGCGAACCGTTCTGACTCACAGTACTCCCTGGAGGGCCACCAGTTCGCGGTGTTCGGCTTCTGCCTGACGTCAGACCTGCGCTACATCGTGTCCATCTCAAACAAGTTCATCACGTGGGACCTGTCGACAAGTGACCTCACCCGGGATGTCAACCCGGGAATAGAGGGCATCATGCAACAGCTAGTGCTCAGCCCCGACAACAGGTTCGCTGCGGCGTACACCAGCAACAACCAGGCGAGTATGCCCCTGGAAGCTGCGAGCCACGCGCCATCTTGGCTTCTTCCCGTCATGCCGGGCGCAGGGAAACCAAACGCAGAAGTAGCCTCAGTCACACAGGGTCTCAGATTCTCACAGTTTGTGTGTGAAGAGTTCTGTCTTCTGGGACATGACGCCGTCCAGTCCGATAAAAGTCAACCGACACTTCCGAGGAACAAGTCACCTCCGTCTTCAGTGTCCAAGAGTATTTATTTCTTTTTTATTGCTAGTGGGGTGGGACTAAGTCCCTTGTACTGCAGCCACTTCTGGCCTATTGTACCAGCCCCAGATGATAGGTGAGGGTGATTGTGGAGCAATTGGTGGAATGAATATTGGCAGGGGAAACCGAAGTACTCGGAGAAAACCTGCACCAGCGCCATTTTGTCCACCACAAATCCCACTTGACCACATCCGGGATCGAATCCGGGCCGCCGCGGTGGGAAGCCGGCTACTAACTGCTTGAGCTATGGCGCGGTCATGTGTCCAAGAGTAAGCTGCTCTCTCTTGTCTCCCATTGGTTCGCCTTGTTTCCCAGGAACAGCGAATGACGGTAGAGCTCTTAGTTTGCCTGCGCTTCAGAACGGCATTTGCTCTGCGTGTTGCCTACATCACATGGGTTTTTTGATTCACTTACTGTTCCACCCTGAAAATGAGGTCGGCATATCTTCCGAAACTTCGGTTGACTTTCATTGGTGTATGTGACGTTATGTAGCCAACGACAGGACTCTTCACGACCTAAGTTAACATGTCAAAACCAGAAAATTACCAATAAACAGCAATGCACTAGCCATTATTGCAGCATTGGACTTTGCCGAAAAATGGCACTCCTAGACTGTTGTTCTTGCGGTTGTTGCTGCTACCGACATTATTATTATTATTATTATTATTATTATTATCACCATCATCACGTGATGCAATGTGTCCGTAGACAGGGTTCTGGATTGATGGCCTGATTTACTTGACTCTTTGATACAGCGCGTCACAATACTTTACAGTTCACTATTACACACTATTGTCCACAGTCACGTCTCAATTGCCCCGTTGCTTGGTAGCGGCTTCCAACAGCACGTTCCCCTTCCTCTGAGTTCCCGAATTGCCCCCGCCCTCAGCTACCAGAGTCTAACAGCAACAGCTCACAAAGGCTGAACTCCAGCAGCGCTCCGCTCTATGCTTGCTTGCGGAGCCGTCACTTATCAATGGCTGTCGTACAGTTGCTTGTTTCTCGGTCGTTGCCTAGTAACGAGTCTACATGTCACATTATTACTGTGGTTACTGCATCAGCCTGCCTTCGCAGAAACTTCTAATTCCACAGGGTGTGCCAGAAGGAGAGCGACCCGCTCATCCTGATTATTCAAGCGCCTTTCCTTTAGCGCCTGTGGCGTGTCTTAGCGAGCCATTGATTCGAATGGAGCTGTTACTACGCAGCCACACGACTGACCAATGGTCCGCAAAGACGGGATACACACAGATGTTCACTGTGGTCACCGTGACATCGTGTGCTTGCAGATTGTCCTGCTGAACACGCTGACCAGCGAGCACAACATCCTGGACAACCCTCTGCCCCAGCAGGAGCCGGTTACAGGGGTGTACCTGCTCAACACTCACCTGTTTGTGTATGGCCCAGGGCACTGGTAAGTCGGCTTCAGAAACAGAGAAGCTTACTGTGGTTACTCTCCCCTTGCAGTCAGCCCTACCTGAAGGTGAAGGTAAAGTTGTGTCGCGTGCAAGTACATAAGTCGGGATAGCGACGGGTCACGGGCTGGACAGCCCGGGTTCGATGCCCGGCATTATCAGATTTTTCTCTTTTCCACATCGTCCATACCGGATCTGGGGCACAGCCTCCTACCCAATGGGTACCGGGGGTCTTCACGGCCGGGCCGTGAAGCTGACCACTTACCTCCATCTATTACAGGGGTCAAGAAAGGTGGAGCTATACCTCCACTCCCCCATACGTCTTCATGGCATAGTGCTTAACTAAATAAGCTCAGGGACAACTTTACCTTACCTTCAAGCACCACGCCATGAAGACGTATGGGGGAGCGGAGGTATAGCACCGTCACTCTTACTGGAAAAGTAATAGAATCTTGGCTGGGACATCAGCTATCCTGACTGAGGATTTTCGTGGCTTTCCTCAGTCCATCCAGACAAATCTGAGGATAGTATCTGGATTTGGCTATGGCCGTTTCTTTTCAAATGTTTTCCAATTTGCCATTCATGAATCATCCTACTGTTCGACTCTATATATTCTGGATGTTTACCTACGCTTTGGAAAGAATCCCCGAGAAACTAATGGTTGCTCAGCTAGTAAACAAATTCCTAACATTTTGCGAAATTACCGAATTCGCTGGTCCTAGTCCTGAGCCAGATTAATCCAGGCCACATCCTTCCATCCTATTGCTTTAAGACCCAGTTCATTCGAATACTTCCCCTATTTTGAAGAAATAAAAGTAGGCTTATGAGATCACCTTGCTGTCTGTTTCCTGTATGTCTGAATGTGTATGACCACTAACAACTTCAGAATGCCTGAACCAATCTTTATGAAACTTGGTATCTATATCCTGGCACCCAAGCCCATCTCAACCGCACATTACATAAATCGCTCCCCTCAGAAATATCTGTGTTACAGCTTCTCAAATTTCTGTGGAAGATCCTTCATATTGCTCGAACGGCTGTATCAGGCTTCTCGAAACTTGGTAAGTATATATCTCGCTACCTGAGGCCATCTCAACGGCGTACATCACAAATCCTTCCCTTTAGTAAGGCCGACGCTGCAACCTGCACTGCACCCGAATGCAATTAGGTCTTCCAAGAGCTCTTTATATGACCTTCCTAACGGTCACCTTTATTAAGAGTTCTTTTACCAAAACTTTGTAAGCATTTCTGTTTCCTCCTCCCCCATGAGACACGTCCTTCAAATTTCATATTTCTTGATTTAATCACCCTGATAATATTTGGCCAAGAGAACAAATCATGAAGCTCCTCATTACGCGATTTTATTGAACCTCCTGGTTTTTCCTTCCTCTTCGGTCCAATATTCTTTTCAGAAAACTGTTCTCAGTCTATCTTCTTTCCTTAACATTAGGCACCTCTGTTGAACAAATCATAGGTGCCGGTTCAACATGCGCGGTCAGCTGGAAGAGACGTGCGCGAGCCCTGAGGACCCCAGCAGGGGCTCCCTGCTGACCATGGAGTTCACAGCTCTCGACAGATACAGGATGCTCTTCTGGAACGGGTCTCTGGAGAACCCGAGCCTAGTTCTGCACACGGCGAACCCAACCCTAGAGCCTTTCTGCTTCCACAGGTAACTGCCGGCAGGAACTGACACGCGCATTCGGGTAGTTTTGCTGAAATTTGTGACTCATTCAAATTTTACTTGAAATCGGACAAAAATAACCGACATTACACGGAGACTTACACATGTCTGCGCATTTCTCGATCCATCCTAACACGCGAAGATTACCGAGCACTGAACAGTGGATTTCCGGGCACACACAAAGATAACTAATATCTCTCACTGTCGATAACAATTAAGGGCAACTTCCTGTAAACCGAATTCACAGGCCTACATATATATAAACATGTATATTTTATTATAACATAGTTCTATATAATAGCCTAAATCCTCCTTTACGATTATCTAAATGTATGTCTAAACATTTCAGCTGATCACAACAAATCCTCGACCGCGTTAATTACAGCTTGCTCCGCAGACCGCGCCTCTAACACTTCTGCACTAATGTCCCACCACCTCAGGCAGGAGCGGAGTACAGTTATTTTGACTGAGCACAGTTCGAATTTCGTGCCCCGTTGTGTTTCAGTGCCATGGCGATGACCCAGGACAAATCCAGTATCTACTGCTGCAAGGGGGAGGGCCACTATGGGGTGTCGCTGTACCGTGCCGATCCTGAATCTTCGCAGTGGATATTGCAGGTAACTGCTGGAGGGACCAGTTTGTCGCCATATCGCTTCCATGCAAGTCGGAAGAACCAGTAGTTGGCAGTGTTTCAGTCAGCATTGCAGTGTCCACCATTGTCGGTAAATATGTAAGCTACATTATATGAGACAAACTCCGTCTTAAGTGCAACAATTTAATTTAGTTCTTTCTTCTTTCCTTCCTCTGCACTACATGTTTCGGCCCTAAATGGCCATCATCGGGTGTATATTCTTACGTAGCTGCTACACTACCCGTAGTTTAAAATTTAAAACACCAGTTTTTCCAATTGTATATATGTATAAAATCTTTGTTAACCTACACACGTCAATTTGATTTCCAAAACTGTCACTTTTTAAAACTTCAATTTCAATTTAAAATGTCTTTAAATTTTCCGTTCTTTTTCTTTTTCCAAATTTTAAAAGTTTGACGTGTATAGGTTAACAAAGATTTTATACATAGGGGAAGGTTGCTATCGATGGGCCACTTTAACAAAACGCTCCTTAAAATCGTCAAATTTGGGAATTTTAGAGTTTTGTACATGTTAATGTAAATATTACTTTTCATACTACACATATCTAGAAGTAGACGTTGCAATTATGAAAGGTTAAGTAAATATTGGGAAAATAAAAATAAGTGTCATTGGCCCAATGAAGGAAACCGGTCGCCTTCATTGGGCCGGGGAGTTTCCATGAATGGGCCGGTAGCTATTTTATTTTTTAATACAGTATCGCCTTAATACAAGTCAGTAAAATGTTTAAAACTATTTTGAGCATGATTCGTAAATATTAAATGCTGATTAGAGACCAACACAGACCACAGAAAATATATTGAAACATATTAAAGATAGCTTCGCATTATTCACACGGAATCATTAAATGCTACTTTAAAATCAGGAGTAGGATTTTTGTTTACTCTTTTGTAACCATAAAATAATGTGAGAATCTACGAAATAACATCGAATTTTGTTTATTAGAAACNAGGCGTAAATTACGCATGAAATAATGAAAATCATTACGATAATTTCAATAAAATATTCATTTTACACACGAATGAGGGATACTCAGATTTAGATTAATACAATTATTTTTATAATAAAGAAAATGAGATTATATAATTATAGATTTAATTACTCCTGATAGGTTTCTACACAATCAGATACGACATTTTATTGTACAACTCGAAAAAGTTGCAAAAATATTAGCCTCGATATGGTTTCCATGGTTGGGCCACCAGCCCATTCATAGCAACTCAGGCTGGCCCATTGAAGACAACTAGCAGACCGTATGTAATACGTCCGTGACTTCGGTTATAACAAAGTAAACTTCCATTGTTAATATGGCTAAATAGCGCTGATTTAACACAGTTTTAAATATTATCAGTAACAACTAAAACACTATTAACGTCTCACTGATATCCATATTTTGTTGACATTGAAAATTTTGAAGAAAAGTACAAAAAGCTTACCTTCTTGCATAGGAACCTTGTCTGTGCGTGGATCAACTCACAGTCAAGATGGCGATTTTCAAGCTTCATGTAGTACACTAAACAGTCACAATGTAGAGCCTACTGTCAATAACTACAAAATAATGGAGGTGGCCCATCGAAGGAGCCGGCCCATCGATAGCAGCCTTACCCTACATACAATAGGAAAGACTGGTGTCTTAAATTTTAAACTACGGGCAGTGTAGCAGCTACGTAAGAATATACACCTGATGATGGCCATTTAGGGCCGAAACATGTAGTGTAGAGGAAGGAAAGAAGAAAGAACTACAATGAAATTGTTGAACTTAAGACGGAGTTTGTCTCATATATTGTGTGAGTGTAACAGGATGCTTAAATATAATATTATATAAGCTACTCCTGTAACAGGCCGTGGAAGCCCATAGGTTTGCGAGACTTCGATGGTCCCACATTTTCTAGACAATCGGTTCACAGATGGCGGTGAGGTTTTCAGCCTTACGCCACCCTTTACCCCCAGGAAGATTCCTGGTACTCAATTCTGTTAGAGGCTGAGTCGACCCCAGGGCCATAGGGCGGCTGGAAGGATTCGTTCAATCGGAAAGGCCAATGGCCTTATCGGAAATAGAACCCGCGACATCCTGGCTTGTGGCACAGTGCCTCAAGCAGCTACACTACTTCTAACAGCAGCTGATCCTCGTTACATAGCCTCCGCACGGACCGCACATAAGACGTCTCTTCCGTTATTGCATGTTCTCCAGTTGCCGGGGAAACGTGTTCCCTAGCAAAGGCTGCTGTACTGTTGCCTGTTTGCAGTGGGTCTACATGTAACACAGAATGATGACGTAACGACGCATGCGTTGCCGTGCTTGCAGAGGGAGCTGCCCCGGGCGGACAAAGACGAGCTGGAGGTGTTGCTGCAGCTGAAGCTGGACCGCGACGAGACCACGCTCCTGGGCACCTCCGGCAACGGCTTCGTGGTCTGGGAACTTGCGGATGGGGGCCGCCATCCCAACAGGGCCGTCGTGCTTCGCCTCCCTCACGGCGTTCGCAACATCTCCACCCGCGCTCTGTGCTCCAACTCCTGCATGGTCTCTGCTGCGAGGGACTACGTGGTCGCGGGCGTCAGGTCAGCCGGAAGTGGCCATGCTTCTGAGGGAGGGACCGAGCCTGAATCTCGGCTAAGCTTCCTCACTCTATCCAAAGAGAGAGCACCTCAACCACTTCCTTGCAAATTATTGTCTATTTATTATTCGCTGTCGTCTTGTCATCCTATAACATACTGTCACGTGATGGAGTGACTACAGACGGGGCTTGGATTACTGGCTCGATTTATTGCACACTATAATACACAACTCGTGACTACACTTTACAGTTCACTGTTACACACTCACTGGTGTTCTCAGTCTGTTGCAGTCTCCACTAGTCGTTGCCTGGTAATGGATCCTGCCGATGGTGAATCTTCATATCCCGTGCTCACGCCCTTGTCAGCTGACAATATCCCACGACTGACTAAATCCTAAACTTCTCCCTTTTATGACCCCTTAACACGAACCGCGCAGAAAACTCCGCTTCTCATTGTTGTAGTTTAATCGTTTCCGTGGGGTCATATTTGTTTGCTAATCCGTTACTCAGTAACGGCTGCCGTATGTTTGCTTATCTCGCGGTCGTTGCCCAGCAACGGGTCTACTCGCTACAATATATTCTGAGCTACTAACAGGATCGTTAAAAGCCCCCTGATGCTCATCTTACAATGAATGAACGGAATATCCCCTTCGTCAATCATGTAAAATACCTGGAGGTAATCCTCGATGAGAGGATTGTGTGGAGACTGCACCCCATCCCAAGAAACTTATAAAATTTCAGCTGTATAAATGTTGTTAAATAATATACGAGTTGATGAAGATTACTGTTTTCCGAGATGCTACGCCTTGTATTCTAACAGATCGTTACTGACCGGCATTTCGGAGGAACGTGCTGCATCCATCTTCAGGGTAGAAGATAAAACCGAGAAATATTAGTCTGAATACCGAAGTCTTGTAACAGGAGAAAGTACTGTTAGGTCTATTGCAGATTCAACGGGAAAATGTGGCAGTTAGCGTCTGGTGTCACGGTTTTCACAGATGTACCTTCCACTGGTCCACTCTTGCATGTTACAGCCCTCGAGGGACACTTCGAAATCGCGGTTTCACTGAAAATGCACGCTATGAACTTCGAAAGTTCTGGGAAGACAGCTTCAGAGGAAAAGCAAGACGATAACGATCTTGATGTTTGCCCTCTTTTTGAGCAAAGTTCGACAGAATAACCCCTCTCGCTGCCATCTTCTGGCGCCATCGTAACTAACCGAAGAGTTTTTGTAGAAACGACATAACAAGGAAACATTCTGACAAACACTGGCCGGTTTGGTCTATTTATATGTAGGTCATGATGCCATGACAAGAAAAGTACCTCAGCTGTAATTTGAGGCTGGAATTCCCTGTGTTGCAGTTGTAATATTCCTGCTTCCTTTATAACGCTTTTCGCATTTCACTTCTGCAGGAAGAATCTGTATGTGTGGAGAATGGCCTCCGGGAAGCTGATGAAGGTGCTGGATGCGCACTTCGGTAGGATCATCGCGCTGGAGCCACTTGTCATTGGGAACTGGAACTCTGTGAGTAGCTCTGCACCACACTGGCAACAAGGACAGTCAGGATCCCTTCTTTGCACTCGTTGGCATACTTTTGTGCAGGTGATCACCTCGTCCATCGACCGCACAGTGAAGGTGTGGAACATCAACAATATTTTCGAGCAGGTGCATGTGATTGACAGACACGAGGTACAGATCGACTCCATCAGCCTGTGCCAGTCTGCTGAGCTGGCCATCACGGTGACCAGGGGATGCGTGGGCGTCTGGGACATGCAGATTGGGCGCCTCGCTGCGCGGCTGGCGGACAGCCCACTGGGCGCCATAGTGACGCATGCAGCCATCACTGCGGATAGCAAGTTAGTATTACTTTCAAGGCCCTTATTCACTTCTTACAGAACCAAACGTGCATTATATTTAGCGCAGAACATTACTGGGCCCTATCTTGTGTCATCTTGGTCCATTTGACATTCCAAGAAGCTCAATTTTAATAATATCATCTCATTTACAGTTAGTTTCCCCAAGAGTTATGTTTCTCGAAGGTTTTGAAATTAATAATTTATCTGAATATCTGGAGCGATCGCAACGAGTAATCTCCAAATTATATTCATATTCCCCGTGTCTGTCTGTCTGTCCACATGTAATAACTCAAGAACCAACAAACGGACTTTCGTGAAGTTCTGTATTTATCAATTTGACTGAAAAGTACAGGCAAATTCTAATTTTAGTTAAAATCGGACGGCAATAACAGACAATTCATACGAGGCCTTACATGCTTGTCTGCGCGAAACTCGCTAAACATGTAACGCAGCCAGAAACAGGTCTGTAGATAAGGACGGTCGGAGCGTGCAAGCCACATCCATCTGTGTCGCGCCGACAGGTACATCGTGTCCGCGGAGTCCGGCAACATTCTGATCTGGAACCGCGTGACGGAGCAGGTTCTGTTCAAGGAGGAGCAGCCGGGCGTGAGGCAGATCACGTTGCTGGACGGTGGGCAGCGGTTCCTGGCCATTTCCAGACCTGCTGAGAGCGGAGCTGACGTCACTCGAATCAACGCCACTATCGTCACTCGCACTATCCCAGGCAAGCCACTGCAATCGCTTTATCACATTCATCGAGTCAGGGCAGTACAACCACTGCATCTGATGTTGAGGAAAGGCCAAAATATAGGTTAAGTTACTCATAGTAGCCTTTAATAAAAGGTAGAGCAATCCCTGTAGCAGGCCGTGAAGGCCCATTGAGTTGTGGAACATCGAGGACCCTACATCTTCTAGACAGTCGGCTCACAGATGGCGGTGTTGTCAGCCTTACGCGCGAACCGCCCTTTACCCCTCAGGAAAATTCCTGGTACTCATTTCCGTCAAGAGGCTGAGTCGACCCCAGGACCATAGTGCGGCTGGAAGGATTAGGTCTTTTGAAAAATATCCAATGACTCATCGGCAATCGAAACCGCGACCTTCCTGCTTGTAGCACTGTGCCTCAACCAACTACGCTGCGGCAATGCGGAAGTAAGATCTGTTACTGACATGCAGTCAGGTGCGTGAGGTCATTGGATCTTTTTCAATTGACCTTATCCTTCCAGCCGCACTATGGCCCTGGGGTCGACACAGCCTCTAACAGAAATGAGTATCATGAATCTTTCTGTGGGGTAAAGGGCGACCGGCGTGTAGGGTTGACAACCTTACCGTCATCTGTGAGCCGGTTGTCTATAAAATGTAGGAGCCTCGACGTCTCACAACCTTATGAGCCTTCACGGCCTGTTACAGGGATAGCTTTACTTGTCGCTGAAGATTACATCTCCTGGGATTTAACGGCGTGCAGTCTAGTACAAGTTGACCCACGTTTCGGAGGAAAGTACTCCTTCGGTCTTCAGGGACGAAGAAGTCAAGCAAGCAGTGAGCAGAGCTACTGGGCTTACTCTTACACCCTGAAGACGGAGGAAGAAAGTTCATCCACCTATCAGTGAACTTCTAACGGACTACATGGCGTTAAATCCCACAAGTTCTCCTCACAGCTGCCCCTGTGAGAACCCCAAACCTAACAGTCGTGCTCGCTAGGCTAACAGCGCGTCTTCTTGCGTCATATGTGATGCAGATGGTGTGCGCGCCTACTCAACAGAGTATCCTGTGCGGTGTGTGCCAGGCACACCATTCAAACCGGCTGTGGTGACATGTGATGGGATGAACATCGTACTGATTGGTGCTGATAAGGGCAGTCGTGACGCCATCTTTGTGTTTAATGCCCGGAATGGCTCTCTTGTGAACAAGATTCCCCTGAAGCAGTCAGCTACTAAGGTACGCTGTTTGCTTTCTTTACGGTTTGATGAATATAAGCCTCCATGCTCCTCCATCGTCTCAACACCCCTCCTATTTCACTTCTGTGGAAACCACGGAAAACATCTCAGGAAGCCTAATGCCATAGCTCAGGTGGTCAGTCACTGGCTTCTCAACGTTGTGGCCTGAGTTCCATCGGAGGTCAGGCCATATGTGATTTATGATGGACGAAGTGGAATTGGAGCAGGTTTCCTCGAAGTACTTCAGTTTCCCCTGCCAATTCTCATTCCACCAACTGTTCCACATTCATCATTCTATCATCAACGCAGTTTACTTTTGATACTGGCTGCATCTTAAATAACGACTCTAAAAAGAAATACAAACTTAAGATGAGGATGTTATCATGGTTTCACTCAATCCCTCCAGCCAAATGCAGGTTAGGCAACAACAACTTCCTTCAAATCGTTTCCAATCGATCAGTCACCCCATCATCTCACACCATGTAATCTGGATTCTGGCAGCATCCTCAAATACCCTCCTCTCCTGGAAATCATCAGTTGGCACTAGTAGTAGCAAGTAGTATGGCAGCAGGAGTGACAGTGTGTCAGTTCGTCCTCAGGACATCAGCATGCTGATCGCCATGCGACACAAGGCCCATCTGGTGGCAGCCATCGACTCTGACAAGGGCACCATCCTGGATATCCGCAAGAAAAACATCGTGAGAACCGTCCCCAAGTGGAGTGGGGGCTGCACAAAGGATGGCCGCTATGGCCTGTATGCCCCTTCAAGGTCAGGACAAAAAGCACCAGTTACGTTTAGATCAAGTCAGGTGACTAAGTTTCGAGGTTTTTTATGGAGATGAATGTACAGATTGTGTGGTCTTCTGAGATGTTTCATCGCATAGTCTTCCACGTGTGCACCAATGTTTCCACTGTCAATCACGAAGATGGAGACTTTGTGTTCCTCTTAAATATGAATAACCATGTACTAGACTACACGAGGTCATACACATAATCTAGAAGACCACAGAATTAATCTTCACCATTACAAAAACCCGAAATCATGTACATATTTACAACATATCTTTCTAATCTTCCATTTTAAATAACACCGCCCCATCTACAACCTGGTCTCGCCTTGTGGCATTACAATGAAAGTTTTCTATGCATTTGTTTTCTGCAATGCATACTGCACGTTCAGTCAAGTTCATATCTTCATCTCATATCACAGATAAAAGTGAAAGTAAAGCTATCCCTGTAACAGGCCGTGAAGACCCATGGGGTTGTGAGACGTTGAGGGTCCCACATTATCTAGACAATTGGCTCAAAGATGGCGGTAAGGTTGTCAGCCTTACCCGCTGGCCGTGCTTTACTCCCCAGGAAAATTATTTAATTAATTCCTGGTACTCATTTCTGTTAGAGGTTGAGTGAACCCCAGGGCCATAGAAGTATAAACTGAAATGATATGTTATTACTCAACTAACATAACCCCAATCTTACAGAAGGGATCTTTTATTAAAAATATGTCCATTTCGTGAAATTCCATACCATTAATTCTAATTAATCTTACCACTGATCTTCATGTTATAAGTGGAGATGTGTTCCTCCAGAAATTACTTCACTCCACAGTTGTAATGAAATTCACTTTTTATTTAAATATAGGAAATGCACTGCACAATATAAAATAAAATTGGAATAGCAAGCACATTACCAGCGTTCCCTGTGTGTCACTGATGCATGCATAAGAGACAGCCAATGGGCAGCTACATATTTTCCTTATATCATCAATTTGTGCACATATGATCTGAATTTCTTTGATTAATCATTTTTACAGAAATATTGCTGGTTCAGTTTACTGTTTCTTTGTATTTTGCTTTTAAAGAAATTTAATGTTCACCCAAATTTCCATATGAGTCAATATACGGGCTGTATCATTAATTTTATAGTAACGTTTTATAATGTCTATCAGGACAAAATTCCATAATCTGGATGCCTGTAACACAAGTGGGTGCACTGTACAAAGTTCATATTAACTGGAACAGAATGTTTCTTCTTGTGGCTCTGTAGGGGAGGATTGGAGCTCCTGGAACTGAAGCGTGGACACTCAGTGAAGACTTTCATCCCGAAGGTGGCAGAAGGAGTCTTCACAGTGATCTGCATGTTCAACCAGACAGATGAGTACGTCCTGTACTATCATAGCGGCAAGAAGACACTTAGGGTCTTCAGGTATGCACCAGTGAATGACAAACTCATAATGAGAGTTCATAGCAATTTTGCCTAGGTTCAGACCTCAACCCAGAGGCCAGTTGCCCTGGTTTTCTTCAATCCTTGCAAGAAAATCCTGGGATAGCTCTTCAAAATTAGACCAATATTGTTTCCTTCCACATCCCTGTCAATTCATTATGCCTACTTACCTTATTTAAAAAAAATAAAACGAGGCTTATGAGACCATTTGCTTCTCTGTGTGCCCCCTAACTCCTGAGAGCTAGAATGGCGGATCCAAAAGAGACAGCCATTGCTAGGAAATCACTTGCTAAACATGTTCCTGTGGCAATGAATATACATGTGACAATAGAACTGTTGGACATGATGTTTTCTATGCAGTTTGTGTCTCAACAAATACTCAGTATGTAAGGTAAAGTAAAGGTCAAGTTGTCCCTGTGCTTAATTAATTAAGCACCACACCATGAAGATGTATGGGGAGTGGAAATATAGCTCAGCCATTCTTGACCTCAGCACTAGACTGAGGTGAGTGGTCAGCTTCACGGCACAGCCACTTTACCCCATGCAAACCTCTGGTACCCATTGGATAGGAGGCTGGGTGGGTCCCCGAGCTGGTCTGGATGCTGTGGACAAATGGGAAACCTTGCCCTTGCCAGGATTTGAACCCTGGCCATCCAGCCTGTAGCCCATCACTATACTGGCTGAACTTTCCTGACTCCTAAATACTCAGTACGTACTGAAAGGAAAGTAAGCGATTAGTTCTGCTCAGAACTTCTTGAATATTTATCATCCTATCATTCAACATGCCAGTAAATTAACCAGACAAAGACAGTAATACATTGGTCAATGGAACAGAGGACACCAATTTTGTGATTTCATTTATTCACTTCCTACCATAATAATATGATGACATGGCACACACCATTAGAAATCAAGTGAATGTTGGGACTGCAGTCCAAAATCATGTTGGAGACTGAATCTGCCTGCCGTTTTTATTACACCTAGCTTTCTTACTTACTTACTCCTTGGCTCTATGCTCCTGTAAGAACACTGGCCTCCTTTACAACATGTGCCCATTTATTCCTACATTTTCCTTTCCACCTAGTCAGTTTCAGCTCCTGTAAATAATTCTCTACATCTTCCAGCCATCCATAAATTCTTGTCTTCAGACTTTTTGCAGCCTTCTGCCTTACTTTAAAATATGTTCTTCTGCCTTAGTTGTTTGACCCACTCTACTCACTAGCCCCCAACCTTTCCAAGCCTCTCCGTTTAGTACCAGATACAAGAAAATTGGTTCTATGTAATTCCCTCAGTTCTTGGTTAGTTCTGATTCTTAAAGCCCCTTGTTCAGTCACTGGTACATACACCACCCTCCTGTCCTGAACAAACTGAGCACACTCCAAGCATCACAATATAATGCACTGTCCTTGCAAACTTTCTTCAGTCACTTCCCTAAATTATCTCTCCAGTATCCATCATTAGGTTTCCAAGGTGTGGTTGTTATACCCAACCTCAAGTATCAGGTGCTACCCTTTAATCTCCCCACTACTTCAAGAGTCATTTGAGCAGCAGCTTATAGACTCACTAACTCAGATGTGCAGGTCATCAGGGTGCATAAACCTCCCTGGAACTTCAAAGCAGTAGCTTCAGTGACCCTACCAAGAGCTTGCACCCTGACTAAGAGATTTACAGTTGAGCAAGTCATGCATACCCCCCACCATTTTAAAGTTGGGGGTCAATCACTATATTTGTCATGACCTTCAGCTTTTAAGAGGTTCTGCCATAGGCTGGACAAACATTCAGAGAAAACACACAGCTCTTCTACTTTCATTCCCAGAATTAAAACAACTCTACAAAATGTAGGCCAGTGGTTTGTGATGTGTCAGAAGCAGAATGTACCCAGTATATGGAAGATGTGAAACCACTGTGAGCCTAACAAAGTTGTGTGTTCCAACTGCAGGACTTCAGATGCAAAAATGATCGCCAACTTCCGAATGCAGGCAGAACTGAGTGCAGTTGAGAGCACAGAAGATGGTAAGAACATCGTGTTGGGAACAGTGGATGGCTGCGTGTCTGTGCTTGCCCTTGCAGACCCAGCTAAACCAGAGATGAAGGAGTATTTGGCAGGTCTGCCCTCTCGGGATGAGGAGGTATTTATGTGCCTTCAGTTCATAGTAAGCAGTGTGACAACATTAGAGTTAAACTTCCCAGCATTTTATGGAACCTGAAGGTTCATTACCATGTTCACAAAAGCACTCCACTGGTCATATCTATCCAGCTTTGCCACCATTCGTGCTACACGCCAAGCCCATCTCATCCTCCTTGACTTCATCATTGTAATTATACTTGGCAAGGAGTACAAGTTATGAAGCTCCTCATTATGCAGTTTTCTCCAACCTTCCGTCACTTCATCTCTCTTCGGTCCAAATACTCTCCTCAACACCCTGTTCTCAAATACCCTCAGTCTATGTTCCTCCCTTAATGTCAGAGACCAGGTTTGACAACCATACAGAACCACAGGCAAAATTATAGTTTTGTATATTCTAATTTTTATGTTTCTAGACAGCAGATGAGGGGACAAAAGGTTCTGGACTGAATGGTAGCAAGCATTACCCAAATTCACTCTCTTCTTAATCTCCTCCTGTATGAAATTTTGATTTGTTTCTGTCATTGCCATAATTTGAATTGTGCCGCATTGTCAAAGCATCTGTTAGCTATTTCTTCCTTCCATTTCCTTATGAGTCCTTGCAATTGCTGTGTTTGTGGCATTGCCCTTTAAACTAGGTGTACAACAACTTGATCGTTACTTCTTGTTCCCCTACTTCTCCTTGTTCTTATTCTTTCTCTTCTTTTAGAAGCTGTTTCTCCTCCATAAATATTCTCTACTGACAGCGATGTATGAGACAGTTGCATCAAAGAACTTGAGGTGGGCTCTTTGGAAATATCAGTAAATGCAACAGTTCTGGGGATTCGTAATAAAATTAAAAATATGCCAGCAGATATTTGCNCCAAGCACCCCCCCCCCTCCAATTTCTGGAAGAAAATCACAATTTAATGAATGGAGGATATGAGCCAAATATTAATCCCAGAAACTGAAAGCATTTTAAAAATATTCTCATATCCTGAATACTCAAATACGACTGGTAAAAATATTCGTAGTTGGCGTAAACATAAATTTGAGAGCATATTTTGTGGTTGCCCTGCCCCTAAGAAGAGGTCTGGCTGTGCTTGTTGTTATTTGTGTGTCAGGAACATTATTTTCAGGCAGATTCACAGAAAAATAAATATAATGTAAGTGATTCTGGACTTTTTTAGAAGGATGTTATTATTTTCTATAGTCTATGTTAATTGCACATTACTAGTCACCACACTTTAGTTTTTCTGAATGGAGCTATATTTTAAATAACATGTAGAGTTAGCTGTGTGAGTCAGGATGGGTCACTTGTGTGGGCACTTCAATTTGAACTTCTAACGATGCTCTTGCAGTGGAAGAAGAAAACAGAAAAGCTGAAAGCACACACCCTCTTCAAGGCCGCAGCATCAATAGCAAAGCTGTCCACAAAGTTCAACAACAGCAACAACAACGAGAATGCAGATGATGATGAACACGTGCAGCCTGCGACTGAGGAAGAAACACCACGGGAGGACAGAGATGCTGATGAGGAAGAGGAATTATAACTCCACTGTACATTGTGCTGGCACCTCAACAGTCAGTGGGCATCGTGACCTATATAACAATACATTATCAACTTCTTTGGTCATGCAGCATCAAGTAAAAAGTAATCTGATAAGCTGGTAAACACATGAATGTTGTCATGGCTTATTTTAAGCAGCAATATTATCACCTTTTATAGGGTACTGAGAAAAATTGTAAGAAAACTCAGCTTAGACAGAGCGTCCCTAGGACAAGCTTTTGAACCCAACCTGCAGAAGTGCTAAATGCATAACTGACATTTCCTTTCTGATTATGGTCATCAATGAAATTTATCCAGGATAGTGATCTGGTTTTGGCAAACCTGCTGCTACTATCACACAGTTCCAAAACATAATCCTAAACTCTGGTCACAGTGAAATCTTTCAACACTCAAAAAACATTAAATTTAAAATCTACATTCATATTCATACGCTGCCACCTACTGAGAGCTGTGAACCTAACTGCAATCATATGGTAAATAAGCTATGCTTCTTGAAAGTGTGCAAATATTGTAAAGAGATAATTGTTTCAGGTGCATTTAGAGGGATGTAAACAGCAATTTTGTTAATAACAAAAACAACATGGCAACACTGACAGTGCAAAATTCACTATTACTGTTGAATGAAAGTTAAAATGTAAAATTCCTCATGTGCTTAATTAAGCCCCATGCCATGAAGATGTATGGGAAGAGGATTCATAGTTCCACACATTGTTAACCTTGACACTAGCTGGAGTTGAGTGGTCAGCTTCATGCTCTGGCTGCTTCACCCCCACCCACCCATATTGAGAACTGAACCCCCATTAGTTCATTGTACAGCATGTAGCCTGGTTACTAAACCAACTGAGCTAATTTGGGTCCCACTTACTGTTGCATCTGACAGCAATAACTGACACAGTAACCCATTATCAGGCCACAAATTTCAAAGTGACAGAAAAGACTGTAAATGCAATCACACTCATTTAATGAACATGAAAGTGGCTACCACCTTGGGCAAGCATCTAACCACTCATTTCCATTTAGTGGCAAGTGTCAACAAAGACTGGAGCTATACCTCCACTCTCCCATACACCTTCATGGTATGGGGCTCAATTAAGCACAAGGCCAACTTTAAACCTAGTGTGCTGGGATAGTGGTAATGCTCTAGATTCATATTCCGGAGGTGACTGGTTCACGTCTCAGCCGAGACATGACATCCTAAGGTTCATCATGGTTTTCTTCAGTCCCTCCAGCATATTCTGGGATAGGACAAAAATTAGGCCATGCTAGCTTCCTTCCAAATCCTTTCCAACTCATCAATAATCCATTTCATTCTGCACAGTCTAGCTATTGAAAGCTTTGTTCAAAAACACATAAAAAGAAACAAGCAGCCATTTTAAACATGGTTACCAACAAAACAGACATATAATGAAACAGGTAAAATGATGAAATCACCACATGACAACAAGCAGCTTTACTTTTATTCTGCATATTTACAAAACACAGTATTTACACTGAGATGGAGGGATGCTCCACTTAACAAACAGCGAACACCAATCACTTTTGAACATCTGCATGTAAAGCCTGTGGTTTTCTGGGTTATGACACTGTGTAGTCTAGTAGCAAAGCTGCAGAGGAACACAGAATGTACATCTTCAGGGTATGAACCTACATGATGTCACAATCAAAGACAATCAAAATAGAGTCACCACTATGAGAAGGTCGAAACTTATGTATACACACACACTGCAAGTGTCTATACCAGCAAAGTGACCATGCTGAATAACCAGGGCTGCCAATCCATTTCTATGCTGACAGAGTAAGCAGGCTGCACTCTGCTAACATGTCTGACTCACTACTCCTCGACCCCTCCCCTCAGTCTTCATACCCACACTCTTGTTCTCACTGGTTGAGTCATCCTCATTTCAATGTGTAGGCAGCATGTTCCCCCAAAACACTGGTATCTACATACCAGACTACACGGTGTCAAAACCCAGAAGATAATGATTCATATATATTGTATGTAATGACAAACATGTCATATCATCCATCTTCATGATATTACCCTACCGGTACCTACTTCCGGTAGTGGCTACCACTCTCAAGTATCACCAATTACCAGTCATCACCACTGAAAGTATATATATGCATAGTTATACAGCACTGACAGATCTGACATGTCACAGATCTTCATTCTTTAGATTTGTCTCCGAGACCATGGGACCTTGAGATTCAATTATATGGTTTCAAGCTATACCCACAATATGCGATTCCTTCTAATCTTGAGTACAAAGCAGTCTCTAGGGGCTGGCAAGGAAGTTGCTACAGTGGCAGATGGGTATACAGATCTACAGATGTCAAAGAACCAAGTGACTGCTTGAACGGGCTGTGCTGAACCAGGCTTCATTTGAAACTGAGCAGGCAGGTTCAGACCTTAGCAGAAACACTGGCTATCCTGGACTGAGATTTCTTGCAGCTTCCTCAATTCCCTCCAGGCAAATCCCAGGATTGTGCCTTGATTAGACCATAACCACTTCCTTCCAAACCCTTTTCCAGTCCTCTGTCATCCTAGCATTTGATACATCATTGTCTAGGTACCAACAGTGTCATTAGAAAAAACCTTAACTGTTGGTTAATGTCCAGTAAGATGCCTGAACGGGCTGGTTCTACTCACTGCTCCTCAGGCCTCGCAAGAAAAAACCTTGGACAGCAGAACAGAACCACCCTGTATCATTATAGTACTTGCCATCTGACATCAAGATTTGAACTAACTACTAAATCTGATGCAGCATCACTAAATAAATTGAGAGAAGAAAGGGACATTCACACATAGTAAATCTGCTTCTGAGAGACTGGATTTTAACCTTTACTGGACTACCGTAACAGTGAATATGCAGCAATACTAATACCGTTACCTCCAAGTTACAGTACGGTGACCAGCCCTGCAGGACCAGCAGCTTTAAAACTCCCCACTTCTGGACAACAAACTGTTGCCCACGTACTAAAGTACAGCTGCCAGCCCTGTAGTACCGGCAGATTTAAACTCCCCACTTCTGGACAACAAACTGTTGCCCATGTACTAAAGTACAGCTGCCAGCCCTGTAGTACCGGCAGATTTAAACTCCCCACTTCTGGACAACAGACTGTTGCCCATGTACTAAAGTACAGCTGCCAGCCCTGTAGTACCGGCAGATTTAGAACTCCCCACTTCCGGACAACAAACTGTTGCCCACGTACTAAAGTACAGCTGCCAGCCCTGTAGTACCGGCAGATTTAAAACTCCCCACTTCCGGACAACAAACTGTTGCCCATGTACTAAAGTACAGCTGCCAGCCCTGTAGTACCGGCAGATTTAAAACTCCCCACTTCTGGACAACAAACTGTTGCCCACATACTAAAGTACAGCTGCCAGCCCTGTAGTACCGGCAGCTTTAAAACTCCCCACTTCCGGACAGCAAACTGTAAGGTGAGAGGAAAATCATGAATTGGTGATGTAGTCACAGCCTCTTTCAATGTACTACCCCAGCTATTTGCATAGAATAACTGCAGAGAGTTCTGAAATGGCTGCCTCCTGAATACAAGTCTATGAGGACCTGTCTGCTGTTGCAAAGTCTCCAGTAGTTGTAACCTAGAAACAAAATTTAAGCAGCACCACTGACATTATTATAACGTACTCAGATTACCACTCTCTCTCGCCATAATGACAGAAAAAATAATTGACATGTGCCATCAACATAATGGGACATATAATTTAGGCTAGTTGGCATTCAGAACAAATTCTGGGCATCAGTCCCCTTACTGCTAAGCCCAGAGAGTTTCACATAAATTAAAACAACTCCGTGTCTAAGAGAGCTAACATAGCGTAGTCAATATAGTGATCGCTTACTGGCTTGATGACAGAGGCGCTGGAGTTCAAGACCCAGTAGGATCAAGAATTTTCTCTTCTCCACATTGTCCAGACCAACTCTGGGGCCCACACAGCCTCCTATCGTACTGGTACCGGGAGCTCTTTCCCCGGGGGTAAAGCAGCATTGAATGTGAAGCTGACCACTCGCTTTCAACTAGTACTGAGTTCAAGAAAATGTGGAGCTATACATCCACTACCCCCATACGTCTTCATGCTGTCATGCTTAACTAGTTGAGCACAGGGTCAACTTTACCTTGCCTGTGTCCAAGACATGGAGCAATGAGCATTGAAAAGGAGAACATCTGTACAAGTGAATTATGTAACACAAAACTAAGCTTGGTCTGGGCAAGTCACTAGACACCAAATGTTGGACTGAACCAGTCCCTGGTAGGCACAGCCCACAGAATTACTTCAGCTTTCATTCTAGTGGCTTTGTCCCTAAATAACAGCTAACAAAAGCAGGAAAAGAATTTTACTCCTGTGATCATGTTTTAGCATTATGATGTGTATGTTTCGTGGTCCCATACAAAATGCCATGAAAGGGATGAACACTGTAACACAGACCCAGCACAGCCCTGCGCCAGTCAGCACTGACACACCCTTATGCACAGACAAGCAGCACACCATACTACCTACTGCCAACTATCTCCATGTCTTCGATGAGTGCGGTGAGTCTTTGGCGAGTCTTCTTGTCATTCTGGCAAACACAACTCACCAGAGCCAGTAAGTGCTTGCTTGAGTATTCCTGTCAACATTACAAAACATTCCATACTCATCGGAAGGATTATCACCACAGTACACATTTTAGGGACCTTCACAACATTGCGGAGAATATGCAAGCATGAAACAGCTACAGAACTGCGGAACATGTTTCCATGAAACCTGATATTGGGGACCTTCATTCACATCCTGTTATGTATGTCACTAATATGTAAACATGTCTGTCAATAACGACTTCATACTATCAATAAATAACTGATAGAATCAAATTGCTGATATATCAGTTTAGTTTATTAAAACATTTTCATGCTACATAAAAATTATGTGACGTGTACGTGTGACTGTAGATGGGGTTTGTATTGGTGAAGATTTAGTGACCACTTATCACTATTTCTGCAATTTACAGTTTACTAGAGCATACAGTCTAGTGTTCTCAGTTTGTTACTAGAGGTTTCTTGCTAAAAGCTCCAACAGTGGCTATTTCTCTGCGTCTGGGCTCAGGTTCTCTCTTACAGAACTGATTAAGCTTAACCTTGTCCCTTGCTTATAACATCTCAGCACGCACCACACAGAAAACACAAATCTTCTACTGTCGCGTTCATGTCTGTTGCTGTGGGAATGTGTTTACCAAGCCACTGCTCAGGAATGGCCCTGGTATATCTGCCCATCTTACAGTCATTGCATATCAATGGCTCTACATGCTACAAAAAAAGTTTTGACAAATTTTACTAATCTTTGACAAGTATTCTAGTATATTTAAACATTGTAATCTTATGTAAAAACTGTTTATACTATAAGATGGATCCATTGAGTCATGCAGGTTAGTAATGAATGTGGATATATTTTATTATCTATAAATGCCTGATGATGGTCTCCATATCCTCGGGTATACCTTTAATGACTCCCTTTTTAATAATCATGTAACTCAGAATGTACACAGTTAGCCCTTCATTTTGAATGACAGGGCTGTTCATAACTTTATTTGCTTCCATTCTCTCTGAGAAAGTCACTTCCCAAATAAAATGAGCATACTGTCTGGTGGATTGGAAACTGATCTTGGATTTAGCCATAACAGTGAATATATCAAACTGGCCCCATTTCTTTTCCTTTTTCTTCAGCCCTCTTGACTTTTAGGTGGATGTTGACTGGCGTAGGTCTCCAGATCTTCCTTTCCATTCTGACGGGTCTGACCATACCAGTCCCCGGACTTCCGTATTTGTAACTTCATCTCCCAGGCTTTGTGCTTCAGTCTCCACCTGTCCTACCCTCTCCTTGGTTTCGTTATGAATCTGTGACTTATTTATATTTTGGGTTTTATTACTACTCTGCATTACACCATCATTTGTACATTTCTTGGGTTTTTATGGTTTCCTACAGTGTTAAATTATGCCCTTAGTTCCTCATCTGATGATAATTCAGGTCCTGTCTCTCCTGCAACCCTCTTTTTTCATTTGATATCCTTATTCTTTACCTTTGCATAGTCCATGCCTTTCATCACCATCACGTCATTGATTTCTCTTTCCTCCATTGTATTTACCTCCATTTCTTGGCCACTTGTCCTTTCAGACAGTCAATGCTCAGAAGTACATGGATTCCCAGCTGTAGTACTTTAATTACTTCTTACTTTCAGCAAAAACAAATTAATTATTAAATTGCCACATGTTTTAGTGACTAGAGATGGGTTTTTGAATTGGTAACTGGATTTATTGGCCACATACAAGTCATAACTACAAATAAGTATTACACTATTTTCACACTACAGATCACTCCACACAAGATCTCAGTCTGCTGTCACTAGTCTTCATAACAGCAATCAACAATGACTATTCCTTTACAATGTTTTCACTAATCAACAATGACTATTCCTTTACAATGTTTTCACTATCTGTTTCTTGGCAACAGATTTTAACACAGGAACTATAACAGTCACACTCCAGATATCGCTGTACTACAGCAGACATAAAGTCTTCAAATCACATGTTAAGTCTCTCTTCACAAACTGTCCTTCAAGCCTCAACTAACCTGGAGTCAATAATTCTGATGCCTCAATTCCTGCTCGATTCAATTTCTATGCTTCCAAGCTCATATCCTGGCTGGCTGGCACTCAAAACTTGACTGTTTGCAAACAACTTTCATCGTCCTTTACAACTCTTCAGCAAGAACCACCCAGAAAACACATCCATTGCCTAGCAACAGACATCCTCTATTGTTGACTAGGCATATCTACCAGGTCATTGCTTAGCAATAGGTATGTATATGCATCACAATATTCACACACCACACTAAGTCTTCACAGTCTGCTTTCACCATTTGTTGCTTGGTAACAGCCCTCAACAATGGCTATTCCTCTACAAAGTTTTAACTAGACATTCCCTGGTAACGAATCTTAACAATGAAGATTCTCCAGCTTCTGTGTACATGTCTTCACTGTCCGGCATATCTTAGCAAACTCCGAACCATAGGGATCTTCCACTGCCACTTACTGCTGTCGTCTTCTGCTACTACTTTCAACCATTTAACAACATACATAATGACAGAATGGGAATCTTTGGCTCTTCAGTTGGCCATGATCCAGTCACCTAACAACCCATGTCCAACAGATGCCCCCATGCATACACCTAGTCACACAATTTAGTAACAATTTCCAAAATCAAATTTAGGTAAAAATTTATCCATGGCCTAAATATGAAATTGAATATGTGGGAACTCACATTATGTTCCCGAACCCAGGACTCCAAGGCAGCCTCTTGAAGATAATAGGCCTTGATATAATGCTCCACATACTCTGTGCCTGGGATAGGTCGGATGGATGTCAGTTTCTTCAGTTTTGAGAGGAACTGACTGAAGTCAAGCTGCATAAGACCACGTCCTCCAGTCGAACACTTCTTGGCATTCGAGAATCTGGAAAGCAGTCACATGCTGCACGTCAAGTTATGGGACAGCCTCACCTGTGGTTGAACAAGGGCACTTCAAGACACAATCATACAATTCTTACAGCCTGCTGGATTTGAAGTTCCCACACTGCTGACTGTGAGACATGCAGTATTCTGAGTTGCAACACTGTGTAGTTTGCAGACAGCTGTCTGCTTGCTTGGCATACTGTAACATTGGTCTGTCTCCAAACTACACATTACAACTCAGAAGACTGCACTGTCTTACAGCTTGTAGGACATGAGGTTCTCACAGAAGTCAATATGAAGAGCTCTAACATGAATGTTTTGAAGTTTCTCTTGTTCCCTGCTTCATGCTACTTTCCTTCTTGGCTTGTTCTTTGATCCTGAAGATGGATGTGGTATGTTTGTCTGAAACGCTGGTTGACTTTCAAGGATTACATGGCATTATATCCCTGAAGACAGAACTTCTCTCTTACAGCCTGGAAGCACAAGCCTCACTTCATGAGCTCTTTCTTACTCAGTTCTGCATTTATAAGCTAAGGCTATCAACAGACAATGTAACAAGTTACATGCCCATTTCTTTCATCCCAGAAAACACAGCTGCCATTTGTATCTTCCAGGTTACATCCGTGTGGAGAGGTGACACCACAATGGAGTTCTCTTGCCTGGAAGCTCTTGTGTGCTTAAGTACAACAAAACACCACATCTTTGCCTAATTCTCTTTGTCAATAAACAGTATGTCCATGGTCACCGTTTTGTTGAAATTCTGAAAGAATAATTACCTACTTTACAATTACAGTCTGCTGGGATGTGACGCCATACAGCCTGGTAAATACAAACATTAAGCAAGAACATACCATCTCCAGGTCCAGAGTTCGTAAAGATGGCACTAGCAGATTCCCTGTCAGACCACATGGCATTATATGCCACAAAACTGTAATCTCATATTCACTACCACCAAACTCTGCAATCTCACAGTCTCCTAACTTCACTCCAACATAACCAACAGTTTCATCACTGTACCCTAGCCCCAGACACTTCCAAAATTATTTTAGAATTCTGTGCACCTTACATGCCTTCAAACACTACTACAGCACAACTGCTATTCACGGTCCCTTTGTGAGCAATCGATATGGACATTAAACCAAGGATAAACTTCGGGGAAATTTAACACTGAGATTACTGACTTCATATCACTGAATCCGAGTGTTAAATGAAGGAAACCCTTAAATATGAGTTTCACTATATTATCCTTGGGGCACGCGGTAGTGTAGTGGGTTGAGGCCCTATGCTATAAGCTGGAAGGTCGTGGGTTCAAGTCCCGATGAGGTCACTGGAATTTTTTCAATTGACCTCGTCCTTCCAGCCGCACTATGGCCCTGGGGTGGACTCAGCCACTAACAGAAATGAGTACCAGGAATATTCTTCGGGGTAAAGGGCAGACCGACATCTATGAGCCGGTTGTCTAGAAACTGTGGGAACCTCAACATCTCACAACCCTATGGACCTCCACAGCCTGTTTTTTTACTATATTATCATCTGGCTCACCCCTCAACAAAAGTCTTGCAGGTCAGCTGGATGATGCTTTCCCAAAGGATGAGGTACACCTCCTGTGGGATAGGGATACGCAGCACAACCTCTTCAAGGCGCATGCTGAATATCTGCAGCTCCTACGAGAAACACACCACATGTTTTACTGTTTCTGCAGTGCTGCCACCTTGGCCAAAATATTCTGCACTGTCCTGGAGCGCAAAGACTGACATACCCTGAGCAGGATGTCCACGTACTTGCTGTGCTGACTCATCACCTCCTTCACTTCCCAGTTAACTTTAGCCATCAGAGCCAAGATCACTTTTGAGTCGACAGCAGTGGCAGCCACACACATGTACACAGGACGGCGCAGTTCGGCGGATGCAGTAACCGTCTGCAAACAGCACAACACAGGCACTCACGTAGTTTCAGATTATTTCTTTATAAATGCAAACTTGCACAGCTTACACACCCATCAATTTAACTTGTCAATCATAATTTACACGGCATTACACTGAGGACACAGAAAGAAGTCCCATGGATCAACTGCCAATCACATTTCCCTCAGGACGAGAGGAATCACTTCCGGGGAAACTGAAGTGGAAAGAGGCTGGAGGCTATCATCCCCTGACCCATATAAACTGGACATGACTGCCCTCCGAGAGCAAAGGAGCTCCTCTATACTTACTCTGTTCAAAGTGCACTCTGTCACCCTGCACTCTGTTCAAAGTGCACTCTGACTCCCTGCACTATGTTCAAAGTGCACTCTGTCTCCCTGCACTATGTTCAAAGTGCACTCTGTCTCCCTGCACTCTGTTCAAAGTGCACTCTGACTCCCTGCACTATGTTCAAAGTGCACTCTGTCTCCCTGCACTCTGTTCAAAGTGCACTCTGTCTCCCTGCACTATATTCAAAGTGCACGCTGTCTCCCTGCACTCTGTTCAAAGTGCACTCTGACTCCCTGCACTATGTTCAAAGTGCACTCTGACTCCCTGCACTATGTTCAAAGTGCACTCTGTCTCCCTGCACTATGTTCAAAGTGCACTCTGTCTCCCTGCACTCTGTTCAAAGTGCACTCTGACTCCCTGCACTATGTTCAAAGTGCACTCTGTCTCCCTGCACTCTGTTCAAAGTGCACTCTGTCTCCCTGCACTATGTTCAAAGTGCACTCTGTCTCCCTGCACTCTGTTCAAAGTGCACTCTGTCTCCCTGCACTATGTTCAAAGTGCACTCTGTCTCCCTGCACTCTGTTCAAAGTGCACTCTGTCTCCCTGCACTATGTTCAAAGTGCACTCTGTCTCCCTGCACTCTGTTCAAAGTGCACTCTGTCTCCCTGCACTATGTTCAAAGTGCACTCTGTCTCCCTGCACTCTGTTCAAAGTGCACTCTGTCTCCCTGCACTATGTTCAAAGTGCACTCTGTCTCCCTGCACTCTGTTCAAAGTGCACTCTGTCTCCCTGCACTATGTTCAAAGTGCACTCTGTCTCCCTGCACTCTGTTCAAAGTGCACTCTGTCTCCCTGCACTATGTTCAAAGTGCACTCTGTCTCCCTGCACTCTGTTCAAAGTGCACTCTGTCTCCCTGCACTATGTTCAAAGTGCACTCTGTCTCCCTGCACTCTGTTCAAAGTGCACTCTGTCTCCCTGCACTCTGTTCAAAGTGCACTCTGACTCCCTGCACTATGTTCAAAGTGCACTCTGTCTCCCTGCACTCTGTTCAAAGTGCACTCTGTCTCCCTGCACTCTGTTCAAAGTGCACTCTGACTCCCTGCACTATGTTCAAAGTGCACTCTGTCTCCCTGCACTCTGTTCAAAGTGCACTCTGTCTCCCTGCACTCTGTTCAAAGTGCACTCTGACTCCCTGCACTATGTTCAAAGTGCACTCTGTCTCCCTGCACTCTGTTCAAAGTGCACTCTGTCTCCCTGCACTCTGTTCAAAGTGCACTCTGACTCCCTGCACTATGTTCAAAGTGCACTCTGTCTCCCTGCACTCTGTTCAAAGTGCACTCTGTCTCCCTGCACTCTGTTCAAAGTGCACTCTGACTCCCTGCACTATGTTCAAAGTGCACTCTGTCTCCCTGCACTCTGTTCAAAGTGCACTCTGTCTCCCTGCACTCTGTTCAAAGTGCACTCTGACTCCCTGCACTATGTTCAAAGTGCACTCTGTCTCCCTGCACTCTGTTCAAAGTGCACTCTGTCTCCCTGCACTATGTTCAAAGTGCACTCTGACTCCCTGCTCTATGTTCAAAGTGCACTCTGTCTCCCTGCACTCTGTTCAAAGTGCACTCTGACTCCCTGCACTATGTTCAAAGTGCACTCTGTCTCCCTGCACTCTGTTCAAAGTGCACTCTGTCTCCCTGCACTCTGTTCAAAGTGCACTCTGACTCCCTGCACTATGTTCAAAGTGCACTCTGTCTCCCTGCACTCTGTTCAAAGTGCACTCTGTCTCCCTGCACTCTGTTCAAAGTGCACTCTGACTCCCTGCACTATGTTCAAAGTGCACTCTGTCTCCCTGCACTCTGTTCAAAGTGCACTCTGTCTCCCTGCACTCTGTTCAAAGTGCACTCTGACTCCCTGCACTATGTTCAAAGTGCACTCTGTCTCCCTGCACTCTGTTCAAAGTGCACTCTGTCTCCCTGCACTCTGTTCAAAGTGCACTCTGACTCCCTGCACTATGTTCAAAGTGCACTCTGTCTCCCTGCACTCTGTTCAAAGTGCACTCTGTCTCCCTGCACTCTGTTCAAAGTGCACTCTGACTCCCTGCACTATGTTCAAAGTGCACTCTGTCTCCCTGCACTCTGTTCAAAGTGCACTCTGTCTCCCTGCACTCTGTTCAAAGTGCACTCTGACTCCCTGCACTATGTTCAAAGTGCACTCTGTCTCCCTGCACTCTGTTCAAAGTGCACTCTGTCTCCCTGCACTATGTTCAAAGTGCACTCTGACTCCCTGCACTATGTTCAAAGTGCACTCTGTCTCCCTGCACTCTGTTCAAAGTGCACTCTGTCTCCCTGCACTCTGTTCAAAGTGCACTCTGACTCCCTGCACTATGTTCAAAGTGCACTCTGTCTCCCTGCACTCTGTTCAAAGTGCACTCTGTCTCCCTGCACTCTGTTCAAAGTGCACTCTGACTCCCTGCACTATGTTCAAAGTGCACTCTGTCTCCCTGCACTCTGTTCAAAGTGCACTCTGTCTCCCTGCACTCTGTTCAAAGTGCACTCTGACTCCCTGCACTATGTTCAAAGTGCACTCTGTCTCCCTGCACTCTGTTCAAAGTGCACTCTGTCTCCCTGCACTCTGTTCAAAGTGCACTCTGACTCCCTGCACTATGTTCAAAGTGCACTCTGTCTCCCTGCACTCTGTTCAAAGTGCACTCTGTCTCCCTGCACTCTGTTCAAAGTGCACTCTGACTCCCTGCACTATGTTCAAAGTGCACTCTGTCTCCCTGCACTCTGTTCAAAGTGCACTCTGTCTCCCTGCACTCTGTTCAAAGTGCACTCTGACTCCCTGCACTATGTTCAAAGTGCACTCTGTCTCCCTGCACTCTGTTCAAAGTGCACTCTGTCTCCCTGCACTATGTTCAAAGTGCACTCTGACTCCCTGCACTATGTTCAAAGTGCACTCTGTCTCCCTGCACTCTGTTCAAAGTGCACTCTGTCTCCCTGCACTCTGTTCAAAGTGCACTCTGACTCCCTGCACTATGTTCAAAGTGCACTCTGTCTCCCTGCACTCTGTTCAAAGTGCACTCTGTCTCCCTGCACTCTGTTCAAAGTGCACTCTGACTCCCTGCACTATGTTCAAAGTGCACTCTGTCTCCCTGCACTCTGTTCAAAGTGCACTCTGTCTCCCTGCACTCTGTTCAAAGTGCACTCTGACTCCCTGCACTATGTTCAAAGTGCACTCTGTCTCCCTGCACTCTGTTCAAAGTGCACTCTGACTCCCTGCACTTAACCTAGGTTTCCAAGCATTGCGTCTGGCCTTCTCTTCACAAACCTGTGAGAAGAATTGCTGCAGGAAAGAGGAGCCTCCCTGAAGATGCTCCAGGTAATCGTGCAAGAACTCCAGCTGCTTTGCAAGGAAGATGAGAGACTCCACAGCCACAACCCTCTCTGCTAGCCCGTGCAGAGTTTCCCGTTGCGTGAGGTCCACTACTGGTGAGATGTGAGGCTCAGGCACCTAGAAAATGCCTCACATTTGATAACAGAACTATTGGACCCATCCACATATATGACCTGAATTACCATTTACCGCTTTGTAACCAGCCAAGTGCTGGCCCAGAGAGTAAACCCTTAACTTAAACACTGAGGATCTGATAATGTGCTGCCTGATCAGGGCTCTCACACACCTCAGCAGTCAGCGACAGATTAGTATGGTGCAGTACACACAGGGCCTATGTCACACATAGGTCACTGTGGCAGCACCTAGCACTCAGGCAAATACAACTTCAATTTCAAATCAAAATTGATGACATAATTAAGAATATCTTGTATAGAATGTAGCACCAATCAAAGCCTACGTGCTTTCAGAAACTGTAGACACAACACATGTTTACTGTGAAACAGCAAGAATTCTAACACCTCCTGTACCACCTGATGTTATGAGCATCTTTATGTCCACCTTAAACGCAAATAAACAAGTCTCGACACTGCTACTAATGATATTTATGTTGCACAACATGAGATGGATGCCAGACCAAATCGGGTAGCAGGAATACTCCAGACTGCATTTGGGACAGGACACTGACTGTGACAACTCGGGCTTACCATGGCCTTTCCCCACAACTAGTAGCATAATACTTTGACTCCAGGCACAACCAACTTCTTGTACATCCTTTCCAGTTTCTCACCTACCATTTGATGCTAGTCCTGTTCTTTCACCAGTGTATAAATCACAAGAGTATTGGAACTTCAGATGTACATTGGCTCAGCATGCAGAAAGTGAACCTCGAGGTGATGCACATACCTCACCCACTGTTCTTTCCGTCTGGTCTTGCTCTGCCTCTGTGAGATGCGAGGGCACTACAAGGCTATCCTGTATTCTCTTCAGCGAGGTCTGCAGGTTCAGGTTGTACACAGAGCGGAAGGACACCGGCTGCAAACAGATCATGCCTCTGTCTGAGAACAAAACACATACCTACTTGAAATGAAACATCAAAGGACTGAAGAAAATTACTTGGGCTCTGAAGAGTATGGTCTTCTGGGTTGTAATGCCATCTAGTATGGAGACAGCCAAACAATTCAGAGGAATATATAGCCTACATCTTCATGGTCAAAGTGTACGTCAAGCAAGAAACCACCAGAAGTAGGTGGCAAGCAGCTGCTTTCCTCCAAAATGTCACACTGTCCATGGGCTGCATGGTATTACAGCCCGTAAGACTGTACACTTCCCAGGCACTGCTGTGAGAACCTTGTATCCAACCCACCCAACCTCCACCATCCAGGCAAAGCATAGTTTCAACACTCAGGTAATATTGGACTGGCAGTAGTCAGATTTGAACTCTGTGTGATGGTGGTTTAGCAGTAAGGCAGTCACTCACACCCAGAGGAGTGGCAGTGGAGATTCCAGTCTGCGCCAATAGCAATCATAAATAGGAATGACCAAGCTCCGCCCTTATAACATGAACAAGGACGACGGGTTCTCCTTCAGCAAATGGTGGAAGTTTATTTCCTTCTGCAGTACAACTTATTATTCTCCCCTTTCCTTCTCACTACGTTTCGGCTGTCATCAGGTGTCTCCATTTCGCTAAAACTGTTGCACTGCATGGTATGTCCAACTTCTCATATCACATATGAATCTGTTATCTCATAACCTAAAATAAATGGACTCTAATCGAAATCAATACGAACAAGTTATAATTCTATAAAAGATTGTTAACGCCATCCAGTGTGATTTATACTATTACTAGTGTGGCAGACAAGGATGAACCTAGTCAAAGTTATAACTCAGTTAAGTTTCAATGTTTTGCTCGGGGACTTCATCTGTTCATCCAAACAACACTGTTTGAGATCTCCATGTTTGGATGTATTTGCACAGCAACATGGACGTTTGTGTGTTATTGTGCAGTTACCAAGTATGCCCAGTTGACTGTGGGTTCTTCACCCTGCCTGTGTAGTAGTAGTGTTTGTCGTTCTGTGCTTGTAGACCTTATGGATTTTAGTTAAAGTCCATTTATTTTAAGTTAAGAGATATCACATTCACATGTGATATGAGATGTTGGACATACGATACAGTGCAACAGTTTTAGGGAATTAGACACACCTTATGATGGCCGTGTATGGCCGAAACATGTGGTGAGAAGGAAAAGGGGGGTAGACAGAAATATATTATATGAAATAAATGACATATTAATGCAACAGGATGCTTAAATAGAATCTTGTGGAAATTTGTTATCCACTCTGCACAGGGAGGGGAGAGGATCTCCTCCAATGACAAGACAGCTTATTTCATCCTATGATCACATTCCTCTAACCTGGCCCTTAAAGAAGATAAAGGGCTGTGTTCTCACTTTCTGTCTGCAGGAGCCCTGAAAGGTTTGTCTTTTCTCACAATTCCATTTTCTTTCTGTGACAAGAAACAAAAATTAAGTCCTTGAAAATGGTAGTTTTCCTGTTCCTTTCCATCTCCTCTTGCCCTCCTGTGGGTCTGACTGCCTGCCTTCCTTAGAACTTGCATGTGCAACCTAACAGATTCCTCACTTTTACCCTGAAGAGGGAAGCACCATGTTCATCTGTATTACTGGCATCCACCACAAGCCAGAGGACAAAAATCTGATTCATAAAATGTTGCATTTGAGGTTCTTACACAGCAAGAAGAGTACAGTCTTCTGGCATGTGATGTCATGCAGTCCAGCAGAAGTTCACTTGATGTTTCAGGCAAACATACTGCCCCCATCTTCAGGGTTGAAGAGTAAACCAAGCAATAAATAAGCAAGAAGCAAGCAGACATTTCTTCCTTCCATCAGTGTTCACTGTGCTGCTGTTATCCCCCTGTGATCACATGTGCCACTTCCCTTCTGCCTTCTCCACCTCCCCACTACTGCAAACATGGCTCCGCTCGTGGCCAACACTACATACAGGTTTTACACACGTGGCTCGCTCTGCTGCCTGCTTCCTTGGCTCATTCTACAATTCTGAAGATGCAGGAAGTAATTTCTTCTGAAAGAATGGTAAACTTGTACTGTACTACACAGCATCACATCCCAGAAGACACAAGGTCAATGAAACGCTGCCTGCGGACGTGTCATGACTCCTTACCAGGTCTGTGGTGAAGAACGCATGAACAGCATACAGGTAGTAGTCAAACAGCTGACTCATGCACACAATCACTTCAAATGCGATAGGCCTGAGCAGGTGACTCATCTGCAGATACTTCCCACACTGCCGCAGTACCGTCAGAGTTGTGTTGGTAAGAATTGGTGCCTTCATGAGCTCTCTCCGACTGAACTTCTTTGAATTTGGTTTGGAATGTCTGCAATGGCAATGCATAATTCTGCATCTGAAACTTTTCTATGACTGAACAGTACCATAACATTGCCACTGTGTCTTGCTACTCACCTGTTAATGACAGTGTCGCCAACATTCTCATCCACAAAATCCTTCTTTAGCTCTTCAGGAATATCCTCATCACTCTCGTCACTGAAGTAACCAGAGGGCTCATCCTGGAAGCAAGCAACAATGTTGAATGTTGCGTCCACATGGCGAAAGTGATGGCCAATCTGCAAGCAGAAACTCAGTATGTCTCATGCTTACCCCAATGTTTGCTAGAATATCTTCCTCCTGGACCTCGTCGAAACCAACATCGAATGGGCTTCCTGACTCTGAGTAACGTGCAAAGTAACCACCAGTGATGGAGCTGCCATCTTGAGAGTGGTTACTGCTACTACAATCAGGACTGCTCACAGCAGTCTGCCTGCCATTTACACTTTCAGCTCGAGGCTTCCAGGTCTTCAGAATGTGGCGCAATGATCGGAACTCCTGCAACGAAGGCAAACAAAGCTTCTCGTCTGTGACTCTGCAGTAGAAATGTATTTATCCAAATGTTTCTGATGATGGTGCATACAATAAACATGCAAGGTTCTGAAATAGTTTAAAAAGGATGCCATGCTACACACATTTCCAAACCTGTATGTTCACTGCTCAACAATGGTCTTCCAAACAAAGGCAACAATTACAGAATAATTAACAGCGGATTTGGGAACAGATGTGAAGATCACTCAGTCCCTTGTTCTACTATGCAGCTTTCCCCACCTGAATTTGTAGGCCTACATGCATATAAATACATAAAAGTTAAAAAGGTAAACTTATTACACACCATGCCATGAAGATGCATGTGGGGGTGGAGGTACACCTCCACCATTCTTGACCTCTGCACTAAGAGGGTCAACATGCCAGAATTGCTACACCATGCATACATTTTCTGACTGGTTAATTAAAAGAGAAAACTTAATTTCTTAATCTGAGTGTTATTCCTCCCTTGAAGCTGCAGACAGTGCACAATGACACAAAAGTATATACTGTATACAGACCTGCAGCTGCAGGATCGTGAAGTCGGGCTTTACTGGGCACATCTCCCAGCTCTCATTCTCAAGGAAGATCCGCAGCTCCTCCAGGCGGTCGTGGTGATAGTTGCGGAAGTAGTTGCTGCTTTGTTTCTTGATGGAGTTCTGCAGAGCTTCAGACTTACTGGCGCAGAACTCCTCCCCAATCTCCATCAATCTACAAGTCCAAGAAGAGTCCAGCCTTCAAGCTAATCTGCACAGAAACATTTGCACCAGCTTCCTATCTTCTGAGCTGTGATCTGCCCTGTAAAGGTTCGCCCAGGTCAGGCAGACACGCAGAAGGTCTGTTTCTTATTCCTTGCTTTATTTAACACCACACAGCAGCAAGAAGGATGATGGGGAATCATGATTTGGAAGTATGTGGAAGTGACCTGCGGATTGTTCTACAGCACTATCCCAGCATTTGCCTGCGGTGACTGATGAAAATAATGAAATACCTCAGTCAGGATAGCCAAGCTAAAGACAAAGATTCTTGGACATCTCAAATTTGAAGCTGGAGTGCTAATCACTATGCTGCAGTGTTCAGTGTCTGGATAAGATGATAAGTTAGGAGACACACATACGCGCAACAATTCTGCCACAACCTGTCTCTTATTATCTTTAGATGTTCAATTTGTGGATGCATAAACAGCATAGTATAGGTCAGGTGAATGGGCAGTGGCTAATGAGTCCAACAGTTGTTCAGCAATGAGATGACACAAGATACAAACCCATTCTGTTGACTTATCTTGAAAACAAAAGAACCTCACACAATGAATTGTGCACAAATTATCCGTTTAATTTTTCACTACCAATTATGTTCACAACAGTTTTTCAGACTAATCAATATTTAGCACATGATGCTCAATGTGAACACAGGCATACATGAAGATCTTTGGGTAAAATGTCCATTTCTGTTTGACTTTAACCCTGATTGGAATGTATTAGTAAAAATCAGCAGTGCAAAATTTCATGAAAATTCATTCAGTGGCTGGAGTTGTTACACGCAGACAAACAGAAGGCAGACATGGAGAAGCTAAAGGCACATTTTTGCAGTGTTTCATGGCAAACATATGGAAAATGAACAATGAATAAATTCTGAGAAAATTTAATTTTACACAAGAGTATGCATATTCCGATTTCTCAAAAACTAGATCACTGAGGAGTCACAACCAACTGTGACACAAAGCTCCCCCAGAGAACAAACCTGTGCACAATTCCAAGGATGTGCAGAAACTCATCAAACTTGTACCAGGAGAGGTCAGAGCCCAGCAGGTACGCTAACACACGAGCCTGCACGTCATGCCAGATGCGCACCAGCCCTTTCCCAAGCTTCTCCTTCACATACTGCTTGTTAAAACTCTCCTCAAAGTAAAGAGGCTCACTCACACCATCTGTAAGCAACAAAGAGAGCATGTACATCTGTCACACCTTGTGAAATATGGTCAGCATGAAAGCCTGTCACTTGGCCCTAATTTGAGACACTTCAACCCAGTTCACAACTGATGTCCATGACATCCATTTCAATACTGCCCCCCACCCCACACCTTTTTCCATCCCCTTCTTCCAAGCCCTCAAATATCTTGAGGTTTGCTAACAAGATTCTGGTCAGATAGACTTGAAAGGATTCTGACGATGGTGTATACACTACTTCTTTTGGTTTATTTTGGACTTCACCCATCGTCTGGTATGTGAAAGACAAAAAACCGCAACGTTTCGGAGACTGGATCTGTCTCCGTCTTCAGGTGGATAGGGAAGGATAAACCTACTCAGTTGGGCCCCTTAGAAAGAGCCAGTCTCAATCACTGTGATCCAGATCACAGATCCAGTCTCCGAAACGTCGTAGTTTTTTGTCTTTCACATACCAGACGATGGGTGAAGTCCAAAATAAACCAAAAGAAGTAAGATTCTGGTCACCTGTCTGTTTCCAATATCCAAGCTATACATGCAGCCCATTGGAGAAGTTCCTTCATGTATATTTCCTCTGTTCCCTGTGTACACCCCTCCTACATCAACATATTTTCCTGAGGATACTGTTATTAAATGCATTTTGCTGGGGCATGTATCACACACAGAAAACAGGAAATATGTCTACAGTTCTGATACTGAAACCACAAAATATGAAACAACTTGGGAGGCCTGAGAAAAGCTGGGAGGGTACTATTAGCTAGCTCTTAAGTAAATGCTTTATAAAAGCCCGTGTCAGCACCCAGAACAGGTACACTGACAGGCTTGGGAGATCATGGGCATGAATCTTCACTTCTACAGTATCCTGACAATGGTGAATTACACTAAGCATTCATGGCTTCCTGACCTTTGTCCACCATTCAACATTCTGAAGCAAAACCTGCTCCTGTCATTAGGTGATCAGTGCCAGCACAGGGTTGGGTTTGTTAGAAACAGCTGATTCCAGCTGCTAAACCATTTACGTCAATAAAACCATTCCTCTGTTGCTGTACTATTGGTGTTTCATCCAAAGCAATCATCAGCCTCACCTGCAGACAGCTTCATCCATAGCAATCATCAGCCTCACCTACAGACAGTTTCATCCAAACCAATCATCAGCCTCACCTGCAGACAATTTCTCTGAATCTTTCCTCTGGTGCCAACTGACCACCTGGTGGTAACTTCGCATGATGCCCCACAATGCTTTGCACAGGTCAACAAGACAGGGGATGAAGCTTTCTGCTGTCACACACTGCCAAACACGGAAACAGTACACAAGCTATACAACTCATTTATTGGACAGTCACAACACAACAATAAAAGAACTTCAAGGACAATGCCCAGATATAGTTCTGCTACATGTTTTGGCCACTAGTGGCCATCATCAGGCAAACACACTTCAACAAACGCACGTTGTGACGGTCCAATAAATAAGTTGTATATACTAACACAGCAGGATGCATAAAATGAAAATTAGTAAACAAGCTGTTGTGTGATGTGGACAGGAATGGCTTGCTCTTCTTACTTAAAGTTGGAGGCAGTTATAGTAAGTGAGTGAGTGAGTGAGTGAGTCAGTCAGTCAGTGAATAACTAATCAACTGACTGACTGACTGACTCACTCACTCACACACTAACCCCATGGAACTGGGTCCTTAAGGCACTAACAGTCTCTCAGTCAGTAAAGAATTCCTGTTTTATGGAACCTTACAGTTCATTGCCATATTCATAATAACCCATCACTGACCCTTATTCTGGACCAAATGGATCTAATTCATATCCTCCTACCCACCATTTCCATTTTAATATCATTTCTGCCTTTTGTGCCTAGGTATTCCAAGTAGGCTACCCCTCCTTCAGGTATTCCTGTCAACACTTTGTATGTATTTCTATTTTCTCCCATATATGGTACATATCCCACCCATCTAAAATATTTTTGGAAAAGTACACATTATGGATGCTGTTTCAGCAGAGTTTCAACAGCTGTCAACAACCTTGGGAGGTGAACTGCAGAAACCGAGACAACCTACAGTAATACCGTCAAAATGAAAACCAGGATTACCACTCATACGCTGTTCCAACAGCACCCTGCAAGCAGGCTAGTCCTACAAACCTCACACAGTTGCTCGTACTGTTTCTTGTGGAATGTGTTCCCACCAGCCGAACTTTCTGCCTGTGCGGCCCCAGAGCACAGTTCTACGTATCCATACACAACACTGAACGTAGCATTATGGATGGCTGAGGCAAAATGCATGTGCAGTTGATCCATGGCCATCTGTGTCTTGCCTAGTAGATTGTATGCTGCCTGCACTTTGCTGTAGTGATCAGAATCAAAATGACTGCACACCTGCAAAGCACAACACGACTCAGGTGTGATATCTGAGGTCCGCACACAGACTCTGAAGATTACTGTGACACACTGTACAGATAGGCTGTGAGCTATCTTACATCACTCTCAATATCCAGCCGATACTGCACTGACTGGTACGAGACATAAATGATGAACTGGAAAGGATCCAAAAGAAGCAGGATGTGGCCTAACTGACGTAATTTCATGGGGCTACCAGAGGGACTGAGGAAAACTATGAAACCCCTCAGTCAGGACAGTGCACATCCTGGCCAAGATTTTGAAATAAGTAACTCCAAAATGAGTCTGTCAAGCTGTTTGGTACTAAACAACTAACCAACAAACTGCTAAACAACATTTTCTTCTTAAACAGTTCCCATCTTACTTGGGCCAATGGATAAAGTCTCCAATCTCTTCTTTCCTCCCACCGTCCTTTTGCAATTTACTGCCGGCTCTGTCCTCTCTTTCTGATGTTTTCCAGTACATGGATACACCATCTTGCTCTGGGTCACTCCGCACTCTCTTTTCCATTTTCTGTCCATTCTGTTCAAATTGCAATCATTTCACTTCTGACTCTATTAATAAACTTTTAATTTCAACTCATTACCTAAAAATTTAAATTGTAATTCTACTGCTTCTTGTTTTCCCCTCATTACTTCTGAAAAATACCAAATTCATTACCTGCAGTTTGCTTCTGTTAATGTATTACAGGTTAATTTCAGTTTAAACTAAACTTCAGAGATTGCTGTTTTGCATTGCTTTCAGGACTCTGTGTTCCATAACATTCCTTTCACAACTTCATACAGTTTAGAATTATTTTCTGTATGCCTACTGATCTAGTCCCAATGAGGTCACTGGATTTTTTCAATTTACCTAATCCTTCCAGCCGCACTATGGCCCTGGTGTCGACTCAGCCTCTAACAGAAATGAGTACCAGGAATATTCTTGGGGGTTAAGGGCAGTCGGCCCGTAAGGCTGACAACTTTGCCGCCATCTCTGAGTCGATTGTCTAGAAAATGTGGGAACCTCAACATCTCACAACCCTATGGGCCTCCATGGCCTGTTACAGGAAAAATTTTACTTTTTTTTTACTACCGATATTTAGGATAGTTTTCCATCCTCAATTTATTTCACTTCCCAGATAAATGTGTCAGCCTATTTAAACACTGTCACTAAGTTTTATTTTGGAAGCTGTGTCTGAATTCTTTATAATCCTAGTAGTCACCGCTGTGTCCATATTCCATTATAAAGAGGTTTTAGTGGTTCAGCTTCTGTTCAATTCCCTTTCCATCTCTCCACCAAAGAAACACACTGTCTGCAAATGTTAATATTGTAACTTCTGACACCAGTTCGAATCTTGTTGATCACATGTGTAAGTCCAACCCCACTTCTGACACCAAATGTAACGTGTTTAAGTTCATGTCTGGTCTTTTGTTCTCTTTAGTGTTACTAGAAATTCTATCCATCAAGCACTGAACAAGACGGATGAGAGACATGGGCACCAACAGGTGAGGGGGGGGAGGTGGCAAGCAAAGGCTCTGTTCCCCCAGACTTCTGGAAACAAAACAGAACTTCAAAAAGAAGGTGATACACCAAATGTGAATAACAAAAATTAAAATTGTTTTAAAATGCCTTAAGAGTGATGTGTAAGAATATTCTTAAAGGGCTTATATGTAAGCTTGTAAGCAAACTTTCTGGACTCCCCCAGGCTGCAAAAAAGTCCTGGCAGTACGCATGTGACAGCACACTTCATATCTCACTCCACTCCTGGACTCCTAGTTCTGAATCACCTCAGCACAGTCTGCACAGTTACTGCATGGCAGCAGCACTTCCTCTGCCAGGCATTCTGTAGACTTTCTTATGTATAAATCACATATTTTCTCTCTTTAGGGTGTTAAAAGTATAAATATAATTAAAATATCCTTCTGGGATGTGACATCGTGTAGTCTGGTAGAAGCTCACGAAACAGAGCTCTCTCTGCTGGACACTTAGCTCACAAGTGACCCTGAAGATGGAGATGGTGCATATCAGTAACTACGCGGCATCATATCCCAGAAGACAGTGTTCATCATACCGACTGGGGTGACAGCCTCAAATCTAACATGAATTGCAAACATTTCTCAACTGACTGTCTCACTGTGAAGGTCGCATCTGCTGCGGATCTTTACGTTGTTTACATCACACAATTTATGAGAGTAACGTGTCATACCTTTGCTAGAGCCTGGTCCAGTTGCTCTTCTGCCGTCAAGAGTGTATCCTGCAGCTTGCCACTCAGGGCTGCCACACACATGAAGTGTCGATATGTTGCCGCTACACTCTGGCATTCCAGGAGCAATCTGATTGCTCCAGGGTAGTTCCCCTCACTCAGCAGCTCCTGCAAGCGCTCCTCTGTGCGTTGCTGCAACACACATCACACCCAGTTCAACTTCTGGGTAGTCTAGTATGAGTGTATCAAGGCTTCAGAAGACCAGAACCAGTGAGCCATGTGTGGGAACTTCGTTCAGACAGAGGGCTATAATGAAGCACAGACAGAACTGGTGGGATCATGGAGAGCAGTCACTAGTGTTCCTGTTGGTTCTTTCGCAGACGCTTTGCAGATCTGTATCTGAACCTGAACCTGAACCTGATCTCCAGGTGAGGGTGCTCTGTTTGCTGGTTACTTTCTTGGTTTCCTCTTTTCATTTCACTTCATTTTTATTCACCTTCCATAAATCCTGTCAAGGGTACATTCTCATGCGGATGTGGAGATCGTCCTAGTTACAGTCACAACTAAGAATTACAGTTGTCATCCAATAGCATGCACATTTGTAATAAATACTGATAAACATATACAATATAATAAACAAGTTAATTTAGTAGTAAGAGCAATGGCAAACCTTATACAATTTGTACAGTTTTATACAAGTCTATTAATTAAAAATTCAATAGTTAAAATACAATGTCATTAATGAGTTTTGTATAACATATATTAATAGTATAATAAATTGAAAGACTACTATACAGTGAACCCTGGAAACGTCAGTAAACTTCTACCGCAACACACAGCGACACATCCCAGTAGTCACTAGCATCAAACTTCAGACCTTTGATATACCTGCTGGCCAATTCACAGGATACGTATAACAGTTCTGGAGCAACTGAATGGGTTATTTTATTTGCAGTTCACTTAATGTTACCTTCAATGTCTAAGGTTATTTAGTGCTGAATAGTAGGATGGTCAGCAAGTAATGTAGTGGAAAGGATGTAAGAAAAATGGTCATGGCATAATTAACAGCACTGTCCTAATGTTTGAGTGGAGGGAGGGAACCCATGGAATTCTTCAGTCAGAAGAGTCAGTCACCAGGCACGGAATAAGATACAACTCCCGAGTAAAATCCCTAGTATTAAACCATGAAGAGCTGAAATGTACTTTGGGGACAGATATTTCAGGATAACTGAGAGAAACCATGTACAAAGTGAAGGAAACAAACCACTGTACAGGAAACAGTCAAAATATATAGCCAAAGCCACCAATTCATCCAATATCAACTGCAGAATGAGGAAGAAAAAGATCAACAACATGGTCCTTACAAGAATCATGTCAAAATTAGACAACTTTATAGGCTAAATCCAGTTAAGATTATGTGGGACTGTGTGCTCATGAAGACTGAGCACAACATGGCGGTGGAATTGAATTTTTACTGCTTTACACAAAGATGCAAGGAAGGGACCTGAAGTAAAGGAAACTGTTGCAGAATGTGGAAATGAAAATGGGGAACCTCAAGGAGGATTAGGAGGAAGAATATGAGCAAAAGGAGAAAAACTCAGTGGGGAAATAAGAGGAGTAGAAGAAGGAAAATGAGGAGAAACCTGACAAAGAAGAAAATGATTAAATACAAAGACCTTGAAAGATATGGAAGACATGTTAACAGGCTGCTTCCAGAAGCTCCCCTGAACAGACTCAAACGGTAGGCACTCACCAGAGTCTTGATCGTGTTGAGGGAGTGCAAGAGGCCCTGTACCAGCTGCCTCTTCCGGTAGTTAGCAAGGATCCCGAGGCTGGCTGTAGTGAACCGTCGTTTGGCAAGGTTCAGGTCCCTCCGTCCCTCCCTACACACGCATAGTGTAGCCTGCAGTTCCTGTTGCACTTCCACGATTCTGAACAGACACATGATGCCATGTATTTGAGTCACGTGCTGACAGCATTTAGAGATGAAAGTGATACCATTCTGCAGTTTGGGTCCTACGGCTGCTATATATAGACACAACTCTGTTTCTCTCAATAAGAGATGCATACAGGCTGAAAATGTTTGAGAACATGTTCATAAGGAGAATATAATTTAAAACGTTGACAAAACATGTTAGCATTTACCGCCTTGATATAAGTCACAGAAGAGGCATGGAAATTTTTTCCATGTGTGCTTGACAGCCATCTGCATTACAATATGAGAGATGTATGGGGCTGCAAGATGGCTGTGGGAAGCTAAAGGTATCTACACGACCTCAAGTGATAACTGTTTGATGCATATTAGACGGCAAGAGTTATGTTCATTATCAGAAGAACCAACACAGTCGCACCATTAGGACATTCTAAGCAACTGGATCTGTACAAGAACACACTGATTACGTGATTTTCACGTATGCTTGCCACCATCAATTTGTGATCTGCACCTCTGCTGGCCTCCAAATTATCTAAAACCATCAAGCCACTAGGAGGCATGGAACACATCTGGGGTCAATGGTGAATCTGACAGTCAACCTGCAGGTTGGGAAGCAGAAAACACATTTTTTGCCCTCTCCACATGCACGCATGCACATGCACACACACAGTTAATGAGCCAAAGCCAAGCCTGCAGACTGCAGACTCCAGACTGGCGGTGGTGACAGTATACAAATATTCATGTGAATTCTTTGATGACCACTAAAGAAGTTATGAACCTATTTATCTGAAACAAGAAGAAATCAGAATTTGTACATGGCTAATATGAAGTGTATTTACTTAAGTGAATTACACTGAATCCAAAGGGGTAAAAACTTCTGAGTCTTGCAATCTGTCTTAGGAACGCAGTTGGATACAGGCCAGATGTAGGTGGGAGGTGTGACGAGGGTGTTACCTCCACAAAACAGAAATTGAATCAACAGATTTCATTGAGACATCTGCTCCTCTAAAATCATGAAATGTTAGTATTTCTTAGTTATTATATGAAATGAGAAGCACCAAAAAAATTATCATAACTGAAATTTACTGTTACTGACGGGGGCCCCACAACTATAAATCATGCCCCAGTTGGGGACAGATGTACTGTTACAATTGATGTTAATTATAAATCAGTTTTCAGGTCTCTAAGGCAGAGACTGTTCACATGATGGTCTTCTGGGTTGTGAGTCCAAGTAGTCCTGTACATAGATACAAATATTTTGGAGGAATATGCTGCCTCCATCTTCAGGGTTGGGAGCATACTTTCTGCAATGCCTAGGTTAAATAATCTGGTTGAAATGAATGTGGTCATGGGACCAAATGGGGGTGGGGAGGTAAAAAGAAAAGGTGCTCAATAAGGGCAAATGGGAAAAATTGTCAGTAAAACTGTCATTTAAGGGGCACACCAGTCTTTTTTCACAATGGGAAATGGAACAATGAGACATACGACTTGTGTATCCTTTAAAAGGGCCATTTTAACACCCACTTCTCCCACTGGCTTGGATCAGGTTCCTTCTCCTCACCCCTAACCCCTTTCAGCCTCACACCCACGACCTGCATATACAGCCAAAGCATTTCCTGAACCTACACACTTCAACCCTGAAGACAGATGCAGCAACATCCCCCAAAATGTTGGTACCTGCCTACATGACTGCATGATATCATAACACAGAAGATCAGAGATCAACCTGCCAGTCACATCAAATCTGTCCAGCCAGATGAGTCCCCCAAAAGCAACAGGCAGAGGTGAAACACAAAGGGCATCTCTTCAGTTCTGTTCAGTGCATAATCTGAACTTTTGTTTCAAATGCATGATCTTGTTCCAACCTCGAAAACTCCTCATTGAAAGTTGCATGTTTCTGTTGTATCAGTTGCAGCACTTTCTTGGACACGACTACATGTTGCTGCCACAGTTTCTGGAAGTCTTTTTCAATGGCATCACTGTCCAGTTTCTGGGGCAGTTTCTGCACAAACCAAAGAACAGTTCATATAGAATACACACAGTCAACAAATGTAAAAGAATCCCCACAAACAGGTCATTAAAACAAATACTGTCATGAGGGAATTCTAGTGTTCTTCACTGAAAAATTTCCAATCTCACAAGTATTAACCAATTCAGGTGTTCTGTCAGACTCTGTCAAATATTCTGCATGCAGACCTACAGTCCAGGTCCAAAGATATGAGACTTAAACAGCCAGAGACTGTTAATATAAAAAGATTTAGCCTTTTTGCACATCATTAGCTGATTAGATCAGCAGTACTTACTTTCATCAACAATGGAACAGCTGAAGAGACTGTCGTGATGTTAATCACTTAGTATAGCAATTCTGACTACCGATAGAATCAAGTGAGATATTCCAACATTTGCAGGAAAGAACATGGTTTCTCACTGTCTACATCTGTAGCCATTTGAATGTAATCTGAGAAGGTATCATGGATTCTTCTATTCAACTGCATTTACCCCAAAGCTGCCTTGGCATTTCTAAATGGCAATTCTATTGTGGGGCTTGGCAATCAAAGAGTTGCCTAGAATGGCAATGCAGCGACAGTGATTTAAGAGCCTGCGATATGGCAGCTTCTGCTTCATTTCATTTTAAGTGTAACTTCATTACTCTGTAACCAGCCACATGCAGGGCCATAGAAGCCCCCAGCTTAAAGGAAAAGGATCTGACAATGTACTGCTTGGTTAGGGCTATCACACACCTCAGTGGGCAGAGATATATGAGTATGGAGCAATGGTGAAATGATGATTAGCGGGGGCAACTGAAGAAACTCAGGAAAAAATCTGCTTCAGTTCCACTTCACGCAACACAAATCTCTGACTCTCAGCCAGGACTGAACCTGCGCATAATCAGTGAGAAACCAAAGAGCACAGACACCCCATATATGGTACAGGTGAGTAAGGATAGAAACTGCCAAATTTAAATTACAAGAGGAAAGTACAGTGGCCGAGGCGTGAAGCTGACCACCCACCTCATCCAGTGCCAAGGTCAAGAATGGTGGAGCTACACCTCCACATTCCCATGTCTTCTTGTCATAGTTTTTAACTAATTAAACAGAGGTACAATTTTGCCTTTACCTTTACCTTACAGGAAGGTACTGGTTGGTAACTACTTTCCTAAAAACGCTCATATATTTATAAAAATCCTATCATGTTTACCTTTAATTCATGACCACAAGGATCAAAACCTTCACTACTGAAGTATTCCGGCTCAATACTCTCAAGTTTGTCTTGATCAGCTAAAGGGTCATCTTCATGAGTGATCCTTGCTTCCGGCTGGCTTCCGCGATTTAAAGTATTTCCCTCTTCTGTTGGAAATCGCGCTACTTCTTCATCGGGTTGAACTGCTGATGAACGCCTCGGATCAAGACCCTGTCAGACAGAGCAACAGAATATGGTATCTTGCCAACTACCTAAATTTTAAATGATACGGAATGCTTAAGTATCACTTATTATAACATTAAGCTGCCGAGCATTTCCTATAAACGTTAACCAGCAAATCGGACCACTTCATTCACCCATAATTCATACACAAATATATATGCTCAATCCACATAATGCATAATAACAAACCTGTTTGTTTATGGTGGACAACCATTTGTGTTTCAAACCTTCCATTATTCATTGCTTAATCACAAAATAATCGTGTAGCTTGCAGATGGGAACATTATTTTCCTGGTTTTAAGACATTACACAGCTCTTACATCAACTTGACAGCGCCATTTTGGACAGTGCTACCAATGTACCGCATGACGCATGAATTCCCTTCTCCAGTAATGTAAATAAAAAATTTTCTCTTTATTCTTTCGAGAACTTCGGGAATACACGTAATTTTTTTTGTCAACTTTTTGACATATGGAGACGAATGTGACTTCCAAAGTAAATAATATTGTGTTCATAAAAATAAATTTCCGTTGTATGCGGCTTCAGTTTATATCCATCAACGCGAGCATATTGGATGGGTTGACAGAACTTCTGCGACCTATTCGAAAAAGAAATCTGACCGGGTATTAGGTGTCCTTTGTGTCATGAGTTTTCTCAGTACTTCCAGGTAAATTACGAAACAGTAACACAAATTAGACCATAATCGTTTCGTTCCACATCCTTTGTTATTCATTAACTCGCAGTCATCCTAGCCAATTATAAATTCTGACATACTGGTCAAAACATTAAATAAACCGAAAATTAGAAGAGAAAAAAACGCACGTCTTCCACATACCAGATTGATTTCTACGATTCTTCCGTCACATTAGGATATGATGGTTGCCATGGCAACATCAGGTGTTTACACTTCAAATGTCTGCTTAAGTTTACAACAAAGATTTTAATATCAGGTTTTAAGAGATCTTCATACTTAAAAGATATTAATGTCAAAAGTATTAAAATCAGTACATAATTATTTATAAAATTACTTACCAGCTATTCAGAATGCAAGAAGTTTCTTGTAGGGATGGGAATGAAGATGAATTTGATGTGCTGCATGGGCCACGGTAAAGTAGAATTAATTTCTTTTACAGTGTTGGGGTTTTGTCTTGGTTTGGGGGTGAGGGGAAATTCACATATCAGAAAGTTATAGCTGATAAATTCGGAAAGATATTAAGAACCGTGTTATATGAGGGCATATCAATGCTAAAGGTCAAACTGGGATTGACAGATGACCCCACTTATGAAAGGTGCCTAGAAAAAGATGAATCAGCCACACGCATCCTATGTGATTGTGAGGCCATAGCTTATTTAAGATTTTGTCACCTGAACCAGTTTTTATGGAACCAAGTGACTACTATGACACCCCCCTAAACAAAGTCCTACATTTCATACAAAGTGTAGGATTGATAAAGTGTTAATCCAAAGGGGGAGCACACTACATCGCACGTCACAGTGCAAGGGCTGAATTATTGTGGTGCACCCCTTATGCATTCATTCATTCATACTTAAAACTCACAAAAGCTATGAAAGACATGGGAAAGAAAGCAATCACTGCTGATTTAAAAAGACTGACTATAATTTTATGATGTTATAGATTTGATTATCCTGTGGATCTGAACATTCTGCAAATATATACTTTATATATTTCTCAGAATATCATCTTCCAACACTTCAACTATATGCCAAGGCACACTAAAAACAAACTTTCAGCCCAGGTTAAAAGCTAACGCACCCATAGAGTAAAAAGTCCTAATACATATACATACTGCAGACACCAACTCACATTGAGTCATGTTACAAAAAGCTCTACAAGGCATAAACCACATTTACTTACTTACTCATGGAGCCGAGCCCTTCTTGAGGAACCGCCAATTCTGCAGCTACTCAAGAATTTCCCAGCATTTTATGGAACCTGAAGGTTCATCACCATGTTCAAGCCCTCCACTGGTCCCTATCCTGAGCCAGATCTGTTCAATCCATACCATCCCATCCTATCTCTCTAAGATCCATTCTAATATTGTCCAGCCACCTACACGTTGGTCTTCCCTGTGGTCTCTTTCCTTCTGGCTTTCCCACCAATATCCTATACACATTCCTCGTCTCCCCCATTCGTGCTACATGACCTGCCCACCTCATCCTCCTTGACTTGATCATTCTAATTATACTTGGAGAAGAGTAAAAGTTATGAAGCTCCTCATTATGCAGTTTTCTCCAACCTCCTGTCACTTCATCTCTCTTCGGTCCAAATATTCTCCTCAACACCCTGTTCTCAAACACCCTCAGTCTATGTTCCTCCCTTAGTGTCAGAGACCAAGTTTCACACCTACACAGAACCACGGGCAAAATTATAGTTTTGTATATCCTAATTTTTATGTTTTTGGACAACAGACGAGAAGACAAAATGTTCTGGACTGAATGGTAGCAAGCATTACCCGAGTTCAGTTGCCTCTTAATTTCCTCCTGAATCAGGTTTCGATCTGTTATCATTGTTCCCAAATATCTGAACTGTGCCACATTTTCAAAACATCTGTTTCCTGTCTTTATGTCATGATTTTGCCCTGCATTTTGGTGACGAGACAGTAACATATACTTAGTTTTCTCTGTGTTTACTTCTAGACCAAACTCTTTACTTGCGTCAATAAAGTTTGTGTGTTTTTCTTTATGGTATCTACATTATCACCCAGTAGATTCACATCATCGGCATAGCTGATGTGTCCCGTTTAGTTTCAGTCCCACCTGGCTTCCCTGGACCTTCCTAATTGCATACTCTAAGGCAAAGTTGAAAAGGAGGCATAAACCACATACTCACCAATAATATTAGGAACTCCTGTGCTGACTAATCACACACCAAAAAACATCTGGTACACCAAAAACTATGAATCTTGCCTATAAAACACATCTACCAACATCTCCAATACACCCTCCCCCTTTTACTTTTATAAGTAACCTTCCACATATAACACATCTCTTTCATAAATATAATTGTTTTACTGATGAAAATTAAACATAAAAAATGGATCCAATTTATATGACAATTCAGTGACAATGGATATGTATTCAAAGACCACCTGATGATGCTCTTTACAGACTGAAACATGTTTTGGGATATAGAAAATAGGAATGAGTATTAACACCTTAATATCAGTTTTGTAATCAATCATTGTGTTGGCAGCTCCATACAAAACACCTTCTATAAGAAGGTGATCTGTTCCATATAATGACGGTGAACTTCAACTGGTCTGCACATCATCACAATCAAGGGGACCATACTCTTCATAGTTGATGACATGAGAAGACAGTGAAATACGTACAAGTCACTGAAACACAGACAAACTTGGAGTGCAAGAATGCTGCCTGTCAACTTGACAAAATAATTGAGGGAGAGAGGTGGAACTAATTCTGGCCATCATGGTTTTGTATTAAGGGGGGGGGACAGCTATGGATTGAATGAGACCAAGCACTAGATAAAGCAAACATAATTATGAACATTACAGTTGTCTGGGACGTGACACCATGCAGCAGACAGTTACCAACATTCCAGAGGAACCTGCTGCTTCCATCTTCAGGGCAGAACAGTATGTTACATGGCAGAAATGGTCAGTGATACAGGGAGGGAGAAGGGGGCAAGGATTGTGACTAAGAGCACATCACTGAAGCAACGGCAATCCATGACCTTGAAAAGGGCCACACTTGTAGTACACAGGGTACTGTGTCCCCATTCTACTTATATCGTTAACCATTTTCCTGCATGACTTATTTTAAACCCCAAAGATGGAGACACCAGGTTCCTCCAAAATGTTGGCACATATCAACCAAAGTACACAGGGTCACATCTCAGAAGACTGTTACCTCAATGGCCGTTTGAATATCTGTTTCAGCATGACTAAAGAAGCCATCATGAGGAACTGCAAGGAACAGAGGCTGTACCTAACGCCACACTTGAATGATGTATTGTACCTTCACTACAAAGGCAAGTGAAACCTCACAGTAGCTGAGTTCAGACAGTGCTACTATTATAGCTGTGCAGCTACTCATGGGTTACATCAGATGGTCTTATCACATCTGAGTATTCATGTGTGACCATATTAACTCAACTGAAGATTACCATCTTCTGAGATGTGGGTTCTACCGTGAGGGCAAAAGCAATAGATTAGCTGTACCTGTCTACCAAACCTCACAGTGTCACGTCCCTGAAGACAGTAACCTTCCTGAGAATCTCAAATCTGACATTTCCAACATTCATAGCCTGTTTCTCAGGAGGTACACACTTCATTCTTGTTTGGGGGAACGGTCTACTCCAACTAAGTTTCCCAATGGGACTCTTCCTCAGTCCCTTCAACAATAGCATCTCCAAATAAATCATGTCTATTTCCTTCATTTACAATAGCACTGCTATGAAGGAAGAGGCAGCTCATGTAAACTGTGTGGAGCTCGATAAAATCCACAGTCCTATGTTTCCAGACAGGAAGTGGGAAGGGTAATGATATTTCTAGGTATTTCAACCAAAACCTTTAGAATATAACAAACAACATACTTTTACTTGAGTCTCATAAGTTATTTTTTATTTTTAAATATATTTTTGTGTGCTATGACAAAGAGGCCTGTTATGAAGCTTTCTTGTGTGCCACCAGGATGTGAGACCCTTAAGGTATCCAAAATAGGGGCAGTGTCTCTTCAACTCATGCATTAAAAACACACAAGCTAGTGCAATTTTGGACTGATCATTACCACAGCAGAAACATAAAATGCAAAGAAATGAATGAATACCATCTTCTGAGGTGTGACACAGTGCAGTGGGGTGGGCAACTACTAACGTCTTGAGAGGAATCTGCTGCCATCATTTTCTGGGCAGAACAGTGAGGCACTGGAGCCAGCATGTCCCCCACAAAGTCTGTTACTGTCTACCAGACTATGAGGCCTCTCATCCCAGAAGAGAGTAATCTTCACTGTGAGAACCTCAAACCTCATATGATGCAGCTGAACCCAGTGACACAGGCTCTGTTGGTGCCACAGGTTACAGGAAGATTGAGAATCTGGAGGAGTACACAGGGCTGAAGTGTCTGTGGCTTGAGAACAATGGCATTGACCACATCGAAAACCTAAGCAATCAGACGGCTCTGCGCAACTTGTATCTGCAGTACAATGTGATACATAAGATTGAGAACCTGGACCATCTTCAGCTGCTGGACACACTGAATCTGTGTCACAACTTCATCGAGAAGCTAGAGAACCTTTGTAAGTTTATTTGTTAGCACGTGTCTCATGGGACAGGTTGTGGAGCCTAAGTCACAGTGGGGAAAACAGCTCCTACTCTGTAGATGCCACTGAAACAGTTTGTTTCTGGAATAGACGTACATCAAGACCAATGAGTAAATATGGCTCTTTTCCTGGGTATTCTCCATGCTCGGATAACGACTGGCCATGGGCTGGATGATGGAGGGTTTGAGGTTTGAGTCCTGATAGGGTCAAGGATTTTCTCTTCTCCACGACCTCCAGACTGGCTCTGGGGTCCACCCACCCTCCTGTCCAATGAGTACTGGTGGGCTCTTTCCCTGAGGGTAAAGCGGCCAGGGAGTGAAGCTGACCACTCATCTCCAGCTAGTGCTGAGGCCAGGAAAATATGGATCTATACATCCACTCCCCCATACGCCTTCATGGCATAGTGCTTAATTAGTTAAGCACAGGTACAACTTTACCTTACCTTACCTTACCTTACTCTCCATCACCTTGAGTTTTCTGAAACACTGTGTTTTTAAACCAGATCTGTTTCCTCATTGTGCAAGGGCATAAAGTTCAGTTAGTGCCCATGGAAAGAGCTACTTTCGGTCACACAATGTCAATCGGCAATTTACCTGTTATTTCCCACTGATGATATCTGGTATTAAGAGAATACACACTCTGCTCTGAAGTTTCTCAGTGTGCAGTGATAACATTAGATCTTTCTAGTGGCCCCAACTGAGTTGAAACCTTTCCTCCTTTCCACAGGATTATACAAACAGATCTAGTTTCCAACATACTGCATCTGAAAACACTTCATACAATGGCCAGTGGACAAAATAAAATAGTTATTGTAACATGCCATCATCAGAAACATTTACATTTTGATTAAGACCAGTGATGTATACAGAATTGATACAGAAGCATCTACAACGCTGAAGTGATGTTGTCACTACCTGCAGGTGGTTTGCCTGGTCTGCACACACTCAGTATCAGCCACAACAGGCTACAGTCAGCAGAGGACATCCAGGAGCTGACCGAGTGCCACAACTTGGCGATCTTGGATCTTTCATACAACCAACTGGAGGATCCCCAGATAGTGCAGGTCAAACACAGCATAATGGGTACCAATAATGGCTTCAAAGTGTTAACCTGAGGAATTCTTACACAGCAAAGCAGAAGTTCTGTGTGTGGATGTCACAGCTTACAAAACTTTCTTCTTTCTCATAACAATAACTCACTTGCCTGGCTGCTTACAGATCTTTGGCTCTATGAATAATCTGCGGGTCCTGACTCTCAAGGGGAACCCAGTGCTGAAGAAGATCTCATATTACAGAAACGTCCTAACTGTGGAGTGCGTAAGTACCTGAATAAGATCTCTGAGAGGTCCATGACTATTCAGCAGAACACAGGCAGTTTCCCTCAGTCCCTCTGGGATAGCACCACAAATTGGGCCACAACAACATTTTCAGATTCATCATTCAAAAAACCAAAATGCCGTGATTTAGGTACTACTTCTGCCCAGAAGCTGACAAATCTTGGCCGCACTGTCCTCTACTGGCCCTCAGCCTCCTTTACAACAGATGTCCACTCCTCTCTGTTCTTTACTTTTCCCTCCATCTCTTCACTTTAAGCTCTGATAAATCATTCTCTACATCCTCCAACCACCTCAATCTGGGTCTTTCCACTTCTCTTCTACCTCCTGCCCTACTTTAAAAAATTGTCTCAGTCAGCCCTTGTTCAGCTTACTCTAATCACATGCCCGAACCACTCCAACCTCTTCGTTCTAGTATCCACTATCAGATCAGGGGTTACATAAAATGGTGCCAATTATCAGTACTGATTTTCCAAATCAAATATTGCGAGATTCATCAAATCAAGGATGAAATCAGATCTCGGTTGTATCTGCAGACATTGTAAAGGAAAGAAATATGAAAACATGTAGTGTAAGTTAAAAAAAGACCACACAGAAATGAAATATCAACAAGGACTGAGAAATAATATCTATACTAACATTTCAATGAAAGTAGCTGGTCTCTTGACAGCGAAATATGAACAAACCTCTTTAGCAGAAAGAAATGACACAAAGCACTACACCGCATTCACAATATTTATACATTTGCTTCACATCTGCAGGCACAAATAATTAACCAAAGACGCTAATCTGCCTATAAATCCACTCACACATGCTACATAGCATTTTGCCATGCTAAAAATTGAAAATACATAAAGCACATATGCATCAGTGTCATTAAATAACCTTCCTCAATGGTTGCACCAACACAGAACTGGCGGGGCAAGTGTGGGAGACACTTGGTGATGTATCTTAGTGCACTCCTGTGTATAGCTAGAACTATAGCCTCTGTTTAGAAGTAAACAATTTAGTATGAATAATGTTGTGATAATGTTGGCCTAATGCAGCTCTGTTCATTGCTTTGTGGGCTCCTTTCTAAGTAGTAGTGACTGAACTTCAGGCGACATATCACCTGTGCACCTAATCTATGTAAATTCCAAAAATCTCTCAAAAATACATATCTTAACTCACAGAAAAGGTACTGCATTCATATGAAGATTACAAGTCTTCCAAGACACTACTTCATGTAGCCATCATGTGGTTCTTAATACTGGGAGGTATATGAAGTTTATGAAGGGTTAAATGAAATGCATAAGTAATGTTTCCATAATTATTTGAAGTTGGCTGAAATTTGGTTCAGAATGGTCCACTAAAAGTCTTAATATTCTGTACAGAAAAACTTGCAACACCTTGATGACAGACCAGTGTTCCCACGAGACAGGGCATGTGCAGAGGCCTGGTGAGTCACTCTATCTCTCCTCAGCATTTTCATTTCCTCTGATTTGCTGATAACCCAAAGCAGAACTTCTGGTAAGTGCACTTAACCCACTGCTAAATTTCAGGCTTGTAAGGCATCACACCATTCAAGTGATGTTAGGTTATCTGATGGCTGTGACAGATTACTGAATGAAGGTAAACATAATTTACTTACGAATATAATCCATGTAACTGTATGGAAGATCTGTGATTATTTTTAACCATTATTTCAAAGATACATATTGTGACAATAAAGTTCACGAACTCATCGCAGTAGAAGTGCTACATACCTCATTCCTGTATATGTCTGTGGTTACCTTCAAAGTACTCCCCTTGGGAAGCTATGCACCGATACCAGCACCTAGTCCACCCTTTAAAACTATTTTGGAACTGGTTTTGTGGAATGGCCTTCAGAGCTGCCATCATGTTACTCCTGATGTCATCAATGTCATCAAAATGCCTTCCTTTCAATATTTCCTTTATCTTCCAGAATAGAAAAATTTGTTGGGCGCTAGATCCGGTGAATAGGGAGGGTGTTCCAGAATAGTTATTTGTTTACTAGCTAAAAACTCTCTCACAGACAGTGCCATGTGAGCAGGTGCATTGTTGTGATGCAAGAACCATGCGTTGTTGGCGACAGCACACCAGAACACACTCAGATGATAACAGACACGAATCAGAAAGAGACTGCCATAGATCAACAACAACACAGCTGTGAAACGCTGATATGCCAACGTCATCAAACCATACTGAGGTTTCTGTCCACTGCTGTCACAAGCACATGGTGGTGAGTTCGGGAACTTTACTGTCAGACCCACACAAGAAGACTACATTAAATAACACCTGTACAGTGTGAAAACAAGAACTAGCCGCTCCAGCACTTAGACATAGGGCGAGTAACCCTAAGAATTTTAAATTTTAAATTTAAAATTTAGAGAAAAATTTTAAAAGGTTTTAAAAACATCATAACTAAAGATTTTTAGAGTGCTACTACAAGAATATCGGGTTTGACGTGTGCAACATAATCTACATACCAGACACATATCAACGATGTAGATGTTGATAATACGAAGAATGTGACATTGTGTTTTTAAATGTTAAGTTTTAGACTGGGTTCAGTGTGGCAGCAACGTTAAGAGTATACACCTGATGATGGCCGATAGAGGCCGAAACATGTAGTGTAGAAAGAACAAGATCAAAGACATATAAATATATATTGTTTGCACTTAGGACGGAGTTTGTATCATTTGTCAGACTTTGTATTTTCATTCTTTCTAAATATGCAGAAGAGCTCACTATTCACACAGGATATGGTTACTTTTCCTGTCAGTGTCAGAATATAGCACCCAAGACTTTAGAGGAGCAACAACACGCAAATTTAAAAATTAAAATTTACTCATGCAATTAAAAGAGTTTGGGAATGAGGATTTGAATCAGACAAAAACCTCTACCACACTGCCTGCACATCACCTTAACAGCTGTGGCTGCTGTACATACAGACAAGAGTTTGGAGTAAATTTTGTTATCTTTTGTATTCTCTATTAGATCTGACACAGGAAACAGACATTTCTGTATGTATTATACATGTATTTTAATGGTTTAAGTTATGTGGTATGCATATGGGTTAGTATATATTTTCCATAATACAAGTATTTTAATTTTGTTCATTAAGGCCAATTCCCTTCATTTTGGCTGCCACAGTTCTAATTTGCTGAAGTCAAACCTTCTGTTTCATGCTTGCACACATCTAACACCTACACATTTTTCATAAGAAGAAAATGGTGACAAATGGAAGAGTGAGGGGAAAAATGACAAGTAACAAGATCTGCAGAAGATTAGTAGTTACTTGGGGATAAGCACTGGCAAATTTGGCAAATGCCAAATATGGAACAAGAAATTTAAAAATTACTAGATGCCCATATTAAACATATGGACCATGATCAAGGCTATATTGGTAGATTACTGGCAAATGCACAAGATTAAGAAGCACACAAGGAAAAACCTGGAAAGAGAGAATGAAAAATGAAAAACTGAGCACTTAAAGTCAGAATAATAAATTAATGACTCAGATTGTATGGACATGTTTCCTAAATGAACAGCAAGAGAATCTCATAGAAAGTTCTAAACGTGACATAGGATAATGCCAAGGGACAAGTGAGATGAAGATGTGAAGAAATTAAGAAAAACATGACACAAAGGATATACGATCATAGGAAGGGCTTGGCGGGTTGGCAAACCATGAGGTGCAAATGTCTAAGGAAGGTTTACTGCCCATGCTCCTCTGCTTTCCACCAGCCTAAGATTAAGACACTACTTGCGTTACTAGATCAAGGAGGAGGCAACATGTGGAAAACAACAGTAAGTAAAATTTGGGGTAAAAACCTCACAGAGGAGACTGCTTGCCAGGAAATGGACATTGCAAAAGTAAGTTAAGATATAAAATTGGGTGAACTTGCTCAGAAGAGGCATCTGTGAACATGATGATGGACTGGTAAGTATCAGCTGCTGAAGGAATGCGTGATGTCACTAAGTGTCTACACTCACATCATACAAGCAAGACTGTTTTGTTTTCAGGAGAGAAGGTGGCATGGAGGCAGCACAAGCAATGCACCAGAAATGGACAGAAGAGGAGCACAGAAAAATCAATGACAGTGTAATAGGTAATTTCATTTGAGATTTAAGTTTCTCAGCAGTTCTGCTGAAACTCATGTTACAGTCATCATGTTAATTTTCTGATTTTGAGGTTTATGTACAGTGCTCTTATCTGGACTGCAGAGCATCAGATGGTAGGAATTGGGAAACAGGAGATGATTTTGGAAGCTGTCATGAGTGTCATGACCTAATCAAAGTACTAGCTTGACATTTGCCTGTAGGAGCTCAGTAAATCCGTGGAAGACCTGTGTCAGGATAGCTGCAGTCCTGTCTAAGATTTGAACTGAGCACCTCCCAAGTGAGTCTAGACCATACCAGTATGACAACCATTTCATTTCATTTCATGAGCTTGTGAGCTTAGTGGAGCATACTCTAAAAGTAAAAGATTTCCCTTTACTTAATTCAGCACCATTCCATATAGATATATTGGGAAGTGCAGGTACAATTCCAGGCATTTTTAACCTTGCCTGTATATGGAGGTGAGTTGTCAGCTTTACTCCCCTGCCACTTTAATCCCAGGGGAAGAGCCCACAGTACCCACTGCATAAAAGGCTGTTGGGCCTCTGAGCAAGTCTGGATGCTGTAGTGAACAGAAAAATATCTTGAGTCTGCCAGGAATGTGTAGGCATCTTTAAGATCTATTGCCATATCAAATTCCAGTGATTTGTCAGTTATGGCCCCCAAACCAGAAGTTACATGCAGATATCATGCAGACTCCATTATCTTACACTTTACTTCCCCTCTCCTCCTCCAAAAATAATCTTGACAAAATCTGTACCTATTCCTGCTCACAGACTCAAGCCTACAATTTTATTTGAATTACATGGGAAATGTTTTTTCTTGTGTGATATGTGAAAAGGCACAAGAAGGCTTAGAAATATTCGAGCCCATGCAACATTCCCAAAAATGCAGACATGTGGTATTAAAATAAAACTGTCTTTACTTGGCTCTCCATACATTCTAAAGCGTCCTGACCACGGTGTGTAACTCTGAATTATTGGGTTTTTGGACTCTGTCCATTGTCCAGTATTCTAAAAACAAGAGAAGGATTCAGGAAGTGGATCTGTTCCCATCCTCAGGTGAGGGGAGAGATACCTGCTGTGTTGGGTCCCTTAGAAACAGCTAACCTCAATCACTGGACCAGAGTATGTGGCTCCCCCCTTCATCTGAGGACAGAAACAGGAACAGTTTCCAAAACGTTGTATTCTCTACTCTAGTTTTTAGAATACTGGATGGACAAAGTGCAAAGACCCAGTAATTCTGAATGGATTTCTTGCAGCTCTTCTTAAGCGACGGGATGCTGCCAGAAACAAGGCAGCAGTCATCTCATTGGAATGTGCTGGAACCATGACTGATGAGGTAAGACTCATATTTAGCAACAGTTTGAGTGCGATATGGACTAGCTTTGAAGTTTTTGTGCCATGATATTTCTTGAAGTTTGTTAAGACTGACTGATGTCTTGCTACCCTTTTACTTGTTTATTTAACAACTGTCAGTAGCCCTTTAGAGTCAAATAATCATTGACTAAAGAATTGGAAGGATGTAGGGACTGAAGAAAATCTCAAAAACCCTCACACAGGACAGAGTCTCTGGATAAATTTACGAACCTCACATCTTCAGAATACGAAGAACCTCACTGCAACCTGCAATGATCCATTGTGCTTCCCTTTAGATTAGCTCTTTATTAATCCTATACTTTTAATAAAGTGTAGGACCCTGCTTATGGGGCATCATAAAAATCACTTGGTTCCATAAAAAACTGACCCAAGTGATGAAATCTTAAATAAGCTATGGCCTCACAATCACACAGGATGTGTATGGCTGATTTAACAAGTCGTAACTTGCAATCATCTGTTAAAATTTCAGTCAGCATTATACATATAATGCTACCTAGTATCTGCAGAGTGGCACAAATCTGGTTGGGCCTCTAGTCAACAAAAGACTGTCATATGGTGCACCTCCAGAGAGTTAGTAGCAGATACAGCATTAACACATATATATTTGAGCAGGGGTCAGAAGACACACAGGGGAGTGGCTCTAAGAGCGAGACGAGCAACTGTGATGACACCGACAACAGTGGATCAGATTCTGAGACAATGGAGGACGACAGAATGGCAAATGCACACCACACAAAGAGAGAGCTCATTATGCCATGGCACGTCCAGGACAAAGCTCCACAGCCAAAAGGGCAGAGAGAGAATTGCCTCATTGTGGAGCTCAACTCTCAGGATGTAGCTACCTGGATGACAAACAGAGGTACCAACTCCATGATCCAACCCGGTACATAGTATGCCAGTATCTTTAATCTCAACGTACATGGGGTGAGGGAGGGACAGACCTCTACTGTGTATAGCATTAGTTCAGAACATACTGGCAACTAGTGTACTTGTGTAGTGCTCAGCTGAACTAAAGCAACTGTCAGAATTACTAGGTTTTTGGGCTTTGTTTATTGTCTGGTATTCCAGAAACTGGATCTGTTCCCATCCTCATGTGAGGTGGGGGGGGGGGAAGACCTACTCTGTTGTGTCCTTTTGAAAGAGCTAACCTCAATCCAGTCTGAGGTTAGTCTTTCTAAGGGACCCAACACGTTAGGTCTCCACCCCTCACCTGAGAACAGAAACAGATCCAGTTTCTGGAATACTGGACAATGGACAAAGTCCAAAAACCTAGTAATTCCAAGTATTTTACTCCATTGTCAGAACCCTTTAGAATCTACTTAAAGCAACTGTGTCTGTACCTCTACATAGCAAAGCATCATTTCAATTTCAGCAGTGAAACTGGCACCAAGTACAGTAACATTAAGCCTGATGAGGATAGGGGCATGGAACTTCCACAGCCACTACAGGGCATGTACTGAATGGTTTCACTCAGGTGGCAGCTGCTGCTGTGCCTTCAATAGTTCGAACTTCCTGAATCCATCACAGCTCTCAATATTACAATCTCATTCTGTACATCCCACATTAGCCCCTCCCCCCACAATATGTCATTGCCCTCGATTCTCTCATTAACTCTTACAAAGAGCAGTGCATCTCTATAATGGGTGAGAGCAGGAGTATTTCAGATGTTATTCTCAATCAGTTAGGGACAAGGAATTTCCAATCTCCTGGTACTACAGTCTGGATTTTAAATCAGGGACTTATGGTTTCCTGTCCAGAACCCTGCAGAAGTATTTTAACTCAGAGGTATGAGTTTGTTGTCCAGGAAACCTTGGTACTACAGGATTTTATCTCTGGGGAACAGTTTATTGTCCAGGAAACCTTGGTACTACATGATTTGCAGCCAGATTTTAACTCGGGCATAACAGTTTGTTATCTAGGGTCCCCAGGAATTAAGTAACTGTGAGCCACACTTTTTCTACGATAAATGATACAAACTCCGTCCTAAGTGCAAACAATATATATTTATATGTCTCTGATCTTGTTCTTTCTACACTACATGTTTCGGCCTCTATCGGCCATCATCAGGTGTATACTCTTAACGTTGCTGCCACACTGAACCCAGTCTAAAACTTAACATTTAAAAACACAATGTCACATTCTTCGTATTATCAACATCTACATCGTTGATATGTGTCTGGTATGTAGATTATGTTGCACACGT